TGTCAGAAATTTTCCAAAATAAAATGTTCACCACAATGTCATCAGGGTAGATGTTTTGGATCGAATCCACGAGAATGTTGCCATCTTTTCTGTGCCGGTGGATGTACCGGTCCGAAACAAAGTGATTGTTTGGTAAGTTAATCACAATTTGTCATTGTTTAAAATGATAATTAAAATCCTCATCACATTTAAAGGCTTGCCGCAATTTTTATGACGATGGTATCTGTAAACAAGAATGTCCACCTATGATGCGTTACAATCCTGCCACATATTCATGGGAAGTGAATCCTGAAGGCAAATATGCTTATGGTGCAACATGTGTTAAAAATTGTCCCGAACATTTACTTAAAGATAATGGAGCTTGTGTTCGTAGTTGTCCGGTGGGCAAAAAATCTGTCAATGGTGAATGTGTTCCGTGTGATGGACCATGTCCGAAAAATTGTCCTGGTGTTGATATTGTACATTCAACCAATATCGATTCATTCAAAGGATGTACGATCATTGAAGGATCAATCACCATATTGGATACATCGTTTCAAGGATATCAGGAAGTGTATCAAAATTTTAGTTTTGGTCCACATTATGATTCATTTCATCCAAGTCGATTGGAAGTGTTCAGTACTTTACGAGAGATTACTGGCTATTTAAACATTCAAGCTTCGCATCCAGATTTCAAGAATCTATCTTATTTTCGTAATCTAGAAACAGTCGGTGGTCGAACATTGACAGAATATTTTGCCGCTATTTACATTGTCAAAACATCATTAACATCGCTTGGTTTACGGTCATTAAAACGAGTTGAATTTGGTTCAGTAGCCATATTAGAAAATCAAGATTTATGTTTTGCTAGCCGAATCGATTGGAAAAAGGTAGCCAATTCATCGGCTCATCATATTTTGATGCAAAGCAATCGAAATGAAAGCGACTGCAGTAAGTTGAATTTCTTTTAAAAGTTTTCTTTCAAATACATTGTTCGAATCGAATGTCTTTTTTTCCAATGACCCTCATTGTTGGTGGTTAGTCTTCGTATCGATCGTATCGTAGTTCCCATGGCCTTATAGGTTAGGTCACAGTGAAATTTTCATAGTCAGTAGTCAATATACTACTATTTATGTGTGTGTGTGAACATGGGTCATATTTTTTTTCCTTTTATCCACATCAACGACCTATTTGTTCGTATTGATCGTGATCAATGCAAAACAAAGAGGGAAAAATTTATGCTAGATTAATGATTGTTTTTTTTTTTTTTTTTGACTATTTACAGAGGCTGAAGGTCTAGTTTGTCATTCTGAATGTGCTTCAGATGGTTGCTGGGGTGCTGGACCCGATGAATGTGTATCTTGCAAATCATACAGGTTGGGTGAAACCTGTGTATCAAATTGTAACTCATCACTTGGGTATGTATACAATCAATCCCTTCAGTTATTTTTTATAGGAAAAATTTGATAAACACTTAGATAAAAGATCTTTAGATAATCAACAACAAAAACTTATTTTCGGTTTTTTTTCTTCTTAATTTTTAGAATATATGATGCTGGAGATAAAATCTGTAAACATTGTCATGAAGAATGTGACGGCGCTTGTACAGGGCCTGGACCACGTAATTGTCAGAAATGCAAACACATTCGAGATGGACCGTTCTGTGTACGAGAATGTCCAGTTTCCAAATATCCTCATGATGGCCAATGTAAATCATGTCATGAAAATTGTGTATCCGGTTGTACTGGTCCATTGAATAGACTTGGTGAAGGTGGTTGTAATAGTTGTGAGAAAGCTATCGTTAGCATGTATGATCCGAATGTTGTTGAAGAATGTCTGAAAGCAGATGAACCTTGTCCTGAAGGATTCTATCATGAATATATTGGTCCACAGGAAGAAGGTGCATTGAAATCATTGACTGGAAAATCGGTTTGTCGTAAATGCCATCAACGATGTAAAAATTGTACAGCATTTGGCATACACGTATCTGTATGTGAATGTCTACGATATAGTTCGGGTGAACAATGTGAAGATCAATGCCCACGTGATCATTATGCCGATGAAGAACATCATAAATGTGTCAAATGTGCTGATGAATGTCGTCGTTGTCGTGGTCCAACTTCTAGTCATTGTATTGCTTGTAGAAATTATCGTGTCTATCTGGATGATGAGAAAAAAACATTCAATTGTACGGCCACTTGTCCTCCGGAAAAACCATATAAAGTATTTGAGGATAAAAATGAAGATCCATTCTGTTCGGATAAAGATCCGAATATCATGTATGGTAGTAATCCTGAAGAAGATCCTTGGCCTGTCATCATTGGCGGTGGTGCCGTTTGTATTGTCTTGTTTGGTGTATTTTTAGCCATATTTAGCTATCAATGGCTTCAACGAGCCAGAACTAAAGAGAATACAATGAAATTAACTATGCGTATGACTGGCTATGATGATAATGAACCATTAAAACCATCGAATGTAAAACCAAATCTAGCACAGTTGAGAATCGTCAAAGAAGCTGAATTACGTAAAGGTGGAATTCTTGGTTTCGGCGCATTCGGTACCGTATACAAAGGTGTTTGGGTTCCTGAAGGAGAAAACTTTAAAATACCAGTTGCCATTAAAGTTTTGCGTGAAGGAACTCAATCAAACACGAATAAAGAGTTTCTTGAAGAAGCCTATATCATGGCAAGTGTTGATCATCCTAATTTGCTTAAATTGTTGGCTGTCTGCATGACATCACAATTGATGCTCGTGACTCAACTGATGCCCTTGGGCTGCCTATTGGATTATGTTCGTAATAACAAAGATAAGATTGGTTCGAAACCATTGCTAAATTGGTGCACTCAGATAGCTCGAGGCATGGCTTATTTGGAAGAGAAAAGAATGGTGCATCGAGATTTGGCTTTACGAAATGTTCTATTGCAGACACCAGGATGGGTTAAAATTACTGATTTTGGTCTTGCAAAATTGTTGGAAATTGATGAAGATGAATATAAAGCTGCTGGAGGCAAAATGCCAATTAAATGGCTTGCATTAGAATGTATTCAACATAGAATCTTTACACATAAAAGTGATGTTTGGAGTTTCGGTGTAACAGGTATGTTTTGCTTGTATCATTATAATTATGGATTGCAACATTTCATGGATTATTTTTTTTTAGTCTGGGAACTTTTAACCTATGGTGGAAAACCTTATGAAAATGTCTCTGCACGTGATGTTCCTGATTTATTGGAAAAAGGTGAACGATTACCACAGCCAACAATTTGTACTATCGATGTTTACATGTTAATGGTCAAATGTTGGATGATTGATCCTGAATCTCGACCATCATTCAAAGAGCTGGCTGAAGAATTTGCCAAAATGGCTCGTGATCCTGGTCGTTATTTAGTTATCAAAGGCGATAAATTAATGCGTCTACCATCGTATACACAACAAGATGAAAAAGAATTAATACGATCATTATCGATGCCTATCGAAGGACCAGAAACCATTATGGATGCTGAAGAATATCTTCAACCGAGTAAATCATTACATGCATTCAATGGCTGTAAACAACAACCGCCACCAACGCCAATCAAAAAATTTATGGATGATCGTGGATTCGAAGGCGATCCTATTAATGGTGGTCTAATTTTTGGCCATAACGACGATGTATTAGATTCTCGATTTAATGCCGTTCATCAACGACATCTAGGACCTGAAGGTCAATATAATAATATGTTCATGCACAGTTTAACTGATTCATATGATACAACGCGAATGGCAATGGCTAATGGCTCTAATAGCCATCATTTCCGTGATACAAGCCACAATTCAGCACTTGATACGCTCAAACTTATGGATAAAGGTTAGTACTTCCACCCAAGTCAATTTGGCTTACTTATTAATTCTTTTTCACATTTCTAGGAGAACTAAATGAATTGATTCGTCGAAATATGATGAATGGTCAAACAACTATAGAACAATTTAAATTTAATTTACCTGTTGATGAAGATGATTATTTGATGCCATCGCCTGCCGGTCCAGTAGTGAATCAGGTCACTTATATGGAAATGATGAATGGTCGAGCCAATGGAGGTGAGCTACGAGGTTATCCAATCAATTTGAATGAATATCCCAACTGTCAACCATTAATGCCACAAACTTGTATCGAAAATCCTGAGTATCTATTGATGAACAATCGTGTGGATCATGAATATGTGAATCAATTATCTCCGACAGCACCGTCAATCACATCAGCTCAAACATTTCCATTACATGGAATGATATCACGTCGTAAACCATTATCATCGACGTCCTCATCAGTCACATCAAATTCAGCGTTCCATTCATTACAGGGTTCATTTGGCATTCATCCAAATAGTGCCGGTTTCATACCATTGAATCCAAATAATACAAGAAAATTCAGCTCAAGTGAAGAACCAGAAGAATCTTCCGACGATCATCAATATTATAATGAATTAGATTGGTTACAAAGAGAACTTCAGCCATTGAGGCGAAGTGAAACCACAGTTTAATTTCCCATCAAAATTCGTGAATAAGTGTGTCTCAAACACACACATACACACACTCACACAGAGAATTTACCTGTAAATATCAACAATTCTTTTGTAAATAGTTGCCATGATATTCTTTGATTCTTTGCTGCCATTGATTTTTTTTTCGCCATTTATTTGTATTTATAAAATCATTTTTGTAATTATTCGTACCACATGTGTATATTAAACTTTCAATATTCATTTCAATTTTCAAAGAAAAAGAAAATTTGCAAAATTTAAATTTTTTTTTTAAACAATTGGGTGATCATTTCAGTGATCATGATGATGATGATAATGGAATGAAAATTTGATATTATATTATTATTATTATTATTCTCAAATTCACAATCACAAGTGTGAAAGATAGTGATGATTTTTGATCGGGATATATTTGCTGAATTATCTCTAAAATTATTTAATTCAACATCCAACTAATCATCAACTATCAAACACATACACACACAAACGAACATCATTTACATATCATCTTCAATTATTTATAACATATATTTATATAAATATAAAACAACAAATTGGAGATCAAATCAATCAATCAAATCAATCGATTGCAAATTATTAGGTCCAAATCTAAAAATGAAAATGATGAAAGAACAAAAATTAATACCAAATCTCAAATTTTTAAATAATAATAAACTTACTTTAAGACTAAAATCCCAACTAGAGCTGGCCAATGCAGTTCCATCGGTAGAAACACGAACACAAGTGACACGATTCTCATGGCCATATAGAACACAAAGACGTTGACATTTTAGTGTATCCCAAACGTTGATTGTATAATCATTATAACCAGCAAATAGTAGACGACCTAAGAGAAAAAAATTTCATTAATAATGATCATTTTGATGATAAAAAATAATTATGATTGATCATGTCATCATTGTTCATCATTAAATGATGATGATGATGATTAGAATGATAGAAAACATACCACTAATGGAAAAATCAACCGAATTGACACCAAAAATAATGCTTTTCTTTGAATAAATGGCAACTTCACGATCGGCTCGTAAATCAAATAGCCGGCACTATATATAATAAAAATATTGTCATTAGTTAGCATGATGATGATGATGACGATGATATAAATTAATAAATAAATTGCCAAACATCAACATTTACCGTTGCATCGTCAGATCCGGTTATGATAGCATCACCACTTGGAAAATATTTCACACAATTAATATCAGCATCATGTCCTTCGAATGATTGAACACATTGGCCACTACGTAGATCCCAAATAAGAGCTTGTCTATCACAGCCCTGTGATTAATGAAAATGTATTAATTACAATCAATTTATTATAATTAGATCGAATAAAAATAATAACATACGGCAGAGACAAAGGTATTGCTCATTTCAGAAGGAGATAAATCTATCGACATAACATCTCCAGAGTGACCATGAAAACTTTGTATCAATGTAGCACATTCTACATCCCATAACGAACAGGTACTATCACCACTACCCGTTAGAATCTGTATGATTAATTGAACAAGAAGGTTATATTTTTTTAAAAGAATCACATAAACTAATGATACATACTTGCTGATCGGAACCAGGAAATAAACAACACGACATGTATGATGTATGTGTACCTACAGATTTCTTTTTCGAAGAAATATCTTCATCACTGTAGGTTAAAGGGTAAACAGTGACTTTATTATCGAGGCCACTGATTAAATTACAATGAAAAAAAAGTTTTAAATTTTTTTTCTAAATTAGTAAAAAAAATAAACAAACTTACCCACAAGCGATAAAATTTCCAGAAGGAGCATATGCTGTTGACATGACCCAAGTAGTCGGTGTCGTAATCGTATGTTCCTGATGATAAATTCAATATTTATGTATTGTTCGTTTGAAAAAAAAATCACAATAATCTTACCTTTGTCGCCGTGAATGCATCCCAAACAATAACACGACCATCTTGTGAACTACTGACCAGATGACGATTATCATTGGACCAATTACAAGATAATACTTTTCCAATATGGCCCTTAAGATGTCTACGTGGTTTGATATTCATAACGGATATATGATCTAATCGATTGGCAGCGGAAGAAACTAGTAAGAAAAATTAATTAAAAAATTTTAATTTTTTTCATTAATTTTTTATTATTATTACACATACATGATACATCATTCAATTTATTTCGTTCTTCTTCTAATCGTAATTTTAATCGTTCCAATTCTTTTCTTAATGATTCTATTGTTGTTTCATCATTGGCTGTTATGATGGTTGTTGTCGATACAGTCGTAGATGCTGTTGTGGTCATCGTGGAAGATATTTTATTGAATTCTGATGTTGTTGCAGTTGGCGCTGAAGTAACGGTAGCAGCCATTGTTGTTGTTGTTGTTGTTGTTGTTGTTATTATTTTGGACAATTCTGAATTATCTTTGGATGTCGATGTTGTTGATGTAGATGACGATTGTTTTATATTCGTTGTATTTGTATTCGTCTTTAATGTTGAAGTGTTTGACGAGGTATTTTGAGGAGCAGACATCGACATCGACGATTTCGTCGTTGTCGTTGTTGATGATACCGGCGGTGGTGATGATGATGATGATGATGATAAATGGATGGGCAACTTTGAATTTGTACTATTGATAATTTGCTGAAATTGTTGTTGTTGGCTATCATTTAAACGACCATTTTTACTGTTGGCACTAGTTGTTGTCTCGCTTGTTGCCATCATCAGACAAACAATCAGATCATCAAGCAAGTTCAATGTTCACCTTACACTGCCTATGTAACACACACACACGCACAAACAAAAAAAACTTACGTTGTTATCATTGGTATATTATTTTTATGAATTAACGGTGAGTGTTTATGTGGATGAGCTGTAATAATTTTCGAGAAAAAACCATGCAAATAGTAGTAATTTAATGTTGAATGATCACTATCATCATGATGAGAAATTTTTCTTAAAAATCATATTAAACTTTGATCATGATTGCTAAAATTGAATCTTCAAAACGAAACGAAATAAAGAATCGTGGATGCCGGTTCACAAAAAAAATATAGAATCATCGTCGATCATCATTTGTCATTGTTATTCTTGATGAAACTTTTTCGCATAATTATTCCATGATCAAATTCTGTACACAGATACATAAATAAAATTTTTTTTTGTGATGAATAAAAAAAACGGAAAATTCATTAAAATGCCGATTCAGAAAACCAAAAAACAATTCAATGAAATCAATGGTCACTTAAGACAGAATTATTCACTCAATCAAAACAACCATCAGTCATCAAGAATCCATTTCTTTCGAATTTACTTTTTTCTCTCCCTCTCCTTCTCTCTCTTGCTCTCCTTGTCTCTATCTCGTTCTTATTTTCGTTTTCTCTCACACACAAAAAAAATTCCATACTCATTTGGTCTGAATGATTAGTTTATGGAATATTTTGGTTTCTCGGTGTTTTTTTTTCGCTTCTAACTCTCTCACACACACACATACTCATTGTATTTTTGTATCTGGTATAGAATCTTCTCTAAACAATTTTTTTTTTTTCAACATATAGGTTCTTTAAGTTTGTCTGTAATATATACAATTTTCGTTTGTTCATCCATTCAATGTCTTTGGACTGGTGTTGTTGTTGTTGTTGTTGGTGTGTGTGTGTTTTTTCTTTGGTTTTTTTTACTTGGTTCCAAATTCTAAACAATACCGCTGCTTCAATCATACAACCGTATACGGTTATGTTGCTATCCATTTCCAGTGCTTTGATCATCATCAATATATTGGTAGCGCCAATACTACTACTGCTATTGTTGTTTAGAATATTCTATATCATACACATACATATATACGTTAATGTGTATCTCTTTGAATGTCCTGTTAGTCCGTCAAATGATCTATCTTATCCACATTCATATGAATGTTATGAAAGCTCATTTTTTTTTAGTAATATATAAAATAAAAAAGAAAATCTTCTGTGTATTGTATGTAAATTCATTGACAATATAGAATACATTTTCATTCTGTCCATGGAATAGAAATAGAGAAAGATAGAGAAAGAAAGAAAGAACCAATTCATTCATACATTGTTTGTCACCAATATATGTTACTTATTGTCAATTCCAAACATTATTTTTGTTGTTTTTGTTGTTACCATTATCTTATGCCGGTCAATTTATTATTATTTCCATAATAATAATAATAATAAAACTCAAATTATTTAGACTGCACTGTTTTAGACAATGATTGACCAACCGGAACATTATATTTTGCTGCTGCTGTTGTTGATGATCATGATCATGATCATTTGATAATCGTATCTCTTCTTCTTTTTTTTCTATCCAGTTTCCAATTGCCATTTACACACACACACACACACACACGCACATATGAATACAAACAAATGAATGAAAAGTGAGGAAAATTCAACGATTATTGTAATATTTTTTTTTGTATTCATACCTCAGACCCACGGGAAGAGATCTGTTTTTGTTGTCAAAAACAAATACAATATTGACCAATTTTGATGAATGATGACCATTATGATAATGGAATTATTATTATTAGTATATTGCATCAATTTTTATATCGATTCAAAAAGATTGATTTGAACGAGAAAAAAACAAAATAACAAAAAACAGAAATACAGATATACAGAATTTGTTAATTCGTTGATTTTGTTTGAATAGTCTTTCTTCTTCATTAATCATTAAATGACGATGATGATGATGATGATCCAGCTAGCGGGTGATGAAATGTAATTTATTTTATTTTTTGTTTAGATTTTCGTTTTTTTTCTTCTATTTTTAAAAATCAAACGAATCAAAATGATTTTTGGAAAAGCTTGCCAATGTAAAGATTTATTCATTTCATTGCTTTGACGTATGTGATGATTATATATTATTGTCGAATTAAATTCTAGTCTGGTCGATTTGGAATTTTTTTTTTTTTTTGGGTTTTCATTATTCCAGTTTGTGTTGTTGATGCCGGTCGAATTTGGTTGAAAATTTCTGTGTAAAGTTTCTGTTTTGTTGTTTTTTTTCGAAAAAAATGTTTTATCCAGTGTAAAGAATTTTGTTATGAAAAAAAAATCATTTTTGTCCACAAATATATCATCCAACCTACAACAAGAATCTGCACAACGGCAATATAATGTTGTCATTCATATTCGTTTATTTCGTCATTATTTGTCGATTTGGTAATCCATGTCAATCATTTATAAATGAATGAATTTTGATTTTGAAATTCTGTGTTAAAATTACAGGAATTTATAGTGTAAATCTATTAGAAACCGATGTAATCTATGACGGACCTAAATATGTTGATCAAGGTAATATTCTTCGAATTTCATGCATATTATCCAAATATTTGTGGCCACAATGGTCACATAACAATCAACGATTGGATGATCTTGAAGATTCACGGATAGAATTTAAATTTGAAAATGAACCATCATCATCGATTAATCGACGAGAAATTCTGTTAATAGAAAATGTTAGCATAAATGATGAAGGATTCTATCGTTGTAATCATAATTCGATCAAAGTACATTATGTTCACGTTATTCCAAAATTTCGCTTTGATCATACTGATATATCACCATTTAGATTAGTTAAAATTCTGGACAAAGAATACAAAAATGTCTTATTGGAATGTCAATCCGGTCATTATAGCCATCATTATCATTCACCAATCAATTGGTAATTGTAATAAACATTTTTATAAATCCAAATATATGACTTTTATATATCTTATCATTTATGAATAGGAGTAAAAACGGTTTACCAATCAAACAAGAAGATGATCGTCGTGTTCAACATGAAAATCGTTTGTTAATCAATAATGCAACCAGTGAAACTGATGCTGGACAATATTATTGCCAATTTCCCATAGACGGTATTGATTTGGATCAAATAAAAAATCCAGGACAAACAATAGAATTACGTGGTATTTCATCATTATAAATCTAATCTAATAAATAAATAAATTGTTTTTATTTTTTGTAGCTGCAATACATGTGAAACCATTTCAAATGGATGTAATTCGTCGAAAAGAAAATGATAGTCTTATAATGATTTGTAATTATAGTGGTTATCCAAAAGGAACAATTACATGGATGATTGGTATGTTTTATATATGTATATATAAATGTTTTATAACTACTACAAGATTTCACCACTTTCGTCAATCAAATAGGCAATAATACCTTATCATCATCATCATCAATGAATGAAATTCATTTTGACCAAAGTGAACAACCTAATGATATGATCATTATTGATCGATTACAGCGGCAAAATTCAGGCATCTATAAATGTCAAGTGGATAATATTTGGACAATGGATCAAAAATCTTTCAAACTGATTGTTGATGGTAAGTGCTTTTCAAAAAAAAAAAAAAAAAAATTACATTTAGAATCATCATCATCATCAAAAGAATTGTTATAAATCCATATTTCAAAAAAGAAAAAATGTTGAATGGGTTACTGGCCACATACATACATCACTGGCATGTGAATGCCAAACAAAAGAATTTTTTTTTACCATATAAAATAATAAATTCTCAATTAGTATATAGAGAGAGAGAATCTAGCACCGACGCCCTCATCATTATTATTCTTTATTTCTCGTAAAAAAAAAATTCCTACATATCTTTTTTAATATACCGTTATATTATGAATATGAAAAAAAAAAATTTGGATTCGAATACTTCTACTATACTGAGTAGTAGTAGTAGTATTAGTAATACAAGTGTATGAATTTATCCATGAAAGCAGTAGTAGTAGTAGTAGTATACAAAACTGATATCGAGATTTTTTTTCCATTCATTTAAATTTACCACTACTTTCATTGTATCCTTTTTCACTGTCTTTATTTGACCGATAGAGGATAAACATAAAACACAAACGCATGAAGCAGCAGCAGCAGCAGCGGTGATATCATCACACTTTTTTTTTTTTTTTTTTTTGAAAAAGAATATTGAGTTTGAGTACTTTTTTTTATATGTTGCTTATTGTGTTTTGTATATCTTTTTCTTTATTTCCTTTTTTATTTTATTTTATTTTGTTTTGTGTATCTGCGCCAAACTAGAACCCTAACGTACACATAAACCGGGGCGGCGGGGATGAAAAAAAAAAAGAATAACCGACAAGCACAAGAATTATGTGTTTATATATCTCTCTGTGTGTGTGTGTGTGTGTGTGTGTGTGTATAATGTGATATCACCAACGACATTCGATCAAACAACGATCCAAATAGAGAAAGAGAAAAAAAAACTATAGAAAAGAAAGTTTTGTTTTTTCTGGGGTTGTCCAAGAATTTTTTTTTCCAATTCTGTTTGTATTGTGTGTATACATGTATCTGTGTATTGGTGTTTAACAAAAACAACAGAATTTGCAACGAAAGAATTTTTTTTTTGTTTTGTTTTTTTTCCGATAATTCTAACAAATTTGATTAAAATACATGCAATACACACACACACATACACCGAGAAGAAAATATGAAATCTTCAAGTTAAACTTCGACCATCTTGATGATCATAAATTGTCTTCATTCATCGTTCGTCGTTATACATTGTTTTGAATCCATCCATAGCCTTGTTGTTTGTCATCATCATCATCATCATCATCATCAGAAATGAAAACATTTAATAATAGGACGAATAATAATAAAAAAAAGATAATTAACTGCTGTTAAAGATCATCATCATCATTTCATTTATTTCTTTTTTTTTCTTTATAGAGACATTTATATTGAGCAGCAAACGAATAAGAAAGATTTGTTTTGTGATTGTATTATACGACGATCATATAACTTTTTTTTTTGTTGGTGGTTGCTATTTTTTTTAGTAAGAAGTGGAAAGATCAAAGAAGAAGGCAATAGGGAAAAAAATTCCATTTGTTTTGTGTGTGTGTGTGTGTGTGTGTGTTGATGTTTTATGTGTGTGACCACGTTTGTGTTGATGGTAGTGTGGAATTTGAAATGTTGAAATGAATTTTGAATGAATGTGACATAGAAGTCATCATATTGTGTAAACATTGTATTGTTTTGTAAATTGTTGAAAAAAAACCAACAACAACAACAACAACGAAAAAAACAAATATAAACTTGATTCATTTAATCTCAAATCCATTTTCTTTTTGTTTGTTCCAATTTTCTTTTTTTTGTTTGTTTGTTTGTCTGATTCTAAGCAACAAATCGCTTTCCGTATACGCACACACTGATAAGATCTTTATTTTATGGACTTATCAAAAAAAAAAAAAAAAAAAAAATGACGTCAGAAAAATATTTTCACATAATTATAATGGCGTTATAATAATCTCAATAAATCATTATAGACGCTCCCGAAAATTGTCTTTATTTGTGTGTTAATCAATTGGAATTCATTCATTTGATGATGATAATGTCTAATCTACTAATCACAATGTTTCAATTTATTTGACCAGAAAAAGATATCTTCATCATCAAATTGAAAAGAATTTTTTTTTGTTTATTTATTTATTTTCAGTTTTTCTTGTTCAATATAATTATCTTATCTTGTCACATGCATTTGTTTTTCAAACCAAATTTCCGATTATTAATTAATTAATTAATAATAATAATAATAAATCATCACAAGTGCCCAACAATCGTATCGCTCTCGTTCCAATTTTTTTTGCTGTTATTTCAATTTATCTAATAGTGATAGTTTTTAAAAGTTAATAATAATTATTATATAATCTCAAGTCTTCGAAAAAAAAATCAAAACAAAACAAAACAAGAAATAATCCTCTCTACTTCGAATTCTAATAGTCACGAAACGGAATTCATATTTCCTTTTTTTTCTCAACAATCAACGTTTCTCAAAAATAAAATACAATAAAAAAAAATTTGTTCCAAATATGGCCAATCACAATAATTTGTTCGTTCTAGTCATCCTTTTTTTAAATTTATTCTATTTTGTCGGTATGCATTTGACAATTAGCCAATATTTTTATCGAAAAAAATTTTTTTTTTCTGTTATTCAACATTCCGATTAATGAATCGATATTTTCTTTTATTTACATTTCATAGATAATTCCATCGACATGGATGACAATGAAATTCTTATTGAAAGACGACAATTAAGGATTTCTTGTCGGTTATCCGATTCGATTCCTATACCACAGGATATGTCACCAACGTGGTATGTTGCTTTTGTTTGTTTAGTTATTGTAGAATTGAATAACTGAAAAATTTTTTCCCTAAAGGTATAAAGATAATGTTAAACTAAATGTTAACGATAGACTCAAGAATGATGATGATGATGATGATGATAATAGTAGAGATCATGACAATAATGGTGATGATGACGACGATGATGATGATCGAATTTATGTGGATAAAATATCCGATAAACAATGGGATCTAGTCATTGATAAAGCCAAACTGGCTGATATTGGTGATTATAAATGTCAAATTTATAATTCAGCGGATACAACAAAAGTTAGAAGTAAGCGGAATTTTTTTCGGAAACAAAAATAAATAAAACTAAATATATCTATTGATTTCTTCCTTAAATAGCCAAACCTTTGTTACATCCATTTGATGAATTTCAAAATGATAATTATAAATCTGCCAATTTGGTGGAAGGCGATCGTCTTTCACTTCGATGTGCCCTAATTGATGGTTATGGTAAAGATGCAAAAATACAATGGCTCATGTATGGTGAATTTGAAGAACCGGATAATGGTCGTGCAATTAACCTATCGGATACAAGAGTTTCCATCCAAAACAATGAAACAGCACAAGAAAGTGTGCTTACAATTGAATCGATAGTGCCGCAAGATCGATATTTTTATGTTTGTAAAGCGGTAAATGAAATTACCGATTATAATAATACTATTTTACTTCGAATCAAAGGTAATTACAATTTTAATGATAAAATTTGGAATCATTCTTTTTTTTTTTTTGTTTCATCATTATTATAGATAAATATGCCGCATTATGGCCATTTTTAGGCATAGTTGCCGAAGTGATCATACTTTGTATTATAATATTTGTCTATGAAAAAAGAAAAGTGAAACCAGATTTCGATGATGTTGATCATAACAACAAAAATGGTGAAGGGTAATTGTTTATGTTTGCATGTGTGTCTGTCTCTGGGTTTTTTGTTTTATTTTATTAGCTTTGTCTTAGTTTTCCATCATTTTTCTGTGTGTGTGTTTCAGAATTATTGAATCATAATTTAATTATTATTATTTGTCTCTTTTGAAACAATATTTTATTTATCTGTTTAACCATAAAAAAATATGCTTAATAATAATAACAAGCAACAGTGTTTGATTTGTTTCTTTTCTTTTCTCTCTCTCTCTTTCCATCTTGTTCCTATCCATCATCTCTGTTTCACTGTGTATTCGTAAATTTGTCATCATTTGTGTAATGATTTTTTTTTAATATTTACGAATACAAACAAACAAACAAACAAAAAAAAAATAGGAAAAAATCTCATGATTGTGCTTCCAGATCACACGATTTGAGACAAAGAAAATGATGATATATACATTTTATGATGAATCATTTATTTCAAATTCAAAACTATAAATCAACATCAATAAACCAAAAAAAAAAAAAAAAAACAAAACGAAATGAACAGCTTTATCCAATCGATGAGTTTGTTTGAAAGCTGAGATTTGCAAAAAAAAAAAAAACAACAACAACAACAACAACAACAAACCAAACATGGATAATCAAAGTCAAGAAGAAGAAAAAAAACAACCCTATAATTATTTGTTTCTATATATATTCAAAATAAATATTCAAGTTGCCTATTTTATTTATATATAAAATAAAACAGCATGGAAATTTTCTCATCAGAATCTACCGAAAACTTTCATCATCATCATGATCATCACCATCACCATCTGCAGCAGCATCAGCAGCAGCAGCAGTATCGATATTCGAATCATTTCAGTGTGTGCGTTTCTGACTTTTTTTTGTATTTGAACATTTTTTCATCAATATATTTCAATTACACAACTTTATCTGTAATGATTTAACATGAATGAAACAAAAAATTTGTAACTTTTCATCATCATCATCATCATCATCAACGACATTATTATTTTTCCTCTTGATTTCATAAACATAAATCTGCCGCATATAACTTAATATATATATAAATGAATGAATGAATACAATCATCATCGTCATCATTTTCATCATCATCATCATCATCATCGTCATCATTATTTCAATAAATGTAAAAAAAAATGATACATTTTTATACACACCAAAAAAGCCTGCAGCCATAAAAAACACATCCACAAACATATATATTATATAAATTTAAAGTTATTATTATTATCATTCAAACAAAAAAAAATTATTGTAACTTGAGAAATGTTTTCTTTGTTCATTCTTGTTGATCATGTATTTCATTTGTTTTTACAGACATATACACACACACAAAAACATTGATGATGCTCATAATTGACAATTTTAAAATGTCTTTGTAATATCTGACCTCTTTTTTTCAAACAACAAACAACAACAACAACAACAAAATGAAAAAAAATTGTTGAGCTGGTCTCAACAAACACACACACACACCCAATTTATTATTATGATGATGATGATATCGTTTAGTTTGTCATTTTTTTTCTTTTAATTATTAACGTATTATTATTATGATTATGATTATTATCCAGGATAAATATTCACTTGAATTGGTTTCTTTTCTTTTTTTTTTTTTTTTTTTTTTTTTGATCATTTTCAATTGTTCTATTTACCAATTATTATTATTATTATTTTGTTGCTGTTATCGATATATTCCTTTGATTGATTGATTGATTTTTGTTTTGTTCTAGTCAAATTTGATGAAAAAAAAAATTTTTATTATATATAGGCCCTATGATTTTAACCAGTACAATTTCAATTTTCAATGGAAAAAAAATGTGTCTTAGATTCAAAAAACACAAAAACACACACACACACCAATACTGAATAAAAATCTGAGTGAATCAATTTCAAACTTCAATCCAAAAAAAAAACAAATTGCATTTATTTATATAATCTAGATGTTTTCCATTCAATTTTATTATTATTAATCCAATTTATTTATAGATCAGATCAGATCAGATCATATTGATTAATGTATCAATCTGATGATGAGAATTAGTGAATCATTTTTTTTCGTGAATTTCTTTATCTTTTCTTCTTCCTATTGATTGTATTTCTATTCTATTTGTATGTCTGTATGTGTTTTTTTTCGTTTCGTTTTGTTTTGTTCTGTGTTTTGTGTTCGTTCATAAATCATGGTCGTTATTATATTTCATTATTATTAATGTTGTGAATATATAATTATTATGTAAACAACAACAACAACAACAACAACTACAACTACAACTACAACAACAACAGTTTGTGATAAATATATACTTCTTTCTTTTGCTTGATTGTTTGTTAAATTCATTTTCAATGTTTTGATTCTATATATAATAAACTAATAATAATAACAGTCAATGTGTCTGTGTGTGTATGTCCAGCGTGAAATCCTGGTTTTTTTTTCTCTCAATCAAACAAAATCTTGTCGGTGTTTATTTTTACGAAAGAAAGTCCATGAAAGATGAAATTGTCAAATGATTATTAATAAATGAATGGGAAAAGTTTTTTTTTATTGTTTTATATTGAAATCATCATTATATATATGTACACATCGATCAATCAATATTAAGAAACAAAAAGAAGCGCATCATACAAAATAAATATTAAAAAAAAAACAAACAAATATATCGATGATTGTTATTTTTATTAGTAAAAAAATTCTTTTGAATCTTTTCCATCACTTTGGACACAATGTTTCAATGAATGAATCCTTAACACGACGACAGAATGTTTTTTCACCCATTAATGTTTGCATATCATCATCGCCTAAATTGGCATCATTATATATGGCAAAATTATCAATAGTTGCCACCTCTATTGTAGCATTCATACGTCGTCGTTGTCCAATGAAATGTGTTATACCGACAACGACAATCACAATAATTAATAATAGACTAATCAATGGTATGATGACAAAAGCAAACGATGGTTTCGGACCAATCTTATAAATGGTAATCTTTACATTACGATAAACTGTGCTCACATCATTACGGATACCAATGTTAACGTATTTGGTTCCATTTTCAGGAAAATAATGAGTTATTTGATAATCACAATTCGATAAAACTCTACCGGATTCAAAACAAGAATCATTCGATTTGATTGGAGCAAAATCATGACATAGTAAAAAGTTGGAGCTACCATTACAGGTAATGTTCAAATGTAATAGTGATCCATTTTCAACAAAATTATTGCCCGATATAGAAACATCAGTAATGGGATTTTTTATCTGTATCTTCTTTACCGTTTTGCCACTGAAATTCATTTGATTGTGTGGAAACGTTGTCGATATTTGAAGTGAAATTGAATATTCATTCAATGATTCGAAAACAAAATCAAATGTTTTCTGTGGAATTTTTGTTTTGTTCACACCAGGCCCTTCAACATTCCATTCATATGAAATACGATCAGCAAAACGAGTCAATATACTTTGTGGATCAATATTGAGTGAAAAACCAATAGTTTTGTTAATTGCAAAAACATAATCTGTTGTCAAACTGGATACATTTTGTTTAGCATCGATTGAAATTGAATTGTCCAAATTATCTATAGATAAAATTAAACGAGACAATAATTACATCACAAACATTATAATTGATGATGATGATGATGAAAAAATAGAGCTTACCATCGATTTCCAGTGGAACATTTGTTTCCGCAATTTTCCATCCATAAATCATATTATAAAATGGATAAAGAAATACCTGAATGTTGAGCTGATAGTTTCCTGTTTTCGTAAAATTCCATCGCCAATCAATATTAGTGGAAAAAATGAATATTTCATCGTGAATATTTAATTCAGGTATATTAAAAATATATTTGAAATGATATGAAAGTGGAAAATTTCTTGATTTCAGATGTATATTGTAACTTGAATCAACATTAATCAATGTTTTATTATCACCATTAACGAATATCTCATCTAAAATTTTAATTGATCATAATCGTTATTGATTGATTCAAATGAATTATAAACAAATGAAACTTACCTGCATTAGCAGATTTGAAATATATGACCGATATAAAAATTAACAATAACAAACGATTAGAAAATATCATCATCATGAGGACTTTATAATCTTTTATTTATAAATGAAAAGTGACAAACAAAATTTATGGGAAAAAAAATACAAAAAATCATCACTGTCAAATCCTGTGATCATAAACACAACAAGACGAGAACCATATGTCCTGATCGTTGATTGTTTTTTGTCATTTAATGAGAAAAAAAAACAATAAAAGATGATGATTAACGCCATCTATGTTGAACAATGGTAACGGATTCGATGAATGATTGTAAATCAAGCCAACACAAACACAAATTGACGAAAAATCGAAATCACCACGGCTGGTATTTTTTTTTTTTTTTTTGTATATTTTAAACTTTGAAAACATGATGCATAACGATGATAATGATGATGAATATCATTATGATGATACTGATGATTGGAATTATGATAATTATGAAGATTTTGGTGAACAAATCGATGATAATGATGATAGACCTACGAAAGATTTAGAACATTTTGATTATCGTTGTATTAGTTTTTCTGAAGCAAAAAATATTTTAAATGATATAATTCATAGTATAACTAATCGTATAAAGGTATGTTGTTTATATAATTATCGCTAAAGTGGAAGCCATTTTTTTTAATTGTTTTATTTGTTTGGCTTTTTATTTCTATTTTTTATTATTATTATTGCACATAATATAGCTCAATCATTCATTGGCTAAAATGCTATTGATACAATGTAAATGGGATGCAAATGAAGTTTTAAACAAATATTTCGCATGTGATAATGAATATTTTGAATGTAAAGGTGTAAAACCTTTTCATAAAAGCTGGGAAGATTCCATCGCAAAAGCATGGCAATATGAATGCTCTTGTTCGCCTACAGCCATACAATCAGAACAGAATCAACAAGCATCATCATTATCATTATTAATGATTTGTTGTGATGTATGTTTAGATAGAGATTTTAAAGATCACTTCTTATCATTGATTTGTGGCCATTCATTTTGTCATGATTGTTGGTTCAATTATTGCCGTGTCAATGTTCAAAATGGTCAATCAACTGGTATTCGTTGTATGAACTCTGATTGTCAACTATTTTTGCCTGAAGATTTTGTTCATTTTATTTTTAAAAAAACCATACTATTACGCGAAAAATATGATTTACTTTCATTTCGTGAATCAGTTGATTCTTATATTCGTATGAGACTTTGTATAAATTCCGAATGTCAAACAGTTATAGCCGCACAAGAACAACCAGCATCTAAACGTGTTACCTGTACAAATTGTAATAATTCATTCTGTTTTCAATGTGGTAATGATTATCATGCTCCAACTGATTGTAAAACCATTTTACTTTGGTATCGTAAATGTGCCGATGATTCTGAAACAGCTCATTATATTAGTGCACATACTAAGCTTTGTCCAAATTGTAGTTCTTGTATTGAAAAAAATGGTGGCTGTAATCATATGAGCTGCTATTCTTGTAAACATGAATTTTGTTGGATTTGTCTAGGTTTGTGTATTGGATTTTTTTTTGGCTGATGATTTATTGAATAATAATTATTTTCATTCTATTATATCCATTAGGCACGTGGGATATACATGGACCACAATATTTTAAATGTAGTAAATATAAAGAAAATCTTGATATAAAAAATGAATCAGAAAGAGCTAGAGAAGCATTGAAAAAATATCTATTCTACTATGAACGTTGGGATAATCATATGAAAAGCTTAAAATTAGAGGACGAAAATCGACAACGAATACAAGCAAAAATTGATGATGAACTTAATCGTAACAATGGTACATGGATCGATTGGCAATATCTATTACGTGGTGCCAAAATTCTTTCAAAATGTCGTTATACATTACAATATACATATCCATACGCATATTATATGGAATGTGGTCCACAAAAAGAACTGTTCGAATTTCAACAGGCAGCATTGGAAAATGAGATTGAAAATTTAGCATGGAAAATTGAAAACGCTGAAACAACTGATCGTGGTGCACTTGAAAATCAAATGACAATCGTTGAAAAAAGACGAACTACATTGTTGTATAATTTTTTCCAATACTGATACTTGTTTTTTTCTCTCAAATGATCAACGATTTTTTTTTTTTTTTTGATTGACATATGAGTTTATGAATACATTATATGAGTTTTTCATTATTATAAAATTATACAAATAAAATCAGATATATAATTCAAAATCGATTCTTTTCGAACTATAGAATCGAGCATCAGTTGATTCGATACGACGTACAAAAACACCTTGATCAAAGTAACCTTGATTAGTCCAATTTAACATATCTTCACTGGAATATGGTCCATATATTTGTGCATTATCTTTATCTTCCCATCTATATTCCCATTTAGTTTTCGTTTCATCCATTGATATTACCGTTTTAGAAGTAGATTGTTTTTTATCATCAAAATCATCGCTAAACATATCATCATTATTATCAGATGATTGTTTTCGTATCGATTCTACATCATTGATTTTATTCAATTGTAGCTTAAATTGTTCAAATGTTCGTTCATAAATGTCCATATCACCTGTTTGAAGAATTTGATCGGCAATCGAAATCAATTTCATCATTTTTTCTTTGGCTTCATTTTTGTCTGACGACTGTTGATTGGTGGTCGCTTCATTTGAATGGATTTTTCGTTTCTGACCTTTACGTTCAGGATTACATAGTTTACCGTAACGTTGTATAGCTTTTCGAATTGATTCTCCTGGTTGAACTAATAATATGATTTGTTCATAAAATTCTTTGATACTGGCTTGGCTGATAGTTGTTTCTTCATTCTCATCACTGGATGAATCTTGATCAGCATTTATTTCATCTTTTTTTATCGTTTCGGTCTTTGTTGGTTTTATTACATTCCAATTGATATTATCAAGCCAATTATCACGAATGTCATTTTCTTTCTTGAAAATATATGTACCTTCTTTATCGAAATGACCAGTCTCTAGTTCTTCGTCCATATTGAATGGTGTAATCTTGATATCGCCATCGAATTCGATTGTTGTTCTTTCCGTGCCTTCGATGGCATCATCATCCAAAACATTATATTTTTCTGCACCAATCTCATCATCTTCTTCATCACTGTCTAATGTATGTTTGAATTTTTTACCAAACGCATTATGTTTTTCATCAACATTTTCATCACCATTGTCGGAAATTTGATTATTTTCATTTTTTTTTTTTTTGAATTAATTTTATTTTTGATGAAATTCCGAGAAATGATTGAATGCTTATGTCGTTTCAATTAGGTGAAAATAGTCGAACTAAAGAATCACGCTTTATGTGTTCTTGCGTGCATGCATGTAAAAAATTCCAAACATTCTGTAAAATTCATTTTGTGAATAAATTTTATATAACCAGGTTTCAGAATAATGATAAAACAACAAAAAATTCAAATCGAATTCGAAGTGGATGAAAGTAAATATGATGAATTTAATCCATTGATATTATCGGATAAAAGTGATGCAGCGAAAAAAGAGAAAAATATTCGAGCAAAAAATGAAGAGATCAAGAAACAATTATTGTCAAAAAAGAAGAAAAAAAAATTGGAAAAAATATTGGAAAGAAAAAATCGTAAATTAAATGTAAGTAGATTATTTGTAAATTTTTAATTTATTTTAATCTAGATATATATCAACATCATTGTAGCGGACAAATTTAATAAACGATTTACAACAATATCAAATCGATGAAAATGAATATAATAGTATGCCATCCACAAGTATTGTTCAAACGGTTGGAAAAAGAAAAATTAATGATCTGCTTCGATTATATAGTTCTATCAATAAAAATGATGATAAAGACGAATTGAATGAACGAAATGATGATTCATCTCGTAAAAGATTCAAAATCCGAAAAATTAAATTTAAAAATAATGAAAAAAATTTCAATCGTAAAGATCCACATATCATTGGATTTGATGATAATTTTAATACTGATGACGATGATGATGATGATGAACAAGAAAGTTCATCGGACGATGAAGAAAATTGTGATGAAAAAATCGAAACTAAAAATATTAATTCTGGTTTTGATCAAAAGTTTGAAGAAAAAAATGAAACTGAAAGCAAATCCAACGAAGTCATAGAATCTTCCGAGGGTGAACATCAAAATACAAAGACCTCTAAACAAAATCAATCAAAAATCGAAGATGATAAAGAAGTAAAAGATAAAAAGAAAAGCATATTTGTCAATGTTGATCGACCAGAAGAGATACAGCAAGCTCGTCAACGATTGCCAATATTGGCGGAAGAGCATAACATAATGGATGCAATTATGCATAATCAAGTGGTGATAATTTGTGGTGAAACTGGTTCGGGTAAAACAACACAAGTTCCACAATTTCTTTATGAAGCTGGTTATGCGACCAATGGAAAATTGATTGGTATCACTGAACCACGGCGAGTAGCTGCCATTTCAATGTCTAAACGAGTTGCCTGTGAGCTTAATATGACCGAAAAGGAAGTTTCCTATCAGATTCGTTTCGAAGGAAATGTTAGTGATAAAACGAGAATAAAATTCATGACTGACGGTATATTGATGAAAGAAATCGAACGAGATTTATATTTGAATAAATATTCTGCATTGATCATCGATGAAGCACATGAACGAAGTCTTTATTCCGATATTTTGATTGGCTTTCTTTCTCGTATTGTTCAAGTTCGCCATAGAAATGGTGATCCATTAAAGTTGATTATTATGTCGGCCACGTTACGTGTGGAAGATTTCACTGAAAATAAACATTTATTCAAGATTCCACCTCCGGTTATAAAAATTGATTCTCGACAATATCCAGTTACTATACATTTTAGTAAATATACAAATCCAAATTATATGCAGGAAGCATTCAAAAAAGTTTGTAAAATTCATTCAGTTTCACCACCGGGTGGTATTCTTATATTCGTCACTGGCCGTACAGAAGTTTTATCTCTTGTTCGTATGTTGAAAGCAAAATTTCCTATCACTCATCAAATTGATCAAAAATATTCCAATCCGAACAACAAGACAAAAGCTGCCAAAGAAACCGTGCCGAATAATGATCAAATAATTGAAAAATCTATCGATGATGAAAATTCAAAAAATATCTTGAATTCTAAATCAAGAATTAATCTAGACGTTTATTCTATTGATCCAGTCGAAACTAGTGAAAAAATTATCGATGGTCTTGATTTATGTGATAACGATTCAAATGATGATGATGATGGAAATGCAAGTAATGATGATGATGATGATGAAGATAATGAATACACAGAAGATCTGGGTTTTTTAACAACAACAGAACCATTATATTGTTTGCCATTATATTCTATGCTGCCTAGTAAGAAACAAGCTTTGGTATTCCAGCCACCACCAGTTGGTTGTCGTCTCTGTGTTATTGCAACGAATATAGCCGAAACATCATTAACGATACCGAATATTAGATATGTGATTGATACAGGAAAAGTAAAAAATATTGTCTATGATCGTATGACCAGTGTATCGACATTTCTCATAGATTGGACATCTAAAGCATCAGCTGATCAACGTTCTGGACGAGCTGGTCGAACTTCTGCTGGCCATTGTTATCGTCTCTATTCATCGGCCATATTCAACGATCAATTCAAACAGTATTCTGAACCAGAAATTCTAAAGAAACCAATCGATGATTTATTATTGCAGATGAAAGCCATCGGTTTTGAAAATGTAACCAATTTTCCATTTCCTACTAAACCTAATCTGGAAGCATTGATTGTAGCAGAAAAGCTTTTGAATCAATTGGATGCTCTTGAAACGAAAACATTGACCGGAAAGAAAAATAAACATATTGAACGCTCAAAAATAACCTGGTTCGGACGATTGATGTCATACTTTCCGGTTTCACCTCGATATAGCCGAATATTATTATTATCAACACAGGCGAATCTTGTTCCATTGGTGGTCACATTGATTTCTCTGTTAACTGTACAAGAATTTTTCCCAACTGATGTGTCGAAAGCGATCAAACAACGACGTGAAAGCTGGTTCTTTTCACATCCATTCTGTCAAATATTGGGCGATCTTTGGACATTGTTAAGTGCGTTTGGCTCAGCTCATTATCATGGATTTAGTGAAAAATTCTGCGTTTCACATGGTCTTCGTTATAATGCCATACGTGAAGCAGATAAACTCCGTTTACAACTATTGAATCAACTTCGATCGATAATGAAAAATCAAACACTTTCATCGGAATTATCCGTACCGAATGAAATCCAAGTCAAGATGTTAAGTAAACTATATCTATCAGGTTTTAGTGATCATATTGCTAAACGCATACCTTTCATTACTGTTACTGTACATGATGATAATGATGAAGTTCGTAAGGTTCAAAAATCCATCAGAAATTGTTATCAATCAATCGAAGTTGAACACAATGTATTCATCTCTCCACATTCGGTTATGTTCAATCAGACATATGATTATGTTGTCTATCAAGAAATATTTGAATCATCAGATGCCGGTAAGATGTACATGAGAAATATTGTACCCATTCAAATGGAATGGCTCGCCATCTATGGCGCTAAACATTGTACATTTTCGAATCCATTGGAAGATCCACCACCAAGATATGATCCAGATGATGATTGTATTAAATGTCATCGCCGATCAACATTCGGTCCACATGGTTGGGAATTGCCAGCCATTGAAGTAGATTATCCCGATGGTCTGGACAAGTATTGTCATTTTGCTCATTTTCTATTTGATGGTTTAGTATTTCCTTCATTGAAAGCAAATTTATCATACATGTCTTCACCACCGATTTTATTCGTGAAATCATGGGCAATGGTACAACCAAAAGTGGACATTGTAATTAAATGTTTGATAAATAATCGAATCGATTGTAAACATGCCTTATTGAACAAATGGAAAATCAATCCTAAATGTAAGTTTCGAAATCAAAAAAATGACATTATTTAGTAGTTACTTTATTTTTTTTTATTTTAGTTTTACTAAAAGAATATTTGGAATGGATTAATGATGGCCATAAAGTTGATGTTCGTAAATGTTGGCCGCCCTGTTAATGGACAAACGAACAATTTATATATACCTCAAGGCTTTAAAAATGTATGTATTCATCTGATGAAAAGTGCTTGTTTGTTGTTTTAAAAACATTGTAATATTATTTTTTTGAAGGATGAAAAATTTTGCAATTCAATTTTATTTTACACACACACACACACAAACACATCTGAGAAATACATGCATGTTTCAAAATCAAAATTCAAATTCGAAAATAAAGAAAAACTTGTTTTTCTTTAGTACGCCATCTATTGTATGTGTTTACATCATCATCGGTGATTAATATCGATGACGATGATGATGTCATCAAACTTTGATTTTTTCCTTGTTTTTTCAATATTATTTTACTGATATATTGATATAATGCAAACGTTCGATGTGGTCATATTTTTTTTTTGTTGTAACTCTTTAATTTATTAATATTATAAATGATACAAGCAATGTATTCACTTTGTTTGCTTACGTCAATACATTTCCTTGTACATTTATGATAAAAGAATATAAACTTGTGGTTGTATTGTTGTTGTTTTTGTTTTAAACTGTGTGTTAATCTTCTTCGTATATCGATTTCTATATACTTTTCTTCGATTAGTAGCTATATTGCAGCAATTGTAATCGTTATCAATATTAAAAACAAAAACGAAAAAAAAAATTATGGATTCACATATTCGAAAGCGCGTTTCTTCTTCGGCTACAATGACGACGAAGATAAAAAATGACGATAATATGAAAAAAGATGCGTCGTCGCCACCGAAAAAAACCAAATCATTCCATAGGCAATCGATTAATAAAACAGTTTGTCGTCAAAACGACGAAAATAAATTCATCATGATGATCCGACGAAATTTATGTTCAATTATATTATCATTGATAATTTTAATATTATTTATTGTTTTTGTTATTATTCCAATCATTGTTCGTAATTCATTCACATTTCAACATTTGGGTGTATTTTTGAATATTGTCAATTTTCATTATTTCTATGATCTTTCGGATACGGAACAATTTGGTTTACGTTGTGCACGATCATTTAGAATTGAAACTAATGATGAAAAAATTAGCCTTGGTGCCTGGCATATATTTCCCGGTGATGAACATGAAGAATGTAAAAGAGCTGCACATGATTTCAATGATGATCGAATAATTTTTCTTTATCTACATGGTAATATGGCAAGTCGAGCCTTTTATCATCGTCGTGAACTCTACAATGTACTCAGTGAAAAATTAAATGCTCATGTTATTGCTTTTGATTATCGTGGATTCGCTGATTCAACTAATGTAATGCCTAGTACATTTGGCCTTACAAATGATACTCGAAATGTTTATGAATGGATATTGAAAAATAATGTCACATCCAATAGAATCATTATTTGGGGACATTCATTAGGAACTGCTGTTGCCACTAGATTTCTGAATGAATGTCCAGATGAAATCTATCCATTTGCAGCGGTAATTGAAGCAGGTTTTACATCAATTGTCGAAGCAAGTCATCATTATCCATTGATCAAATTATTTTCCTTTTTGCCATATTTTGAATATTGTTTCGTTGAACCACTAGTCAATAATCCTGAACTTAATTTCAATAGTACAGCTCAATTATCGGCAATTCGTTGCCCATTATTGATACTTCACGCAGAAGATGATGGTATTGTTTCCTATGATCTTGGAAAAAAATTATATGAACAAGCTCGACATTTGCAACCGAAAAATGTTGCACAAAGAACTCAATTTATTTCATATCCCGCTCATTTTGATTATGGCCATCAAGATATTTATCTTGATCCAGATCTGTATAAAAAAGTGGATAATTTTCTTAAATCTGTCCAACAATCATAGGATATGTTGATTTTAATTATAAAATTTTCTTATCATAAATATCTATTGCATAATTTGATATTTTAAAATTATAGTAAAATTTTAAATTTAAAATAAAATTTATTTAAAGCAATCAATCAGAAAAATGTACAACGAAACAATGATCATGATTTGAATTAACCGAGATATCACTGTATTAAATACCTTGATTCCAATTTCAATCGTCCTATGTGGATAGCTCATTTAAAGCATGTTTTTTTTTGTTTTGACAGATTGTTTGATTCGATTTTTTAGGATTTTATTCTATTAATTTGAACATCGAATATTTTACAAAATGTCTGATGACGAATATGATATTGATGAGTAAGTTTTATTTGATAACATTTTTTGCAAAATGATGATGTTTATTTTATTAATTTGATGTGATAGCCTTGGAGGTGATTTCGATGATGCCGTGGATGCTGATGATATTGGCGATGAAGCTGTCGATGAAGAGAATGTTGAATTTTTACCCGCCGATCAGATGCAACAGAAACAAAATGTTAAAAAGATAACTACACCGTATATGACTAAATATGAAAGAGCCAGAGTTCTCGGAACTAGAGCTTTACAGATTGCCATGTGCGCACCAATCATGGTCGAATTGGAAGGCGAAACTGATCCATTACAAATAGCTATGAAAGAACTCAAGTAAGAAATTATTTTGTTTTTTTATAGCATTAAAAATATGTGATTCTTTTTTTTAGGGAACGTAAAATACCATTGATCATTCGACGATTTTTACCAGATGGTAGCTATGAAGATTGGGGAATCGATGAACTAATCATAAATGATTAATTTAAACTATATTGTCAATTTTCTGAAATTCCGATGTTTTTTTTATTTTTAATAAATTATTAACCTTATCATAGAAGTAACATTGAGTTGAATTCAATAGATTTGATTATTAGGTTGATACATTCGGTTTGGATATCTATTTTCGAGATGATGATGATTGATCTGTCAAAGATTTTATTTTCAACACACGTTGTGCATTTTGCCTTCGAAGATCATTTGTAACAAGCATTGTTAATAAAACACCGATTGCCAATATGATGGAAAAGCCAATATTTGTCCAAAATGGTCCAATGATATCAATCATTGATCCAAAAAAATAGGTCAATATTATACCGAATATTTGTGCCGATGCATTCAATAAACCAGCGGAAGTACCTTCCGGTTCTGGATACGTTACTTCGGCTGCAAATTCGAATCCAATCGGCAAATAACCGGCCATGAAAAAACCCAAAATGACGCTTATCAGATACATCATCATAATTGATTTGATTTTCAAAGCCACAGCAAAAGCTATGAATCCAAACATGGCTGCCACATAGGTGATGATGGTGACCAATTTAAATTTTCCGGTATATGCCAAAATGTAACCACAAATAATCGATCCAAACATACCTGATACGATAATCAGTGAGCCCATAAAACCAGCATCATTCTGGTATTCCAAACCCATTGTTTGTACAACTATTGCACCCAATACAGTACTGACTGCATAACAAACACCAACATTCAATCCATAACTGAGAAAAAGTAAGAAAAAATTTCTATTATAAAATAGTCCACTTAGTGTTTCAGAATAAGATTCTTTCTTCGATCCTTTTAGCAATGCTTGAGCTTTACTTGGTGGAACATCAGGTTTATCTTTGAAGAATAAGTAAATCAATATCAGAATTATTAAGGTGATCAAAGCCACTGGATATGACAGCCACATGAATGCTTGTTCAATTTGTTTACTATCATCAGCCAAAATTTCACCATCTAGCGCAAATGTCGACAATGAAGAATTTGTAGTAGTATTTAATGGAGCAAGTTCCGGCATCAACAACGGTGGAATTAAAAATCCTAATGCTACACCAATTTGATTTCCAAAAACACCATAAGCCGTTGCAATGGTTACTTCATCAGCCGAAAACCAAGTTGCCGATAACATTGGTGGAATATTCAGTATGAACAATTGTGATGAAGCAATTATTGTTTGACCAAGCATGGCTATCCAGAATAGGGAACGATCAATGGAAAAACATTTGATGATTGAGCCTAAAGCATTGCCTGATGCTCCAACGATAAGCGAAATACGTAAACCATAACGATCTAAAAAATAAGTGGCCGGAATTATACCGATAATATAATTGATCATATATATTGTCGATGTACTATTGACCCAGAATGATGTCGTATGATAATATTCTCTTGTGATGGCTTCAACAATAGCATAGATGACCCAATGAAAAGCGTTGGTCATCGATAGAATTACGAATAAAAATAGTAGAAAATATCGAATCTTGAATACTTTATATTTTTTCTTCGAAGATTTCTCTGAATCCGATAATGAATTCATTTCATCTTTAGCCATGACAAATGAACGTATGATATGATCGAACAATCAATATTCAGTTAAAATATCCGATTAACTTTGAATTTATAACGTAAGCAAAAAATTTCCTTAATAAATCAATTAAATGATTACATCGAACAAGGCTAATTCAATTGAATGATTGAATTAATAGAGAAAAAAAAATTTTATTAATAAATCAACAAAATCAATCAATAAAAACTGTTGCGCAGCATATATAGGCAATAACAATAAAATGTTAGAATTTCGAGTTAGGAGGTGAAATTGTCAAAAAAGAGGAAATTGTCTCTTGTTTGTGAACTTCATTTTTTTTCTTTGATCGATAACTTGTAATCTGTATAATAATAATGTATGCAATAAATAAAAAACAATCGGTTTTTGTGTGTGTGAGGGGAGGGGTGAGAGAAGCAGAATAATTTTTGTAATTCGTGCAAAAAAGAACATCATCACAAATTTTGGTTTCAAACCGAATGCATATGAGCATTCTGTCGGCGGAGATCATTCTTGATGAATAATGATAAAAAAACACCTATGGCCAATACAATTAGATAGCCGATATTTGCCCAAACAGAATTATATTGATCGATAATTGGTGTAGATGCATAAGTGAAAATGATACCAAATATCTACAAATGAAAAAAAATGAAAAAATTGTTTTAAAAGTTTTCGATAAAAAAAATTCTAAACATTTGTTTTTTTTATTTACCTGCGCCGATGCATTTAATAATCCAGCTGATGTACTTTCAGGTTGTGGATAGCTTACCTCGGCGGCAAATTCAAATCCAATGGGCAGATAACCGGTCATGAAAAATCCTAATATTGCACAGGTTATGAACAGTAGATTTATATGACGAATTTCGATGGCCACACAAAATGCAGCTGTTCCGGCTAGCGAAAAAATATAAATCAACAGGTTGACTAGTCTGAATTTACCAGACCATCCCAATAAATAGCCACATACAATTGAACCAATAATACCAGATAAAGTTATTGTCAATCCCATATAGCCAGCTTCGACTAGATATTCTGGGCCCATTGTTCGTGTGATCATTTGACTAAGAACAGTGGATAGTGCATAAAACACACCAGTGATTAATCCATAATTAATAAGCAGTAGGATAAAATTTATATTTTTAGCTAATTGTATAATTGATTGGATATATGATTGTTTTGTGTCCGATTGTTCCATAAAACGAATCAATGCTTGAGCTTTACTTGGTGGTTGTTCGGGACGATTTTTGAAAAAAATTAATATTAACAAAAATATCACTGTGGTTATAATCGATAAACCCCATACAAGATAATTGAATCCATGTTCAATATCAACAATTTGTTCAGGTGAAAGATTTGTTGTTTTATTGTTATCGTAATTTGATGTAGAATTCAATTCAGGCATCAATAATGGTGGTATTAGAAAACCAAGTGCAATACCAACTTGATTACCAAAAACACCAAAAGCCGTGGCTCTAGTAACTTCATTTAATGGAAACCATTGAGCAGCAAGCATTGGTGGTATATTGAGTGTGAATAATTGAGCAATGGCCACTAATGTTTGACCAATCATAGCCACATAAAATCTTGATCGTGATACGGAAAGACATTTGACCCATGAACCAAGGGCATTAATAAATGATCCAAATAGTAGACAAACACGTAAACCATAACGATCCTGTACAAATGTTGACGGTGTTATACCAATAATATAGATAAACATATAGATTACTGAGGTACAATTCACCCAAAAAGTTGATATCCGATAATAATCACAAACAACCTTTTCAATTATAGCATATTCAATCCAATGAAAAGCATTTGTTAATGATAATGTACAGAATATCAATAGAAGAAAATGTCTTATTCTATAAACTTCAAATTTTTCATTCGATTCCAGTGACAATTTTTCATCATCATCATCATCATGATTTATACTGGGAAAATTTTGTACTGCATTAATATTTCCACTACAATCATTGATTGATGATGGTAATGATGGTCGAAAATCATTTGTCATTGCAGTCAAATCGGAAGCGGATGAATTATCTTCAAAGCCAACATTATCTATTGTTGTATTATCATCATTTTTATTAGTTATATCGGATATCGATTGATTTTTGGCCATATTTCGTTTTAGAAACACACACAAACAAACAAACACAAACGATGAATTGATAAATTATTGAATGAAAAGGAAGAACTGATTGATTTTGGCAAACGATGAAAATTGATGAGGTAATAAATTATATCACTGATAATATATGATAATTGATTTTTTTTAAAAATTAATAATTAAGTCTTGGTCACTAGTGTACATTTAGTAATAAGCAAATTAATCAATTAATTAATTAATTTGAGATCGATTATGGATGATTAATTTTATTTTTTTTTTTTGGCTTAAATCACAAAAGAAAAGTCATAATTGTCGTCGACGTTGTTGAAAAATTGATCGATATTTTTTTTTTGGTAAATTTTTATAGCTGCTGTTGCTACTGTGTGCTGTCAAGGTTGATATTTGATCTATGCAACACACATACACACAAGTATTAGATTGATTCGAATTTTTTTTTTTTTTTTTTTTTTTTTGATTTGACCGATTGTGATCATCATCGAAATAAAAAAGCAGATGATATTTGTAGTTGATTTTGTTTCATTTTTTTTGCAAATTTTCCTGCATTTTTGTTTACATAATAATAATAATTTTTTTTCGATGTTTGTTTTATCACCACCATGAATGATCAATGTGTGATTTCGGAAGAAATATATCAAATTTTCGATTGCAATCAATCGATCGAAGATTTAAAAAAAAAATCAAAGGACACTTGATTTGACACGTGCGACGATTCGTTTTTTTTTCAACATCTAGTTCCTAGTCATGTTGGAAAAAAATGTGAGAATTTTCTTCTTCTTTTAAGGGTTTCGAATTTGACGAAAAAAAAAATATATTTTTTTGTCATTCGAATTTATTCGAATCTGTCGATCAATTTGTTGAATTTTGTTTGTTTTTTTTTCTCATTTTATCTTTTTCTACTATGGTTTCTTCTACACACACACACACACATGCATGGTGCATGTAATAAATAATTTGTTGATGTCAATAATAAATAGAAATAGATAACAATTCACCAATTTTGGTCGAGTCATCGAAAAAAATGAAATGATGATGAAAAAATATTAAAAACAAAAACCAGAAAAATGAATTTCGATTAATGCAATCATCATTATTATTATTATCTATTTGTGATCATTAATATTTGATCAATATCATCAATATTTGAAATTGAGTATTTCTTTTTTTTTTTTTTTTTTCCAACTCGTATGTGTATATATGTGATGATGAATATGAATAATTTGCTTGATGAATCTGATGGTCAATAGATTGGAAATTTGATCAAATTTTCTGCAAAACTATTACTTTAACCAATGTTTTATTCAATACTAAAAAAAAGGCGTCAAATTGATTGATGCATGAGAAGAGAATGATGTACGAGAGGAAATTCTTTGGTGGTATTTGATAAAATTTTTATAAACTCACACTGAGAGATCAAATCTCAAATGAAGGCGTTTCATTTTCATATCAATCAATGATGATAAATTATACAAAATGATGATGATAATAATAATAATGGTGACCGTTGATAAATTAACGTTCAGTATTTTTTTCTTTGTCATTGAGCAAAATAAAAAAAAATTAACTCGTGGATGTTTTTTTTCTTTTCTTTTTTTTCGAATCATTAATAAAAATATATATATCTAAATTATTGTGATTATATATACTCTTTGGAGTGAAAAATTTATTTGATGATCCGGCTGTTCTTATGACACACTTTGATGAATTTATTATAGAAAAATATCTTTTTCTTTTCAATCATTGCCGATTTTGATGACGATGATGGTGATGAAATTATAAGGAATTTCCAATGTTTATGGAAGATTTTCATTTTTTTTTTAAATCGGTTACCAATGACAATAATAATTATAAATAATTTATTTATTATTTATTTTATACCATATGAACGAATAGATGGAAATAAAATCTCCAATAAAATGAATGATGATGATACGACATAATTGATCAATGTTTTCGATTGATAAAGATGATAGAAGGTCAATATTTATGGAAGAAAAATCCGGAAAATAAAATAAAATTTTCAGGAAGAAATAGTAACCAAAAATCAGATGCCATTTTATATCAATAAAGGAAAAAAATAGAAGATAATCAAGGATTTTAAAACAAATGGCTTTTTTATCAGTTTTTTTTTATTTATTTCATCGACCATTCAATGGATTTAAGAAATCTTGTATTTTTGATAAATAATCAATGAGGATAATTTCGAACATATGGTGTGAAAGATATCGGTCAACATTTTTGATTCAAATTCAATGATAATGAATGACGAGCTGATTGTAAACAAAATCATCAAAACAAAAAAAAATTTTTTTTTTCACGATTATGTCATTTATTTACGGAATTTTCCCGTTTTTCTCATTTTGATGTCATGTTTCGTGTTCAGAAATTTTTTTTCCAATGAAAATTCATTCATTTTTTTATACAGAAAATTTGTCTCAAAATAACAATTCTGGGATTCCAATTAGCAATTGTGCCGATTGTCATAAACGAATAAGCTTCATGTATAAAACACTTTGATGAATGAATAAATTGATTGTTTTGAATTTAAATATTTTCATCATTCGCCTAATGATTGTTTAGTCAAAATTATAATCTATATAGTTAATGTCAATTTTCCATTTATCAATAAAATTCTATAGTAAACAAGATTCATTGAGTCATTTGAAAAATTGTTTTTTATTTAATTGATTTAATCAATAACGATGGGAAAAAATAATAAAGTGTATCTATTGCCTCCACGTGGTCGTAATTCGTCAAAATTGGCACCAAAATATACATATGAAACAACAACTGAAAGGTATTTGTTAATAATGATATTCCTTAGAAATTAAGTTTAATCCATTATGATCTAGAATCGAACCGAATAGTGTTTTTACGCCTCCTGATCATGTAGAATTGCCAGAATTATCGGATGAGAATGAATTATTGTATGAAATGCAAACAATAGTTATATTCGTTATCGCAATGTCAACACAATATTTGAATTTATTTCGTACATTCTGGTGGATGCCGGATACGTATCGTCGTTATGCAATGGTTGGTGTATTCTATTGATATAACATCGACATTGATTTATTATTTTATGTTTTTGATTATTTCCAATTTAGAATTTTCATCTAATCAATCCATATGTGGTTGGATTCTGTGTGACGACAATCATCAAATCATTTGTTTCACATTTATTCTTTAAATTTCAATTTTTTCTACCATCTTCCATACGTATCTCGTACATCTATCTGATCAATGTATTAATTTGTTCAACATTTTTCTATATACAAACCTATCTGCTATTGATCTTATTTCAAACATATAGTTTTGTCGGTCTTTTAACATTTCTGTGCCCATTGTTAATCTATTCAATACTTTATTCACCAAATTTAATTCGTACCTATCAATGGATTAAAGATTCTGAAACAACAAATCTTGATATTTGTTTACAAGCCGTACATTTTATGTTACAACCAACATCAATATCTGCCTGTTTTCCGACCGTTCAACATACCTGTACATCAATATCACCATTTTTGGTTCGAGATGAAGTGGAAAAATTGAAAAATATTTTCAATGATCGTCTTAAATTTATTATATTTCGTTCAATTTATGTATCATATTATGGTTCATTTTTACCATTGGCCATTGTTCCTACACAACATGAATATGATACATTCTGGACAGCTCAACATATCGCCGTTACATGTATGTGTACGTTTTTCATGCTAACATCACATCTTTATTCACCACAATTCTACGATATACTTCATCGGTCATCATTGCATTTGGGTAAATGGCAAAAACTTGAATCAAGAAATACTGTATTACCTTGTCCATCATGGACTGAATCTGTTATATATGGACCAGGTATAGTTGTTCGTCATCTAAAAGAATATTATAAATCTGAAGCAAATATGACTTGTGCTGAACCCGGTAATCAATCTCATTTTAGATTTTATGTAAGTTTCAATTCAATAATCTAGATCACATTTAAAAAATGAAACTATTCTCTTATTTATAGATTGTATTCTCTGATCCTTCTTGTGGTTTTCTAACCCTATTATCATCAATCATTGGAGTTATAAGTTTTCAATTCATCTTATTATGTCGAAGCTATGAATGGTATAAACTGATATCGATGTCATTATTAATGTTGACCAATTCATTGGCAGTATTTCGTTTGATGCGATCATTTTGGATCCTAAAAGAGATATATAAACATGAAAGACATTTTATTGATCCCTAAATCCGAATGAACAAAAAAAAACCGAACTCATACAAATTATTTATATAAATGATCGTGGGTGTGTATGTGTGTTTAAAGACACGAATATTTTTCTTTTATTTTTATTTTCTTTTTTTGTTGATATTTACATTTCGAATTTTTCTTTTTTTTTGTGTTACTCATTTGAAAATTCAATCATGGATTTATTAAATTAACAACAATGCATTGAAAAAAAATTTAAAATTTTTCTTTTTATTTTAATCAAAATGATCACGAAGTATCTGGAATATAGCCAAACTATCTGGTTCAAGAGCAAACAATGTTCCAGTGGGACATTGATTGGAAGCAACAAAAGCAACGATGAATTTGTTTGAAAAGAATTGCATTATTTGATAACGATCATATTCGAGAAGAATCTTAGAAGGTGCATCCAGATTCATTTTGTGAATATTTTCACTGGAATTGATTAATTTCTGATGCAACATTGATTGTTGAAATATTCCATCTGGTTTGGAATCGTTTATAACTAGAATTTTTTTTACAAATAAAAATTGAATTCTGTGAGGAAAAAAATTATAAATAAATTACCTTTGATTAGAAATGCACCTTCACGGTCACAGATAAAAGCAGCGATTCCATCAAACTGTTTCAACAATGTTCGTAATTCACGATCAAGTTCCTATGCAGCAAAAAAAAAAATTGAATGACCATTATCAATTGATTTAAATTTTACCTAATAGCTTACATCGAGTAATGGAGGTGCATTAGTCGAACATGATGAAGAGCCAGTTGTTTTTGGAACCGTAGTACTTCGATCTGGAATTGTGCTCTTTCCTGGCATTTTTTAACTAGACCAATGAATAGATTAAATTGATTTTTGACAACAAATTTTTCCAGATTTATTCACCACAAATGATTCGCCCACAATATTGATGATTAAATCATTACATATATGAATGGATTGCTTATTCGATCATATTTTCTCACGTGCTTAAATCTGAAATTTTTAAAACGAAAAACTAAAAAATTTTCATCAAGAAAAAAAATTAAAAATGGCCACATCAACACCAGTCGTCAATCCTTCAACAATTTTACCATTAGGTATGTTTAATCTGGACATAAATTTGCTGAATACCCAATTATTCAATTAAAAAATTTTTCTCTATTTTAGAACTGATTGACAAATGTATCGGTTCAAGAATTCATATAATCATGAAGAATGATAAAGAAATTGTTGGCACATTGTTGGGATTCGATGATTTTGTCAGTAAGTGGCATATTCTATTACTTAAAATCTCGACTAATTTTCCTTATTCTAATCATAGATATGGTATTGGAAGATGTCACTGAATAGTAAGTGTAAAAAAACTTTTATCTGAATTTCTAATTCAATTCATTATGTTTATCTAGCGAAAATACTCTTGAAGGAAGACGTGTCACTAAATTGGATCAAATATTATTGAATGGCGTCAATATTTGTATGGTACGTTTGTCTGAAGACAATTGTTTGTTTTCCAAACTTATTTTTATTTTTATCCTTGATAGATGGTTCCTGGTGGTGAAATGCCCGATGCTTGAAAATTCAATTTCCTCATTTTTTATTTGTTTCATCATAACATTGCTCATCAAATGATAAATACATTTACTAAAAATAAAAAAACGACAAATAAAAAAAAATGATTTTTTAATCATCAAAAATAGTATTGTTGTTATCTGTCATTATCATGAAAAAATATGGTATCAAAATGAATGAATTTAGAGATATCGAAATGAATGTTATCATGATAACTATTAATAAAATGAACTTGGGAAACCGGTTTGTTTATCCTCGATGTTGTTAATTGTCGATGGTTTGGAAGACGAGTGTCATTAACGACATAAAAAAGTTATCCATCGTCGATCCATGAATGAAGAACGGATAAAAAGTCTGATTGGTGTAATCGAACAAGATACAAATTTCATACGATTCACCATAATATCGACGAAAAATGGTTCGATTGTGACTCAACATCAAGTTCATGTTCCATGTCAATATCCACAGGATGGATGGATTGAACAAAATCCCGATCATTTGTTTCGTTCAATTCTGGAAGCATTCGAAATCGTTTATGGAAATCTTTGTGGAAACCGAATGGAAAATCTTGTCGAATGTTTATCGATCACAACTCAACGATCGACATTTATTGTATGGGACAGATATACGGGTGATCCATTGTCCAATGTGATTGTTTGGATGGATAATCGCTCAAAAGATCTTATTCAATCATTAAACTTTCAAATCGATTTAAGTGAATTGAAAATCAAAACAGGCCTTCCATTGTCGCATTATTTTATGGCATCAAAATTATTATGGCTATTCGAGAATGATGAACAAATTAAACTTGCGAATCAACAGAACCGTCTAATGATCGGCACCATTGATTCATGGTGTTTATGGAAATTGACCGGCATTCACGCTACGGATGTGACGAATGCAAGTGCTACATTGTTGATGAATTTGGAAACTGTAGATTGGGATCACGATCTTTGTAGATTATTCAAAGTGCCAAAATCATCACTACCCGACATTTATCCATCATCTCATACATTCGGTGAGATTAAAATAGGACCATTTAGTGGTGTACCAATAACTGGCATGATCGCCGATCAACAGGCTGCATTGTTTGGACAAAAATGTTTGGATTTAGGTGATACTAATATAACGTTCAAGGATAATTGTTTCCTTCAACAAAACATTGGTCCTGGTCCTTATCGTGAAATTCTATCTCGAATTCCAGTAGAAACAAGACAAAAATTGATTTTAACTATTGCCTATCAATTGTCTGATGAACAACCTATTCATTATGCTCTCGAAGGATCTTCGATGATCACAGGCGCTGCTTTCGATTGGCTACGAGATAATCTTGGATTGATTGAAGATTTTGATGAAATTGAATCACAAGCATCCGAAGAGAATGGAGGTGTTTATTTTGTTCCGGCTTTTCGAGGTTTAGATGCACCATATTGGGATCCAAATGCTTCTGGTACTATTATTGGTTTATCACAATTTAGCCGTAAATCTCATCTAATTCGTGCCACTTTGGAATCGGTTGTTCATCAGACAAGTGATATTTTAGATTATTTAATTGAAACAGAATCCTCTAAATTCATTGTTAACGGTGGATTGAGTTGTAATAATTTACTATGTCAGCTACTGGCTGATATTTCCAACAAAACTATTATACGACCAAATCCTTCATCAATTTCGCCAGGATTGTTAGGAGCAGCTATGCTATCCAGTCAGATAATCAACGCAGACATTGCATTCATACAAAATGTAACAATATTTGAGCCAAAAATCAATGATCAAAAACGTGAATCGATGAAAGAATTATGGACATCGGCAGTCAATCGAAGTCGCCAATGGATTCATAAAAAAGAATTCGTACAACGAAAATTGCAACAAGAACGATTGTCTATGATTCCATTTGTAACATTTTCAATAATTACATTTGCTTTACTCATCTATAGTCGATCAAAGAGTTGAATAAAAAAAAAATTTTTATTTTTCAAATCTAATTATTATTGTGTTCAAATTTATTCATCATTCAAAATTACGAACTGAATTGCGACATTTTTATATTTCCAATGAATCATATTATCGTTATACAAGTTTGGAGAACAATTTTGGTGCTACACAATGATCCACACAATGGAGGAAATCGACAATTTCTTCAAAACAATTTTCAGCAGTTGCCGATTTAGAATTGACACGATCATTACAGGCTTCATATTTATCCTTCAATGATTGACAATGTTCGGTTGTACATCGTTCACGTAATACATTCATCGGATCGACTAATTCTTCCTCTTCTTCTTCTTCAGCATGAACTTTCGGGATCACTTTGTCCATTTTGGAAATAATGATAGATTTTTTTCGAAATCAAAAAAGACACGAAAACGTTTATAAATACCAAAAATGTGCTTGCAAGAAAATTCGTTTAGCATGCAGACAGAAAAAACTTTTTTTTGCAGTGGTCAACAGGACAAAAGTACACAATGATTACGTTCATAAATGACGTATAAAAAACAAGAAAGAAACCAAAAAAAAAATTAAAATTTACTTATGATTTCCGTTTGTCAATACATTAAAAAAAAAATTATCATTCATTTTTTATTGATTCAAAGATTATGCTGATCCTGTACGATGTAGCCATCGATTATGTTGCACGTCACCTATGTTTACACGTTCTTTTTCATTTGGATTCAACATTGTTTCCAATAATCGTCTCGCGTCATTCGACAATTCCTTACTGTATCTAGATCGAATGAATTTTGGAAAATCGGTCATTTCCTGTAACATCAATGGTTTTTCTTTGAAATGGAATGGAAAACGATTCTCAAGCATTATGAAAAACGAAACACCCATTGCCCAGACATCGGCTTTGAATGGATCATACGGAACTTTTTGCAACAATTGTGGACAATAATAAGGTAATGTACCGCAAAATGTCGTCGACATTAAAACCTTATTTGTAGCAGAATCAAATGATTGTCTTGCGAATCCAAAATCTGATAATTTAGCAATGTTTTGCTCATTCAATAGCATGTTGTCTAATTTGATATCTCGATGACACATTAATAATTGTTCATGAAGATGTTGTAGACCGTTGGTTATCTGTAAAAACCATACGCAAGCCAATTTCAATGACATGCCATTATTCTTACGTACATAGCCTGCAATATCACCACCACCCATGAATTCCATGAAAATATAGATACGTTGATTTGCACGTATAATGTCGAAAACATCGACTATATTTTCATGTTTTGTTTCGATCAATGCTTGAAGTTCACGTGGCAAAAATTTTGCTCGATAATTGGCAGTCATCTGTGTCAGTTCCAATACTTTTACCGCTGACAATTCATTTGGCTGATTGATTCGTTCAGCTTTGTAAACCTGGATCGGAAATGAAAACAAAAAAAATCATTGATAAAAATTTTTTATGAGAAATGGACAGATTTACCGTTCCGAATGCTCCAGCTCCAAGACGATTTAAGATGTGATAATTTTTACGTTTGAATACTGCCGCTGTTTTTGGATCAATATCGATTGAAGACGCCGAAGATCCACCGGATTTTCCTTGACTTTGTTTTTTGCTCATTATTCGTAGATGGCTGTTAACATCTTTTTTTCGAGAATATTAAACTTGATTTAAATAATTGAAAAAATTTATTGTTTATTCAATGAAAGAGAAAAATTCTCTAAAATAAACTAATTTAGAAATTCGAATGAAAATAAACAATCTATTTGACCGGAACATTTTTTAATGTGATCGATTTAACAGGACCTTTTTCTGGAACAATAAATGTATCGCCTTTATATGTGGCTTCTAAATTATCATTGGTTGTTAGATCTGGGGCAATCTGTTCCCAGATTTTTTTCTTTGGATTCAATAGTTGATCCGGTTGGCCAGGATATTTAGCAAATGTAACACGATCACCAGGTATGGAACCTTCTGGTGGCAACAATACTTCAACTTTTTCCGGTGTTGATGCACACATGACCATAGCTTCGGAAACAATGCCACGCATTTTAGCCGGTTTTAAATTACAAAGAACGACAACCATACGATTTTGCATCTCTTCCACGGGAACAAATTTAACCAAACCCGATACAACAGTTCGTGGTTTGTCTTCGCCACATTCAATTTGTTCCACATAAAGTGTATCAGCATCTGGATGTTTTTTTACATCGATTATTTTTCCAACACGTAAATCCAAACGGCTAACATCGATCAGTCTTTCGGATTCCGGTTCGGTAGTAGTCGCTGCTTTATTTCCTTTACCACCTTTAGGCTTAGTATCAGATTTGGCTTGTTTTGTCTCAGTTTTCTTTTGTTTTTCCGTTTTTTGTTTGGATTCAACGGCAACTTTTTTGGCCTCTGACTGGGATTGTTGTACTTGAGTTGATGAAGAGTCTGGCATTTGATCTGATAACTTGTTCACAACATTTTTCAATATGTCCATCGACAAAACACTTGGACTGCCTTTGATTTGAATTTCCAAATCGGTTAATCGCTGTGTAATACGTTGAATTTCATTTCGAAGACTTTGATTTTCAGCTATCAATTTTTGCTGTTCAGTTTCAATATCATTTCGATTATCTACATTACCACCATCATTTTGATTATTATTTGTTACATTTAGATTCTTATCCTTCAATGTTGATTCAATATGAGCAATTTTCGATACCAATACTTCGTGATTGGCTTGAAGCTGTCGGATTAAATCATGTGACATTTCGGGCTTTGTTTTCGATGATGATGATGATGGTGATGGCAATGCAAGACGATTTGTTCTACTGAATAAACGATGTCGCCAATAATTCTGTAATGAAACAATCAATATGGACCAGTACTTGGGCATAAGGAAAAAATTGTAATACCGCAAAAAATTTTGTTCAATTTGTAATATAAAAAAATTTTGTCGTTGAAAAATAAAAAAAAGCCACGTTGAAACAAACAGAAAAAAAACGATAATAATTATGCGTCCCACGCCTGAAATCGAATGACCGCGTAATGCAGCTGATTGGTATTAAATGGTAGATGTAGTTCGAATTGGATATTTCTGAATACAGATGGCAGCAGCTGGGCAGATATAATTAAATTGAATGTAATTTTTTTTTTGTAATTTGTCGTTTTCGAACAAAATCAAATTTTTTTCCCCATTGTTTTTACAATTGAAAATGGAAAATAAACAAACACAGATTTTTGACATCAAACGGAAACGAATTTGAATTTGGAAAAAAAATCAATCACACACACACACACACACAAACATTCTTTTTGAAAATGTGACGACAAAGCGAATTAGTGAAAAAAAATAGTCGTTTTAGTCGTGAATTCATTATCCGTTGATTCAAATAATAATAATAAACAAACAAACGAAATGAATGATTACTTCAAAGTTTTGTACAACCATTGTGCATGTGTGAGAATCAAACATGAATTTTCACTCTGAAATTCCTTGTTGTTGTTGCTGCTGTTGTTGTTGTTGTTGTTGTTGTTGTCTGATGTGAATTAATATTTAGAAAAGATAAATTTGCATATTCAAGCGTTATAAAATGATTGAAACGAACTCATCGAGACAGTTTCGACATAATGATTTTTGATTTTTGATTCAATTTTCATCTCAATCTCCAAAAAAAAAAAAAAAATGAAACTTTTCAATTAACATAATAAACGTGATCGATCATCAATTTTTTATTATTATTGAATAAAAAATCAATCAATTCAATTGTAATCAAATTCAATGTTGGTAGATTGAATCTTGTGTTAACATTGAATCTTTTCCGTTGTCAAAAGATGGAAGCACTTTTATAAATTAAAATTAAAATACCGGCAATTTCAAATCGATAATAATTTTTTTTATTATTATTAAAAAATCAATGATTGAAAACTCTGTATTCAAATGTAGAATTATAATTATTCTGAATGAATAATCATGTTTTTATTTCGAGTTCATCATTGAAAATAAACTATCAAGAAAAAAAAAGAAGAGAATTCAATCGAATTGAAAAAAAAACAAAAACAAAAACGAAAACAATGAACGTTTGTTTTGTGTGTGTGTGTGTGGGCGTCAAACAATATAATAATAATCTCTTTTTTCTTTAGCAAATCAGTTTTTCAAAGATTGAATCGATAATCTTTTCGTTGGAACGATGACGATGTAGAATGATGATGTTTCTGTGATGATGATTGTTTTTGTTGCTGTTGTATCGATGTTGTATCTGAAATTGTAAAACATTGTTTTTCTAATTCCAATTGATGATGACAGCAAGAACAGTGTATATCATTTATTTGCAGTGGCTGTTGCCGTTGATTATGTAAATTCTGTCCATCAATGTTGATGTTATTGGCATTAATGGTGCCATCATCATCATCATCATCAGCATTTGATATAATCGATGAGTATTTGGATGATACAGGATTGGAAATAATTTCCACATGTGGAGTGGATCTTTTACGATCCACTGATAATACAACACGAGTTTGTTGTAGTTTTTGTGGATTAGTTGTGACATTGTGATTGATATTGATGATGTTATCATGATTATTAGATTCAATTGAATTGGCAGCAATCGATATTGATTGATGTCGACATTTTTTCTTTGTTTTTCGTTGTTGTTTTTCATCATTTTGCCGCTGTTCAACATCGTTATCAATGTTTTTCGGTGAAACTTTTGTATTTGTTGGATTCTTTTTCATATTTCCATCATCATTATTTACGTCCATTATTGTTTCTATATGGAAAAAAATTGAAAAATTAGATTCAAATAAGAAAAAAAAATTTCCAATAAAACTCATCATCAAGATAACAATTTCTGTTTTTTTCTCTCTGGGGTCTGTGAATTGGAATGTTTTTGATGGAATAAAATTTTCAATATCCATGCTAATTCAGCGAAAAAAACAATGAAGAATTTGACTGCTACGAATAAATTTGAAACGCAAAATGAATTCCAGCAATGTCAATTCATTTATCATCATCCATATGTGGCTTGTTCACCGGGAATTTTTATTCTTTGGTAATCATATACTCATTGCTAAGATATCGTCATTGTCAATGAAAATTCGTCCATTATTTGTGAATGTGAGTGAATGGATATCCAATTTCATTATAAAAAACCACCACTAGATTCAATTTATAACCCAATATTTATAGCACACAGCGAGAACAAGAGAGAGAGAGAGAGAGAATAACAAAAATAAAAACTGTTCATTTGTCAATATGAAAAATTGGACTAAAATTATATATGGGAAATATTTTCTTTTGAAAGTGAAAAACTTTTTCTTTTAAAAGACAACTAATTGATAATGTTGTTCACAAGTTTGATCACAGCAGCAGCAGCAGCAGCAGCAGTCAACTTACATTGAAAGTCATTTATCATCATCGTTTTTTATATATATGAGAAATAAGCATGATGATGATGATTATTAATATGAATGACTGGCTCACTTACTTACTACACAATATAGACAAGACATGGAAAAGTTTTTTTGCTGCTGTTGTTGTTGTTGTTACTTTTCTTATCCTTCTTCGGTGTTGGTCAATTGGCCATTCAACAATTAATTGTATAAATACAATACATACACATATAAATGGTGACAATTTTTTTTTTGTTGTTGTTGTTGTTGAATTGATGATTATTGTCACACATCTCTCTCTCTCTCTCGATTTTTTCCATGTGTGAAAATGAACAATTGTTTATGGCAAAACTTTTTTTTTTGTTCCCCAAGAATATTCATTTATTCATGGAATAAATTCTTATTTTTCATTCAATCATCATCATCATCCACATGACATTGGTAGTGAATGAATCGAATGAAAAGATTGTGACAATTTCACAGTGTGACAGAACGAACGAACTAGAAAAAAAATGAATAAAATTCGTGATTCGTTTACAATTAATGAGATGAGAACCAGTGTCAATCAGAATATGTTTTCCGGATGATTTATCTACAATGAAAAGTCTGTGATGATTATTGAGAACGTTGTTGTACATTTGTGAAACAATTTTATTAACATATGAATTGAATGATAAGGAATTCCTATTGATGTGATTTTGATTATTGTTATGACTGTTGTCTACATGATTGTGATTATTGTTATTGTGTGAATGATGATCATCGTTTTGATTAATTGAATTTGTATTTGATTGATTGTTTGAATGAATGGCGCTGATTATTGATTGCCTTTGATTAGGAACCGATCTAGGACTTCTAATCGGTTCGACTAGTTTGTTTGATTCGCTGTTGTTGTTGTTGTTGATGATGGTTGTTGTTGTTGTTGTTGAGATGGATTTGGTGATTGACTACGACTTTGTGTGTTGGAACGTGGATTGTTGAATCGATTTGATTGATTGTTTGATTGGTTTGACCGATTGGATCGACTTAAGAATGTGCACGATTGCGGTCTTCCACATCTGTTTGCTCGATTACCATATAAGAAATGGTTACGGCAGTATGGTCCATCATCTCGAAACGCTTGGCGCCTGCGGATGTTTCTGCTATTGGGGTTGTTGTTGTTGCTGGTACTTGGTTCGCGGACGAGATAGCAGAAACCTGATGATTGTTGGTGGTGAAACCAACCACCGATGTAAGGACGGGTCACCAAAATATGTCGATATGTGGACAAGTTTATAAATCGAATTTGAATTTTATTGGAACGAAATCACTGTGTGTGTTCGTGTGTCTGTGTTCAATTGTATGCTGACTCGGAATTTTCGGTTGGAAACATGCTCGTTTCTCTCACCGACATTCTCGGTCGAAATAGGAAGAGGTGGCAATAGGCAGGAGCGTGCGCAGCCAGTTGACTGCTACAATACATAATACACATATAAATGGTGACAATTTTTTGTTGTTGTTGTTGAATTGATGATTATTACACATCTCTCTCTCACTCTCTCGATTTTTTTTCCATGTGTGAAAATGAACAATTGTTTATGGCAAAACTTTTTTTTTTTGTTCCCCAAGAATATTCATTTATTCATGGAATAAATTCTTATTTTTCATTCAATCATCATCATCATCCACATGACATTGGTAGTGAATGAATCCACAATTTCACAGTGTGACAGAACGAACGAACTAGAAAAAAAATGAATAAAATTCGTGATTCGTTTACAATTAATGAGATTCTGAAACCAACCACCACCACCTTCTCTCACGGGCATTTTATTAGTTTGTTCAGAATTTTTATATCGTGTGTGTGTGTGAAATGGATTGAAAATAAAATCTTTTCAAGTATGAAGAAAAGATTTTTTCCTGTGAATATATATATATGATTATTAATAATAATAATGAGAAAGAATTATCAATGTTTCAATTCACTGAAAAAAAAATTGAAATGAGAAATTTTTTCAGTCTCTCTCACACACACACAGATTGCATATATTATCCTCACAAGAAAAAATCCCATTTCATTGATAATAACTGGTGGTGATGATGATGATGATAAAAATTTATAATCGATTCTATTGGACCGTAAAATAAATTCATTTTTTTTGTCGAGAGGGTTACGCTCGAGAATCATGAATTCTCTTCTACATTCAATGATTATGTCACAGAATTCGGATTTTCTTTTTTTTTCTCTCTCTTTCTCACTCGTAATGGTAATCTTGTTGTTGAGTTAATGGTAATATATATTCAAAAACAGAAAAACTGACAAATTGATACAAACAAAATTTCAATTTCATCATCAACACAATTGGAAATGTTGAATTGAAACGAATCACACACACACACACACACACACACACACACACACACACACACACACACACACACACACACACACACACACAAGGGCGTACCTGTTTAATAAACGAAAAATTGGTTTATCAGCAAATTGCCCTGTGTGCAATTCTCCACAAAATTATAGCCACATCACCACATGTCCGATGTTTGATGACATTATGAACATCTTTGAAATTAACGGCAACGAACATTTGACCTCCACAATTGGTAAATTGTTAAATAACAACAAACTATCTGATTTCTCCCATCTCGTCCACCGACGCTTAAGGGATATGAATGAACGCCTTAAATTCATCATTTAAAGCTCTATTCTTAATTTTATCTCTTATCTACATGATTATTATCATTGTATGACTTTTATTCTCGTTTTTTTTTTATTGTATTTACATTTTTCATTATTTGATAATTTTAAATAAAGCTAGGAGTCATGCTCCGTTAAAAATTTACACACACACACACACACACACTATTACTACATATGTGTGTTCATTCAATTTGTTGTTGTTGTTATTTGAAACTTGACGTCAACATCATCACATCGTTGTTGATGGTGATTCTTTTTTTTCATTCTAATGCATTTTAATATCAAAAAAAAGAATTTATGCTGGCATGTGTGTGTGTGGTTTATAGTTTCATCATCCATAATCATGATCATCATATAATCACGTAGATTATCACGTCTAATCTCATCATCATCATCATGATGATCATGATAATCAAAATCACAAGATTCACATAAAAAAAAGAGAATTTTTATTGTTTAGGCAATTTTTTATTTCTCTCTCTCTGTGTGTGTGTGTGTGTGTGTGCATTGAACCAAGTCAATTCAAGAAGTATTTTGATACGAAAAAAAAACGACCACTTTTTTTATTATCTGTGTCTAGTGAATCAAACATTTAATATCATGATGATTCTTATTGACAATTTCGTCTCTTCTTCTTCTCCGTCTTTCTGACTGTAAACAACAATAAATGGACTTTTCCTTCTCGCATTTTTTTTTCTCCCCATCAATAGATTGTTTGTCCATTGGATGTCAGATGATGATGGCAAAATGAAATGTTCATTTTTTTTCTCTCTCTACCACCATTTTTTCATTTCTAAACATTGCAAATCATTATTATCATCATTTAGTGTTGGAGAAGAAAAATTTTTAAATCACATTTCATTTTTTGATAATAAACTTTCTCATCATCATCATCATCATAGCGACTAGCAGCTAATAATGTATATATATACAGATAGCTTTTTAATATATTTATATAAATTAAATTCCAGTAAATTGCAATGTGGAAAAATATTTTACTATTCCATGGAAATTATTCTGTTTTTTTTTTTGTTTTGTTCTTGATAGTTGCAATTCCACAGAAATAATAGATGAAAATCGTGGATCGATTTGTATTGTGTTTTGACTATCTAATAAATTCAATATTCGAATGTTAATATGGAAAAAAAATTGAATTGAATTGATAAAAATCCAAAGTCAATAATCAAAGATGGAAAAAATGTAAAAGTAAAAAGTAAACCCTGTTAAAGTAGCTGTCAAAAAATTTTTTTTTTTTTTTTTTTGATTCTTGAAAATCCAAAGTGCAAATCATCACATCTATTCTGTACAAGATTTATGGCTGAGTATTTGTTCTTTGAATGAAGATCAGTTTTTTTCAGTTTGGAGAAAATTGAAAAAAAAATTTCAATGATGAAATATCGAAATCCATCAACAAGAATTCAAATTCGATTCACACATTTGATCCAGATAGCATGAAATTGTCAGCAAACAAACAAACAAAAAATCACATCATGGATTACTATTTTGTCGAATCCAATTTTGAACATTCTGTGTGTCTAAACTTTTCGATCGATCAAAATGAATTTCATCACAAAGTCAGGTAATGAAAAAAAAATTGAAATTATAAAAAAATAAATCAAAATCAATATATTAGAAAAAAAAGAATTTGACAAAATTCGATGAAATGGTAAAGAATCGGATGTTTGTCGCCATCATCATCATCATTATTATTATTATTATCAAATATTTGCTCAGCAACAACACAAGAATTCTTATGACAAGATGAAATTTTTTGACAATATATTTATTAAGGGCTCTCTCTCTCTCTCTTTGGAATGTCCACAAGTCACGAATTATTAATAAAATAAAAACAGAATCAATTTGCTAAAAAATAGACGCCAATATTGTTCGAGTTTTTTGGACAAAGAGAAGCAATATTTTGCAATGATGTGTGGTCATTTTTTTTCTCATTCTCTTTACTTATATTCTAGTGGCCATGGCCATGTTTTAGTAGACAAAATTATTGCACTCAATATTAATTAAATTTAAGAATGGTCAATTTGAGAAAAAAAAATTCTAATTCTTACCTTTATGATGATGGATGACAGTATTATTATCGGCAGTGGTGATGGCAGTAGCATCATCATGTTTAACATATGACAATTCAGATATTTTATTCTCTTTGCTATTGGATTGTTGTTGACTTGAACGACGACGAAGTCGTTTTTCAGCAACTAAACTGTTATTTGTAGTTGTTATCATTGTAGTTGCCATTGTCGTTACAAATGTTGTTGTTGCTGATGTTGTTGTTGTTGTTGTTATGGATGTTGTTGTCGAATTTGATTTTATTAATGATGATGATAAAGGCGGTGGTGGTGGTGATGATGATGATGATGATTGCTTATTTATAGCAATAGTAGGCTTTATCAATGATGATGATGATGATGGTGGTGGTGGTGGTGTAGGCGTTGGTGCAGCTGTAGAACCAGTATTTGTCCAACTATGATGTGTAGATGATTGAGGTGGTGCCGGTGATGTTGTTGTTGATGTTGGCTGTATAGGATCAGCCACATTAACCACACGACGTCGTTGTCTTGGAAGTTTTTCTCTTGCTTGTGTATGTGAATAAAACATTGTGAAATTTGATACAATTACCGGCACAGGTAATGCTATTGTTAATACACCGGCTAATGCACACAATGCACCGACTAACATTCCGGCATATGTTTGTGGAACCATATCACCTTGCCGAGAAAAAAAAATTTAAAAAAAAATTAGGATGAAATCAAATATTTCAATTATAATTTTGAGAATAAAAAAAGCAATTTTCCATTTGAATTCCTGTACATTTTTGTTTTACCTTTAAAATTTTCATTCATTTTCATACCAAAATAAAAAAAAAGATAAAAACAATGTGTAACCAGTGGATAAAAAAAGAAGAAAAAACCAGTTTACCCCGATAATGGGTAACCAGAAAAAAAAGAAGAAAAAAAATATTTCAATTAATAGAATGACTGTATGTATAAATTATGACCGACAAAAAAAAATTCCAAACATTCATTCAAATTTATTCATTTGCGCCTGAAATAAATTGGCTTGAAACATATGAAAAAATAATAATAATAATAATGAAAAAAAAATGAAAGAAAGATTTAATTGGAATCTCGACATGCCGAGATTTTTTTTTTTGAAATGAAATGAAAATGAAAATGAAATCTGATATCGAAAGAAGAACAAAATGTGATATGATTGTGCCATACCATATACATATGTGTATGGTATGGTGTGTGTGTGTTTCTATGTGTATATATACAAAATTCATTTCATTCAAAAAAAGTCAAAATAACTTACCATAACCAACTGTAGTCATAGTAACAATAGCCCACCATAATCCTTCGGGTATACTTTTGAAATCATTTCTTGGATTCGCTTGTAAACGTTCAGCATAATAAACTAGGCTAGCAAAAATAACTATACCAAGTACTAGAAAAAATACTAATAAAAATAATTCTTTGGCACTAGCACGAAATGTATGTACAAGTATTTTCAGACCACGTGAATGTCTTGTTAATTTAAATAATCTTAATATACGAATAATGGAAAAAAAATCCAATATATCAGCATTGGCCAATTGTACAGATGCGGCCAATGATTGTAATATTAGATCAGAATAAAATGATAACGTTGCTATGGCATCGATTACATTGATGGCATCTTTTGTGAATTCCAATTTACTTGGTGCAACCTATATAGAGGGGATAAATAGATCAAAAATGAAACGAAAAAAAAATTTACATGTAAATTATTACTAGGAAAAAAAAAATTATTTGTAAATGATAATAAAAATATCAAAATCAAATCAAATAAAAAGCAAAAAAAAAATTCTGTCTCTCAATGGTATTCATTTGTAACATATGAACAACAGAATATTCTACCATTTTTTCATTGTGATTGAAGTGTCGTCAAAAAAAAATAAATGTGAAAATCCATTAGTTTGTTTATATATTTTCCTGTTGATGATTCTTTTTTTTTGGTCCATTTTACCATCATCATCAACAATCTAAATAGTGGCATCATTCATATTCGTTTTTGTTTTTGTTTGCCACTTTGTGTTGTGTATTTGTTTTGTAAAAGATCAATTTCAATTTCTGAAATGAAATGAAATGAAAAACACACACACCACACACACACAATATATATAAACTTTCATGAGAATCAAATAATCATCACCATCAAGGGCCATGATTGTATTGAATTGTTTGTTTGTTTTTTTTTTGTTGCCTCAAGCCAATTGATGCAAAAAAAAGAAGAAAAATCGAATATGTTTCGAAATTGAAAATAATGATGATGATGATAACTTTTGTATATAAACGATAATAAAATGAAATTTGTCATCACATATAACACAGACACACAGAGACACATGCTTAACATTTGAATAAAATGAGATGAGATGAGATGTGAGAGAGAGAAAAAAAAAGACATCATCACCAATAATAATAATAATAACAATAACAATAATGCATTTCATTTACAAATACAAATACAAATGCAAACAAACGAAAAACAATCAAAACAATGGCAACAAACACACACACACACACAAAAAAAACAGAATATTTAATCATTCTTGCAAAGAATATGAGCATCATAAAACGATGATGATGCAATGAAAATCAATGGACCAAAAAAAAAAAAAACAAAATGTGAAAAAAAAGGAAAAAAGAAATCATACAAATAGATGACAGGATTGAGAGATGATAAATCTGTTGTTTGCCATTTTTTTTTCATACCACTCTATAATATATATCTAGTGTCTGTATTTGTTTGTTTAGAATCTAAACTCTGGATTTTTTTCTGTCTCTCTTTCTCTCTCTTTATCTAACATCCATGAGGTTTTTACAGTTGAGATGAAATGATTTTGTGTTTGTGTTTTTCGAATATTACTACAACAACAACAACAAAAAATTGTTCAGTGTAATAATAAATGGAACAAACACATGAAAACATGTATCAAAACACTATATATGTATGGATGTATTTATTATTTCGTGTTTGTACAACACACCATTATCATCATCATCATCATCATCATCATGGGAAAAAAATATTTTGAAGTAGAGAATTTGAAATAAACAATTTACCTTTGTTTTCGAATGTCCTCATACATTAATATCATTATTATTATTATTATATCATAAAGATAATTCTTAATTCTATTATTTACAATAATCAATATATATTGTATATCCGACAAAAGTGGACAAAAAAACAGTTCCAAAATTCCAGAAAAAAAGTCAGTGTCGTACACACACACACACACACACACACACAAACACACACTTATATATATATGGATGATATATTTGTTCCATTTGGAGTTTTTTTTTGGGTTTTTCAAACAAATGAAAAAAAAATTATTACGTGAACAAAATTTCTGATCAATTATTGTTTGTTCATTTCTCAAAATTTTTCTTCTCTTATTTAGTTAGTTGGTTAGTTATCACCACCAAAAAAAAAAAAAAATTTTCCCAAAATTGAAATAATGAAATAGTGAGATAGTGACGGCCAACCACCAGCAGCAGCAGCAGCAGCAGCATTATTAGGTCACACACACACACACACACACATATATGACTATTTTGCCATTGTCATTCGTTAACGGTGGTGTATGATTTCGATTTTCTTTATTCTTTACCAATTTTTTTTTCGGTGTATAAAAAAAATCGATCAAAAAAAAAACCAATGGAAAAATTTCAAGCAGAAAATGAAACAAAAATTGTATAAAATGTGATTGTACAACAGCAGTGTGTGATTAGAGAATAATGATGATGATGATGATGATAATAATATAATGATGGCAAATGGATAATTGGTTTTTTTTCGGTTGTCCGTATTCTCATCATCATCATCATAGTAGTAGTTGTCGGCTTCGTCGTCTTATTAAATGATGATAGACAAGCAAAGCTTATTACATTCAACTTATTATTATTATTAGTTAGGTACAACAAAAAAAAAAACGAAACATTTCCTGAAATATTTGAATTAAAACAGTGAAGCTCACTTTTAAGGATTGACTTGACTTGTATTCATTTCATCGTATAATAATAATCATCATCATCATTGATGATAAAAGTAAATTTTCAAAGAACCAAACGAATAAAATGAATGAAAAGAAAAAAAACAGACAGAATAAAAGGAAATGATGATCTTAAATGGGTCGCTTGGGTATCATTTTGGATAGTCATGAAAAAAAACGAAAAAGAGAAAAGAAGAAGGAAATACGATAAGAAGTATTTTTTTTTTTTTGGCCACTGTTATCTCGACAAGTCGAACAAAAATTATGAATGTGAAAAAAAAACTTGTCACACACACACAACAAAAAAAATCATTATCAATCGATACGAGTAATTTGAAAACAACGACCAAAAAAAAACATTCTCTGGAACAAATACAATAATCTTACAAATTAATGAGTGAGAGAGAGAGAGATTGACGATCTAGAAAGAAAATTTGGACAAATTTTTTTTTCGTTCTTTTGAATCCAATCAATTTCGATGGTTTCGAAATTTTTTTTTTACAAGATTTTCACCATCGTTGACAGTGAGTGAGAGAAAATGTGACAAATTTTTCATTTCATTTTTTTCTCTCTCTCTCTCTCTTTTAATGATGGTGATGATAAAAGATTTGGAACATCGAAATTTTTTTTTCTTTTTCATTATTAATAATTTTCTGCAAGTACAAAATTAAACATTGAGACATTTCAATGACGAAAAAGACTTTTAACCAATATATTAATTAATCACAACCAATGAAATGAAATGAAATTTTCTTTTTCTTTATTATTCAATAATGAAAAAAGGTTTCAATTTGCAACACACACCCGCACACACACACACACACACACACACATTATCGGTTCTGCGTATAGATTATTTTCTATTTCTTTTTCTTTTTTTCCTTTTTTTTGTAATTTACTTAGAAATTACTGAAAAAGCATTCCCATTAGTCGTTGAGGATCAAATCTGTTAGTTATTAGTCAAATGTAGATACATTATTATCAACAACAGTGGACAACAGTATGGAAATAAAGAAAAAAATAGCCAGAAACGAAAAAAAAGAAAGAAAGAAAATTCCATTAAATTCTACATCAAATTCACAATGTTTAACCATCACCACCATATAGTGAGTGTGTGTGTGTGTGCATGGAATCAAAATCATAATGCTTTTATGAACAAGAAAACAAAACAAAAAATTATATTTAACAGAATCCAATTTGTTCAGACAGATTTCGATGCTACAACAAATGAACTGTGCTAATTTTATCAAAAAAAAAGTCAAATAGCAAATTGTGCAGTGTGAAAAATAAAATAAAATCCAAAAGAAAACAAAATTTGTTTGAAATCCGATAAATGCAACAAAACAGTAAATTGAAAAACAAACAATAGAATCGAAAAGTTGGAAAACTATCGGCCAAAATTCATCGTTTGTTTGTTTGTTTTTTTTTTTTTTTTGGTTATTACTTCTCAATCGTATGATTGTCATGAAATGATGATGATCATTACATAACGAATGGATCAAAAAAAAAAAAAAAAAACATCTGCTATCCCTATGGGATATATGCAAAAGTAAACCTCAAAAAAAAAAAATTGGACCAATTGTAATTATATCTAAATATATTAATAACAGGAAATCTTATTTCGTACGACAACACAACCGGAAACAAGCAAACATTTAAAGCCCCCCCAAAAAAAAAAATTTTGTTTGTTTTATCGTATATACATGACACACGCACTTGTCCCACTTGTGTGTTATCAATGTCATTTTGTTTTCACCTCAAACCACCACCACCACCACCACTGTCATTATTATTACTGCTATCAAATCATTTATTTTTCACTACTGTCGTTAACGATAATGTTCGAAAAAAAGTCAAAAATCGTTTTTTGTTTCTGGTGTGAAATTTTTTTTTTTCATTCTCATTGAAATACATGATGATACATGATGATTGGATCTCGGTAGCTTAGAGATTATGTTGTGGCCATATTTATCATAATCACCAGGAATCATCATCATCATCATCATGCATGCATAAACTGTTTGGTTACACACACACACACAAACAACAAAACAAAAAAAAATGAATGTCGAAACATAAACAAACAAAAAATGAATGTTCAAAAGATAAAACGACCAAAAAAAATGGAATAATAATAATAAAATGCAAACAAACAAATATGGCGTTAACGGAAAATGCAATGATCATTCATAAATCATATTTCATTCTCTCTCTCTTTTTGTTTGGCTTCGTTCGTTTCAGTGGTATACCAGAATAATAATGATGAAAAAAAATGTGAATTAATCGTATGATGATGATGATGAAGACGAAGGTCAGAAAAAAAAGCTACCAACTATTGTGGCCATTAGATAAATATATAGTTTCAGAATTTTTTAGCAAAATGTCCAAATGATCAACCAAAAAAAATAAATTCTTCTCATTTTGCTTCTCAATGTCAATTTTGTTTTGTTAATTTTTTATGATGATGATGATGAAAATTATGATGATTAGTGTCAAATTTTTCTTTCATTTTTTTTCTCACTTTACGCAAACTCAAACAAATCTTTCTTTGGCTCAAAAGTGTTCGATTTTTTTTGGTGTTGAGTGGAATGTTTGAATGAAAAAATTTTCCACCACTCAACACTGGATATATCAGATAAAACTTACCAAAAATCTTGTTGCAATTTCAAATGAAAACCAAGCATTACAGATGGATTCAATATAGAAAAATGCATCATGTGCATCGGTTTTATGTTTATCCAAGGTCCATGATTCTTTCCATGTTTTTGATGATGATGATGATGATTTTGATTCATTATCATCAAAATCTTCATTTTCATTATTATCATCAATATTTATATCACTTTGTTTATTATCACTAAATGATGATGATGAAGAGGATTGAGCAATTGTCGATGATGATGATGATTTATGTGGATAAGATGGCCGTTGCCGTTGTTTATGATGATTATTATGATGATGATGTCGTTGTCTATGATGATTTGGATGAATTGAATATTCTTGTTGTTCTTGTTGTTGTTTATGTTGTTCATATGGTATGGAAGAATAACGTGAATAAGGTGGACGAAAATTTGGTGGCTGTTTTATAGTACGGTTGTAAATGACCGGCACACGCATATTTGGATGTGTTTTTATACAAAATGAAAATATTGATACACATATGAAAAATACGGAAATAATTGCCACACCCTGAATATATGAAAATGATGAAAAATGATGAAAACAAAAAAAAAAATTCGATTAATAGAAAATTGATTATTGATTACACAGGTGAAAGAAAAAAAAGTATAAAAAACAATTAGATTAACAGAAGCAAAAAAGAAGAATAAAGAGAGAGAAAAAAAAAAAAATTCAATAAAATCCACCATATTCTATATATATTCTAGCCTATGGGTGTTTTTCTCTTTATCTTTTGTTTTCTGTACTAATAGAATCTGGTAATGTGTTCATTCAACTATTATCATATGTTATGATCATCATCATCATTATAATAACGATCAATAATTGATCAGCTGATTTTTTTTCGTATGTGAGGAGAACAAAAAACACATAGGGAGAGTGAGAGATTTATTCATTATTGAATAATTTACATGTTGAACGGAGAATAGAACGAACAAAAAAAAATCAGTAAAACTAATGAAAAAAAAAAAAAAATCTAGAAGGTAGAAAAAAAACAACGGGCCAGGAAGAATGAATGATGATAAGATGGGAAAATTTTTCTTGGTAAAATTCATTGAATCTATCCATATTGGTTGACATTTAACCATTTTTTTTGTATTTTTTGTGAAGAAGAAGGAATAAAAATCGTAGAATAAAACAAAACAAAACGAAAAATCCCCAATGGATCATCATATATTAAATGGGGAATCATAGAATCTAAAGAATCTGAAGAGATTCATCTAAATAATGCATGTGCATTTATTATAATAAACCAACAGCAACCAGAATCCATTATAATCGATTTTTTTTTCATTCATTCATTCATTCATTCACTTTCTCGTAGATAAAATCATCTCGTGTTTTTTGTTTTGTTTTGTTTTGTTTCCCCCCCACTGGATGAAAAAAACCATTTCATATATATAATCAAAAAGTCAAACGAAAAAAAAAAAATTCATCACAGCCTGAAGCCAGCGAAAAAAAAAATTTTTTTTTTTTTGCTGCTTTTGTTGTTGTTGTTGTTGTTGTTGTTTGTATAAAACTAATTTTTTATGCATTTGAAAAAAAGAGAAATTTTTTTTGTGTGTGTGTGTTATTTCAACGTTTATAAACACACACACATGCACACACAAAAGTGAATGAAATATTTAAACGATCGAGACAAAATTGCTTGTGAAAATAGTTTTGTCATTGAAAATGAGAAAAATAAAATTCTGGTATGTGAACAGAATAATGGCAATATACCATTGTACTGGTATATAATAATAATCATCATAATAAAAACGATGATGATGATAATTTTGCTCACGGGAAAAAAAATCGTATCGTGTATGGCAAAAAAAAAATGGAATTCAAATATAACAAACAAACAGACAGACAGACAGTGGTAGATGAAGAAGAATAGAAAACTTTACAACAGAATCCATGATGGTTGTTGTTGTTGTTTGTACGATTTGTCTGCATTTTTTTTCACTCAGACGAAAAAGTTTTTCTTGTTTGCTCATTTATCTGTCTCTCTCTCTCTCTCCATGGATAATAAACTCTTCGGTTTTTTTTCTCCTGATTCAAGTATTTTGAGTATATTAATAATAAAAAATTGAAATGAATATAAATTTCCGGAATATATCAATGAATAGAGATGTTAATTTGACACTAACTTTTTTCTCGATTACTATTTTGACCCAAAACGCCATTTTAAAATGAAACATTGAAAATTGAATTGAAAAGCAAACAACAACAACAACAACAACAGAATTGGAATGTCTATTTTTGATAATATAGAACAGTGGATTTTTTTTATATAATAAAACTTTTATGATGATTCAACAAACAAACGAAACGAAAAAAAAAACAATCATCATCATCATCATGTTATATTCCGTTAGTACGTATATTTTGAATGGATTCAAAATTTCAAATGTCCATCAACAACAACAACAACACAAACGGAAAAAAATGTGATGATGAATAATTAATTTCTACTACTACAACTGTGTACTGTGCACTTTAGCTAATGGTGATCTTTCTCATCATCAAAAAAAAAAAAAACATCAAGATTGTCCTGATACTGTTGACTAATGCCAATAATAATGATAATAAAAAAAAGAACATCAACGAAACTACTCTACACGACACGTGAAAATAAAGAAATGTAACAAAACAATAAAGTCAAATCAAGTTCAATAAAAAGTGAAAACTTGTTCCAGAAAGAACTGTCTGTGGAACACACACACACACAAGGCAATGATGATGATGATGATAGTCATATATATATAGTAAATTATTATTATTATATATGTGAAATGAAAATTTTTGAATGAATGAATAAATGAATGAAGAACAAACTTTTTTTCACAACTTCCCATGAGGATTTTGATGATACTAAAAAAAAAGACAAAACTTTTTTTTTCCTTTTTGTTTTGAAGAAACAAATTTTTTTTTTGAAACTTGAAAAAAAAAAAAAAAAAAAACTTTTTTTGCCTACGACATATGAGATTCATTTTTTTTTTTTTTTGGACGAGAAATTAAAAATAAATTATTCAATAATAATAATGATGATGATGATTCATTATGTGGTGGACAGAATTTTAATTGAATTACAACAACAACAACAAAAAACGAATGAATGAAAAGATTCTGGAAACACCAAAAACATTAATCCATTAGGGTATCATGACCATCATTATCAATATATGGAAATGAAAGAATAAAAATGGTCATTTTTAAATCTCAAGAGAAAGGAAAAAAATTTTAGTCATTCTTTTGAATTGTGTGTTTTTATATATGTCATCAAATACATCAATGGTTGATAATGGTGATGATGATGGTGGCTAAATTATTCATTTCATCATCATCATCATCATTTAAATTTAAATTCAAATTCAAATTATAAAATGGGAGCGAGTGAAAGCTACAAATATATCAACAACAATAGCAGTAGTAGTAGTGGTAGTAACTAATTTAAAATTCAAAATTGATAATGATGATAAAGTGTGATTTGAAATTTTATTTTGACAACAATCCAATACAATGGTATTGTCATTTACATCTTGTGTATAATAATAATAATAAAAACAAACAAACAAACTATCTAGCTAGTTCTCACCTTGGCCGCATTAGATGAATATGGTTCATCAAATAATAACCATATTTTTGGTTTTAAACGTTGCCATCTTGTTAATTTTCCTTTATGATATTGTTCTTCATAACCAAATTTTTTTGACATTTCTTCTTCAGTTAAACTAGCTGCATCCATATCCAATGTATCCAATATGGCCAATGTTTGTTGTGTATCACGATGACATGTATATGTCATCCAGCAACAAGGTTCAACCTAAAAAAATGTTAAGGAAACAAAAAAAAAAAAAAAAAAATTCAAATTTACATAATGTAATAATATTCTTAGTTAACCATTAAGCAAATATATATAATATAATAAAAAAAAATAGCGACGAAGAAAAGAAAAAAAATTAAATTAAATATTCAACGCACATACCTGATTAGCATCAAGACCCCAGAATTCTAGCTCCTCTTCAAATAATGGGCCACAAACATTAGTGGGATAATGTAATTTTCCGGTTCGATAATAATTTAGAATCTGTGCAAAAACACCCGGATGTCTATCAAAAAAATATTCATTCAAAACGGGATCATAATTTGCCAATGCTTCAGTTAAACGTGATAAACGTGTTGCCGGAATTTTTCTTAATGTTGTTTTATATGTTTCAAAACGTATGCCACCAACATTTAATATCACACGATTATTTTCAGTTATACTACTACTACCACCACCACCACTATTACTTGCACCATAAGTACCAATAGATCCGGTACCAGTACCGGTAAAACCATTGGATGTATAAAATCCACCACCACCACCACCACCGTGATGATGATGATGTGGATAATGGTGATGATGATGATGATGATGGCCACCAGTACCAGTCATCATTAAATTTCCACCACCACTGGTAGCGATTGAACCACCCGTACCAGTTGGAATTAATCCACGAGCAAACATGAGATTGTTCACGTATACACACACGTACACACCAAACGACGTATTGACAGGCAACCGGTTCGAAATTTTTTTTTATTCAGGTTAATTTTTTTTTTTTATTTATCGTTTGTTTAATTTTAGTTCATTTTGTAGACACACACATAAAACATAAACACACAAAAAAAAAGAAAAATTCAACTGCATGAACTAAATCAACAACAAAATCGATCAATCACTTTTTTTGGGTTACCAGGAAAAACACATGAACTGAAAAAAAAAATTTTCTGATCAGTAAATTCTGGCATTTTTTTTCGGTATGCTTGATTGTCGACGTCTTCGTTTGTGTGTGTGCGTTGATAAATATTGATGATATTGATGTTTTTTTTGTTGTTGTTGTTGTTGATCTAGAAGAATTTTTTTCGATGAAATTCACTGACGAAAATATTTATTTAGTGGTTTTTGATTTGTAGTCGTCGTCGTCGTCGTCGTCGACGTCGACGTTGCTGGATGAAAAAAAAAATCTGCCATTCATCAACCCATCCAATAATCATTGATTATGTCGATGATGATGATGATGATGATGATAAAATATGAAGAAAAATGTAGAAAAAAAACTAGAGAAAAATTTCAATTAAATTTTGTTGTTGTTGTTGCCGAAATTCAGTTGTTCATTGATAAACGACAGGCGGTCGATATTTTAATTTTATTTTTTTTTCATTTCTGGAGGTTTAATTTAGTTTTTAGTTTGTTTTTTTTTGATTCTCATTGCTGATATTCACGGTTATTTTCTACAAAAAAAAAATAGTAAAATAGTTGAATGAAACTTCTGGATGGCAAAGAAGAGAAAAACTTTCTTGAAAATGCAAAAAAAAGGAGAATTCCGGTCTATATCATCATGATCATCATCATGTTGTCGGCATTTTTTTGGTGAATTCAAATAATGATTTCCGAACGACGAGATAAAAAAACTGGCACAAGTATAATCAGGATAAACATGGTGAAATGAAGAAAAAAAAATTTAAATTTCAAATTCATCGCAATTCTCACAACACAATATAGCCGAAAACGAAAAAAAAACGAGGATAAATAGAAAAAAAGGATCGGCAAACAATTGATATTTCCGTTGTTTTGGATCAATATATTGTGAAAAGTGTGTGTGCTGGTCTGTGTGTGTGTGTTTGTGTATTAGTGAAGTGTGAATGCAAAATAACAATGTTCAACACAAGAACATTGACAGTGACACAGAATGAATTGATGATGAACGAATGATTATCATCATGAGAATATTCTGATAGAAATTCTTTGCCGACCTCCCCCAAAAAAAAAACACTGTATAGGCTTTTGGTATTTAATAACAACGAAATGGATGCGCATGGGGCTTTTGAAACCGCATTTGAAATTATATAAAAAAAAATTAACATTAAAAAAATTAATGAATCAAAGAGTGTTTGTCGATGAACTGAATAACTGTTTTGTGATAATGACATTGCCATCAACCATCACATCATCATTATTATTCACACATACACACACAAACATTGGATATGATGAAATTAGCATCCTATTGTTATTGTTGTTGTTGTTGTCGTTATTATTGTGCTTATTTGACATTCAATTCAAAATGAATCAAATGTTATGACACTTTAGTGAGAGACAACGACAACAATAAAATTTCATCATTATGGAAATGGAAAAAATTGTGAATAATAAAAAGTTTTTTAAGATTCAAATTTGTTTGTATTGTATTATATATATGATATATACACACACGAATAAGCCAAACAAAATAAAGATGATGTGATGTGATGTGATTTTTTTTTCGTTTTGTTTTGTTCTGTGTTCAATAATATTGAATCATTGATCCAGAAAACAAACAAACCAATAAAATGTCCAATAAAGGCAATTAATTAACCTTTTCAATTATATTAATATATATTGAACATAGAATGTCTTGGACATTTTTTTTTGTTGTTATTTAAGATTCATAATAATAATAATAAATAAATAAGGAACAAGCACTCAGTTTTATGGCTGTTTTTTTTGTTCATGACCAAAAACCAATTAATAGATGATGACAAAATCATAAATGAACAATAATGGGGATACAAAAAAAATATGGAATTCAAGAAATTTATGAAGATTTTATGGTCGATAACATTTTTTTCTAGATGAATCCACATAAGAATGCGAAGAAAAATTGACAAAACAATCGACAATCGATTTGCAATAAACTTTTTCTTCTCAATCAACTTTTTTCACTAAATATTTCATCATCATCATCATCATCATCGTTAATTTGGTAGTTAAATTATATATAGTGTATGCGAAAAAAAAGAAGAAAAAGAAAATCCAATTTGGATTCATTTCGTTTTCTGAATAAAAATACAAAAAAAAGAATCCAACAACAGCAACAACAACAACGAAATGACGACAACGACAATAATGATGGAAAAAAAAAGTTTTCTACAAGTCTTCAAATGAAAAAAAAAGTTCAGATCAATTTATAGAATATTCTGAGGAAAACCAAAAAAAAAAAAAAAAACGAAACGAAACAAGAAAAGTGAAATTGGTGAATATATTTTTTCCCAGAATGAAAAAAAACGACAAAAAGAAGAAGAATCGAGAAAAAAAATGAATGAAAATCTTAATTTGAATCAATGATGCACAATCACATAGATTATTACATCATCATAAAAGTATTGAATAATAATAATAAAAACGAAATTCAAATCATATGGATAATCAAATTAAATTCATGATGATGATGATGATGATGATGATTGGTGGTAATAATCATCATCAAGTTTTTTTTTGATCCAATTTCACATTGAACATGAAACATTTTCATTTTCAAAATATCAAATGTCAGTGCCTATGAGATAAAGTCAACAATTGATGAAAATCAATGTTTACACACACACACACACACACACACACAATTACATTGAAATGAATGTATAAGAATATGGAATAGGAAGCTGAAAAGAAAAACTAAATCTCCAGTTTTCAATCATTATGGTTAATCATTTTTGTTCCCATCCGATATGAAATGAAATTCATGCATTGAATAATTGAAAATTATGAGTGTAATAAAATGAATTTTGTAAAAAAAATGGAAAAAATAAATTATACGTTTGAAAATTGATTCTGTGCGAACGCACACACACACACACACACACACACACAATGGTATTCAACATTAATGCGAAAATTCTATCATATTCACTCTAAGAATCTATTTAGATTTTTCATAGCTATTATATGAATGTGAACATACCAGAACATGACGACCAATAATGCAAATACGCGCGCACACACACACACAAGGGAATATTTCTCGTTATTCATTTTGATTAAAAAAAAAAAAAATAAGAGAATCTACATAGCAAAAAACTTGAAAATAAATGCAAATGAGAAACAAACAACAACAACAACAACAACAAAAAATTCAACCACCGCTCATACACAAACAAAATGATGTTAATGATTTTAATAATTTATAATAATGGATTTTAATACGAATCTTTAGTATATTATCAAGCATGTGGAAAAAAAACCTGCATATATATACTGGTGTGTGTGTGTGTGATCGTTTTTGTTACATTAATTTCATGAACCTTAAAAAAAAAAAAAAAAATAGAAAAATCACCAGAAAAAAATTGGATGCACAATGAAGGTAATTAAAATATTCTACTACTCTATACCAGACACAACAGGCCAGCCTTCATACACTAATAATGATAGTAAAAAAAAAATCCAGATATACAACTGGCAAAAAAAAAAACAAACAAACATTAGAAAATAAATGTCTGTTATATACTTTTCAAACGAAAAACTAAAAAAAAAACATTCCACAAATTGTCTACATGTAAAATAGTGAATAGGCCATTTGGATTGTGGATGATGAAAAAAAAGGAGAAAGGGAGAAAAATTAATTTTTCATTCAAATTAAGGCAAAGTTTCTCTATCTCTTTATCTCACATTCTTTATATGACATGTGGCCAGACCACACAAGGTAAAGTAAATCAACAGAGAACCAGGAAAAAAAAATTGATGCAAATGATGAATAATAATGATAATGTACATTATGTAGAAATTCTCTCCAGAAGAAGAAAAAAAAACATAATCAACATTGATGTATATGTGGATATGGAATGAAATTGATATATATTTTCTAATTAAAAGAAATGTAATTCGTATGTTTGAATTGATTGGTTTGCACAAATGTCAAATCTAATTACTAATTTTATTTGGTTAAAAAGGAAAACAACAAAAAGGATCAAGAAAAAAGATTTTGTTGTTGTTTTTTTTCGGAAAACTTGAGAAAAAAGAGAAAAATAAATTATCTTTTTCCAAATGAAAAAGATAAAATTGTGTGTATAGATGTCCCAAATGGATAAAATATGAGAGAGGATTTGTTTGTCCTGACTATATCTGTCTATCTATAAATCTCAATATCATACAATTCAATACAAAAAAAAAAAAAAATTTTCATGTACGACAAATTGTCGAATTCGAATCAATATAAGGTCATTAGTTAGCCAATTAGCAAAATGATGTACAATATAACTAGCAAGAACAACAAAAAAAAATGTCAAAACAGAATTTCCAATCAATGATTGAATGAGATTCTAATGTCGGAAAAAACAGAAAACAAAGCCAGAAAACAATTAATTTCAAAATTCAAAAAAAAAATATCAAAAACAGAGTAGAATTTTTTTTTGTTTTGTTTGAATATCGATAAATTTCAATATCTCTGTAGATGATGATGATGATGATGATCATCCCTTCATCCATCATAATCATCATCATCCTTATTATTATGATAAAACTGAATTATTAGATCGTTTCAAATTCCAAACAGAGAAAAAAAATTTCCATTCTTCATTCTTAAACTTGTTAGCCATGCTGGTGTTGTCATTGAAACGAATGATGATTTTGATATAACGGTTGTTGTCAACAGTTTTTTTTTTTGTTTTGTTTTGTCTTTTTTTTGGGTTTAATTCAATGATAAAAAAAACGGAGATATATTTTATACAACTACGGATATTTAGGAAAATATTTTATTATCTCGGATACAACAGCAGAAACGCATACACAGACACACACACACACACACACATATTTTGAAAATGGACTCATCATCATCATCATCATCAATCATAAAATTCACTGTATATATATATATTGTTTACAGGGATGTATTATGATATTATCTGTCTGTAATATAATAGGATCAAATGGTTCTTTTCTTTCTAGTTTGTCATTCATTTCATTACAGAGTATGTATGATCATCTATTTATCAACAAAAAAAAAGATCCAGAAACGAATGATTATTTTCAATAACAAAACAAAACATTCGATCATCATCATCATCATCATGGTTCAGTGGAATTTTTTTTGTTGTTGTTGTTTTTGCTTTGCTTTTAAACATATTAAAAAAAAAAACGTTGACAGAAATGAAAATCGGATAAATTTTCATCAATCTAGACTATTCTGAATAGATTCTAGAGGATTTTTTTTTATATGTATGAAAACAAAAAAAATCAACACTTGAAATCTTATTAAATCCAGAAAGAAAACAAAAAACTGAAGAACATTGGTTTTGTGTAGCAATTTGTAAATAAATTACAAGCAGAAAAAATTGATTACAGATTTCGTCGAATTAAATCTGAAAACTCACCTTTTTTTTACTAGACGCTAAAAAATTTGCGGATATTAAACGGACAAATTTCAAAAAAAAATTTGACGACAAAATTTTCCAGAAATACACCCACACACACACACATAAACACGCAGACACAGACACAGAAACAAACACCAGAGAACAGTGTGAACATAACCAATCCGGATGACAGACTAACTTAATCGATGGCGCCAAACTGACACTTTTATTTTCATTTCGAAAAGAAAAAACCAATATATGAAATGAAAGAGAAAAATGAAAATTTTTTTTTTTTACATTCCATTCTGATCATCATCACTGGCTGTAGTAGTAGTAGTAGTGGTAAAATATTTTTTCCACAATGAAGAATCGTTCAATGCCATATACATACACACAAATGATTCGAACACAACAAAGAATCGCTATGTTCTCATGTTCCAAAAACCAATGTATTCACTCTATATATACAAATCAAGGCTAGAATTCATCATCATTCTGTTCATCTATATATATACACGTTATATGTTAAAACTTTTTTTTTTTTGTCTATCTTCATCATAATTCCAGAATCTATGGTAACCGTGTTACGACAGAAACAAACAAACAAACAAACAATATAATTCAACACCTGTGTTTGCGAGATGAAAAAAAAAGAATGAAAACCAATGAAGAAATCTGATAAAATTGAACACTAAATGTTTTCTATTATTATCATTAGTTTATCATTCAATTTTGTAGTCATGAAATCCACTCTATAAGTTATAAAAGAAAAGTATGAATAAATCTGGTTGCTACTTGATTTCATATTGTGTAAAGTGTACAAAAAAAATACCGAAGATTTTCTTCCAACAACAACAACAAAAATCATGAAAATGGAAATTCTCTAGAGCCATTATTATTAACCATCATCCACATTTTTTTTCTAATACCGATACTCTGTGTTGTTCCATTTCAATAACGTAACAACAAACAAACAGAAAAAAAAGGATAAAAGAGAATGTTTCAAAATGAAAAAATTCCTGCTTCCGTGGATATCATATATATATAATATATAATCAACACACACACAGAATAAGAAATATTTTTTCATTCTAGTAAAAATCACATAAGAACTTATCCACATATACATTCGGATACAGATAACAATAACTAAACGTCAACAGAGAAAAGAGAAAGAAAAAAAATTCCCTTATTCAAATCGAGCGACAAAAAAAAAATAAGAACGGAATCAAGAGAATCAAATTCATTGAATATTATCATTTTTATCCATTATTGAATACGGTACGAATTTCAATTGTTGTCAATGGATGATATGTGTGTGTGTGTGTGTGTTTGCTTTCGCGAATAGAATTCGAGAATATTTTTTTTCTTTGCAAAAGTTTTCGGATCATAGAATACAACAAAAGCGAAAAATAAAGAAAAAAGGTAAATCTCGATAAATAAAAACGTGACCAAAAGTTGTTAGAAATTCAATGCTGAGTCTTTTTTTAGTTGAAAAACAACTAAACGCGTGCCATTGAGCAAACCATTTTGTGGTTCAATATTGCGGATCAACATGATAATCGAACCAACTTTTAATTCAAGTTTGTGTCTGATAACCTTGTGGGTTCATCGCTTGACGACAAAATCAACATTGAATTGTAGACCGGTTTGGGTTTTTAACGCATTGACGATCAATAGACCAGCGGCTCATATATGCGCCAAAAACACATGAAAATTCGAAAAGTTGGTCTATTTTGAGACCTTTTTTTTCTGTCTATGGCGGTCGTCAATGGGTTAATCAAACTTTAATCACACCAATGAATGAGCTTGATTTTTGGCTGGAAAAAATTGATTTCGATTTTGATTATCATTTTTCGGAAGAAATAAAACGTACTTATCAAATTTACCAATGAAAATTTGCCACGATAATTTTCATATATATGAAGCAATGTGTTAAAAAAATTATTTCGATATGAAAATAAGAAGAAGAAAAGTATATGTGAAAAAAACTTGAATGTAATGATGATAAGAATAAGATGTGTTCAAATAATTTAGCAATGAAATCATTGGTGATAAGATTTTTTTCTATATAAAAAAAAAATTTTGTCCATCCATCACACGTTTGGTTTGTACCGAAGAATAATTTCCATCATTTCATTTAATTGGTTACTTTTGAATAATTTTTTGACGACAAAAAAAAATAATACATGGATACAATATGCAATAATGCTGATGTTGATGACAATAAAGCTTCACAATCAAAAAAAACAATGGCTTTATTCATCAATCAAAAAACATTCATGGATATTTCCATTAAATTGTTCTATTGGAACTTTGTTAATCACCATTGTTCCATATATATTAACCGTACATTATGGTTATACTAATAAAAAAATATTTCCACTTATTAGCGATTCTGGTGGTTATCCACCTGGTGCTAATATATTTTCATCATTCTTAATTATTTGTGCAATATTTTGTAAGTATGAATATACTCAATGGATCGATAATAAATATATTGATCATTCAATTCTTCGTTTGTTTGTTTTTGATTGAAAAATAGCAACACTTACTGCATGGTTTCGTTATAAACAAGTAAAATATTATCTACAATTACATTGGAAAGATGATCAAAACATGAATGAATTGAAATATTTAAGATCAATCAATTGGACATTAGTAATTTTAATGATTTTTTCATCATTTGGTATGCTAATTGCAGCATCATTTCGTTTTACGGATTCGGCCACAATTGCTGTTATACATGGAATTGGTGCTACAATAACATTTGTTTGTGATTTACTTTATAGTATCGGTACAGCATATATCTGTTGGAAATTGTATCATGTTTATTGTTTGGAATCAAAACCAATATCATTAATTGTTTTTACCATCGTAAAGACGATAACGGCAACTATATTTGCATTAAATTTTCTAATCTCTTGGTATATGGCTGGTAATGATTTTCTTGATGCTAAATTTCGTTTAAAATGGCCAGATGTAAATAGTCGAATATTTTTTTTAACCGCAACATTCAGTGAAACAATATTAGTACTATTAATTTCCGTTGGATGATTATGTTTATTTAATCGTATTCGAAAATTTAATGACTGGAACAAGATACGTTTCTGAATTTGTTGTTTGCTTTTGCGAATAGAATTCGAGAATATTTTTTTTTTCTTTGCAAAAGTATTAGGATCATAGAATTCAACAAAAGATAAATAAAAATGTGGCCAAGTTGTTAGAAATTCTAGGTGTGCATATAATCGTTATTGTAAATCATTACATTTTAGCAAAAAAAAAAGTGTTAAAATTTTATCAAAAAATTTTCCATGTTAAATTAACAAAAAATAAAATTGCAAAAAAAATCACTTATGATGTGTGTTGTTGTTTTGTTCGTTTTTCTTGAGAAAAATTAACTTTCTTCCATTCATCATCAAATGTGCTCTGTATGAATGTTACGAATTTCTGAATAGTCTGCTGCTGCTGCTGTTGATTATGATCATATGGTTTTTTCTGATCATCATTATCATCATTATAATTAAATGAAACTTTTTCACCAGCAAAATAATTGACTCTTTCAATATCCACACAGCTACAGCTATCGCCACATGAACAATTGATACATGCCAAAATGATCAGAATCAATAATGTAATGGCAAATAAAATGTATGGTGAATGTAGCCAAATAAAATGAAAAAATTTCACACAATAATCTGGCATCGAGAACAATGTAACACCAAGAAATTGTTCATCACATTGTTGAAAACATTGTCGTTCAGTTTTACGTATGACTAAATAATGGTAACGAAGTTTCAATGGTAGATTATCGATCGAATATGGTGATATTGGTTCACCACTAATATAACTGTTATTAGTATTTTTTATGATCCACGATAACATTGAAATTAGACGAATAAATTGATTCACATCATAATGGAATATCCATACACATTTTTGTAAACATCTTTGATGAAACCATTGTTTAATTAATGGTGATGATGATGATAATGATCGATTACCAGCGATTACTTCGGACAATTCAATAAACATTTGTCGTTTTCGACACAGTTCATCATCATTTTTTTCATTTGATTTTATCATTTCATCATTTGATTGTAGATTTTTTCGTATCAATATCGAATTGAACATCAATACACTTGAATTATCATTATCATTTTCACCATTATAAAGACTGGAAGAATTTGCAATGATTCCAAATGTTTCGTTATTTGCTAAATTAATAGATGGAAAAGAATAAATCAATGGACAGATGGTGAATAGAATCGTAATTGAGAAAAAATATTGTAACATATTTGAATGATAAATCGTTCAACCAAAATCAAAAAAAAAAAAACACGAAAATAAAAATAATAAAATGAAAAGTGAAAGTTTCTTATTTTTACATCCAAATAGAATGATTGATTCAATCAATCCAATAAACAAATTGGATTGGATGAAACAAAAAAAAAAATTCGAGCAACAATTGGCATTACATTTAAAAAAAATTGTTTACAATGTTCACAGAGACATCAAGTGGACATTATGTGAAGTTGTGAAGAAAGAAAAAAAATGAAAAATGTGAGTATTTTTTTTTTGTTTGTTTGTTCTCAATAAATTAAATTTGAATTTTTTTTCCTTTATTCTTTTAGAATTTCGAAATAAAATTGTTGAATAATATATTTTTGTAATTCAAATATAAAATCAGCTAACATATCAATATTGAAAATTTCGATCGATTTATTATATATTGTTTGACTGTGATTGTGCTAAATTCGAACCAATCAATAAAAAAAATCTACTTCAGGAAATAATTTCAATCGAAAAAAAAGAAAAGCGAAAAAAATGTCTGAATTTTGCGATGAATCAATACAAGAAATTATTCGTAAATCTTTATTGGAAAGTATGGCACAAGTGGAACGTGTTCCATTACAAAAATTTGATTCAAATAAAGCAAATGAAAATATGCGTCAATATGAACAATATCAACGAATGTATGAACATTCAATTAAATCACCAGGAACATTTTGGAAACAGATTGCAACCGATTTCTATTGGACAACACCATTACCATTAACATATCATAAAATTTTGGAATATAATTTTGATTATAAAAATGGACCAATTAAAGTGGATTTCTTCAAAGGAATGAAAACAAATATTACATACAATCTATTGGATCGTGTAATTAATTGTGGATTCGGTGAACGTATTGCTTATCATTGGATAGGGAATGATTTGAATGAAAAGAAAAAAATTACCTATTCTGAATTGAAAAATCAAGTTTGCCGTTTAGCTAATTATCTAAAACAAACATTGAAAATTGGCATTGGTGATCGTGTGGCTATTTATTTACCAGTTACGATTGAATTGATTATTTCAATGTTGGCTTGTGCAAGAATCGGTGCCATACATACTGTAGTGGTAAGTAATAAAATCTCAATTTGGAGCTAAAAATAATTATTTTCTCATTTAATTTGTGTGTGTGGTCGATAGTTTGCAGGTTTCAGTGCCAATGCGTTAGCAGAACGTATGATAAATGCCAAATGTAAAATGCTGATCACGGCTGATGCATCATTTCGTGGTGATAAATTTTTACATTTTCAGCCAATCATAGACAATGCCATACAGAATTGTTTGGCCAAGTAAGAAAAAAATCAATGATAGTTTGGTAATAAAACTAAATTTACATAATTTTATCATTGAAAATATAGAAAATGCGATATACAGACAATAATCATGGTGAATCGTTTTGAAACTACGGCTAATCGTCATAAACAACGATATAATGATATAGTTCAAAAACATCAATCACCACATAGTCGAATGATCATTTTATGGGATAAAATTTTAAATGATAAGGCCATCAATGATATATGTGAACCAGAATGGGTTGATGCTGAACATCCATTATTCATACTTTATACATCAGGATCGACTGGTAAACCGAAAGGCATATTACATACGGTTGCCGGTTATATGTTATCGACAGCAACGGCATTCAAATATGCATTCAATTATCATGATGGTGATGTATTCTTCTGTACAGCTGATATTGGTTGGATTACTGGTCATACGGCAAGTGTTTATGGTGCATTAGCTAATGGTGCAACCATTATTGTATATGAAGGTATTCCTACGCATCCAAGGGTAGATCGTTTTTGGATGATTCTGAATGAATATAAAGTGAATATTTTCTATACATCACCGACGGCCATACGATCATTGATGAAATTCGGTGAACGTTATGTAAAATCATATTCAATGCGTGAACTACGATTAATTGCATTAGTTGGTGAACCAGTTAATCGACATACATGGTTCTGGATCTATCGTTATATTGGCAAGGAAAGTTGTCCAATTGTGGATACATATTTTCAAACTGAAACTGGTGCACCAATGATTTTTCCCGTGCCATATATTGTGGATCTGAAGCCTGGATCAGCGACAATACCTTGGTTTGGAGTTGTACCGGTAATCCTTGATGATAATGGCAAAGAAATTACCGGAACTGATCAAGGAAATTTGGCATATAAACAAGCATGGCCAGGAATGGCTCGAACAATCGATGGTGATGCGGAAATATTTGAGACAACATATTTTAAAAAATTTCCCGGATATTTTTTTACCGGTGATGGCGCTTTCCGTGATACAGACGGTCATTATTGGATTACCGGTCGTATTGATGATCTACTAAATGTATCCGGACATTTATTATCTACAGCAGAAGTTGAAGCAGCATTATTAAATGATAAAAGATTGGCTGAAGCAGCAGCTGTTGCTATTCCACATACGATAAAAGGACAGGCTATTTGTGCATTTATTGTTCTTAAACAAGGATATTCTGTATTTGATTTAGTCTTTCAAAATGAATTAATTGCCATAGGTAAAATATATTCATCGTTTTTTATTTTTTGCTTTTTTTTACATTCTTTTTCCATTTAGTTCGACAAGAAATTGGTCCCATAGCAACGCCTGAAATTATATTAAATGTACGTTCATTACCGAAAACACGTTCAGATAAAATTATGCGTCGTGTACTTGCATTGGTTGCTAAAGGTGAACGGAAAAATTTCGGTGATCTATCCACAATTGCCGATGAAGCTATTCTTGATCATCTAATTAAAGTTCGTGCTGCATATCGACCGGTTACTGCAACATTATCTTCGTCCAAACCAACTCCAACATCAACAACAACAACAGCAACGACGACGACGACGACGGCGGCGGCGGCAGCGCCGGCAACGACAATTTCATCGATTAATGATAAAAATCAATCATCAATTCAATAAAAGAAAATTAAGGTGAACTTTTTTTTCTACGATAAATTCCAAAAATATTTCAAAGATATCTAATTCTTGAATGTGTCTAATTTACTTAGAAAATAAAATAGAAAATTCAATCAAAATATTAATTTTTTTCAAATCTTATGACGATTTAAATTTACACAAACACCATCAGCCTATGCATATAGCAATTGAAATTCACTGGAAAAAAATCACAGGATAATCAAATATTTGAAAAATGTCGCAATGATGTGGTGTTAATCCTCTTGATCAATAATAATCCATTAAAATACAAACTCTATAAAATTAAAGTGTACTTAAAAAACATATTCCGTACAATTTTAAAACTACTGTCTCGATACAAACGTTAAATCAGGATTTAAACTTATGACATATTCTAACACACAAACACCTTGACCTTGATTGTTTTTTTTAGAATATTTGTTAATTTTTTATCTGAAACTCGGAGATAAGATTATTTAAAATTAATACATTCAAATCAATCATTTTTTTTTAATATTTAAAAGAAATTGGTAAAAATTATCGATTGATCATTGATCCTGGAATGATGATAAGATAGATGGAAAGTCATACTATTTAAAAATCAATGGAATTTAGAAATCGATGCCAAAATTCTTAATCATTTTCAATTTTCTTATTTTTTGTGTCATTCATCAAAAAAAAAAAAAAAAAAAACAACAATTGTTGTGTGAATATGATTGGAAAAAATTTATTCATTTTTTTGACATTTTTGCTAGCATGTAAATTATTTTATCATTTTTTTTTTGAATCGAATTTTAATTTTATATTTTTTTTTCTCGTTTCAATACACAGCATGCAATGCCCATAAAAGTGTTACGTATCCAGGAATCGGTACATTTACCGATGAGGATTTTTATGATCCCAAATGGCGACCATATGTAGCACTACCGGAAAGTCCAGAAAAAGTTGATCCAAATTATGTTCTTTATAATCGAAAAATTCAATATGATCCACAAACATTACACTTTAATAATACTGAAATATTGAGATTATCACATTTTGATCCTAAATTGGATACAAAAATTCTTGTTCATGGTTTCATGGATGGTCCTTTGGTGAATTGTTGGATGTATCCAATGAAAGATAAACTATTATCTATCCATGATGTGAATGTTATTCTAGTGGATTGGTCCAAAACAAATTTTTTCCCCTATACTCAGGTACTACTAATATTGTTGATGAATTTTTTTCTTTCCAATATTCATTTTATTTATTTATGTGTCTACAATAGGCAACGGCAAACTCACGTATAGCTGGTGCAATGACCGGAATACTCATACAGAATCTTATAAATGAATTTAATGTATCAACATCATCATTTCATTTGATTGGTCATTCATTGGGTGCACATGTTGTTGGTTATGCAGGAAAATGGCTAAATGGAAAATTGGCACATATAACTGGATTAGATCCAGCTGGACCTTATTTTGAAGGTGTAAAAAATCCTGCAGCACGTTTATGGCATACAGATGCACAATTTGTTGAATCCATTCATACGGACGCTCATCATTTATTACCGGATTTAGGTTTTGGAATGTATGAAACATGTTCACATGTTGATTTTTACCCGAATGGGGGCGTTAGCCAGCCAGGATGTGATCAAAAACGATTCACATCCATTATTACCGATGGACTTATACATGGGTAATTATATATTATATAGTTATTATAATAAATAAGCCATAAATGTTAAATGTTAATTATTGATTTTTCTATGTTGGCAGTATCACCAATTTGGTAGCTTGTAATCATGAAAGATCGGCATTTTTTTATTTGGAAGCATTGGGTGATGTTGAATCATATCCGGTTGCTTATGCTTGCAAATCATATGATGATTATCGAGATGGCCGATGCACTAGTTGTGGACACGATGGTTCCAAATGTGTTATTCTTGGTCCAAAAACATTAGATTATAAGAAATTCATAAAGGATCCTTCAGTATCACAGGGAAAACGATTTTTCCTTTCAACTTCTCCAAAAGAAAATTTCTTGCAAATTGATCATTTTTGTTTTATAGGATTTCAATATATCATTCGAATTACATTGTCCGATGAATCACATGGTAGTGAATCGGTACATGGAAAAATTTCATTAAAATTTCTTGATTGGGAAGAAGAAGGTGAAACATTGACATTCAATAATCAGTAAGTAATACGTGTGTAATTTCAAAACTTTATCACTCTTACAAACATCATCATATAGTGGTCAAACATTTGAAAATGGCCATTCATATTCAAGTTTAATAGTATCGGATATGAAACCATCGGATTTGGATCGAATTCAATTCAAATGGTCACATGGTTTCAATATAATTCACCATAGAATGTACATTGAAAGTCTTGAAGTGATACCACTTTCCAGTACAAGGTAGAATTTTTTTTTAATTTATTTAAAATGAAAAAGAAAAATTCAAAATAACCTCCCTTATATTCTTTCACATATATGTAGTGCAACATTAAAAACGCCACATCATTTATCATTTAAAACGGATGAATTCGGTATACGTGATGGACAAGAAGTGATTTTCAAAAGAGAATGATGATTATGTTCAACAATTATATGATTTTATATATTCGAATATATTTTAAACATTGAACTTTTAGATCTTTAAATTCCAATTTAGCAATAAGCAACTGTTTTGTAATACGCAGTTTCAATGCTGTTTTTTTTCATTTGTTTTTTATTTGTTCGTGTGACACACACAATAAACACAACAACTACAATAAGATCAAAAATAGAAAATGATTCCAGATGTTTTGTACAATCAGATTTTTTTTTCGATTAAAATAAAATGATAACATTGAGATGAATCAATAAATAAATGATCTCTATTGGTAAAAACTCAATGTAACTGGAATTTATGATTTTTTTTTAAATTCGTCATTATAGAATTCCTTGAAAAAAGAAGAAGAAAGAAAGAATTTAACTCACCAAGGGAAACCAAAAACATCTACAGATTCTGACATTGAAACTAAAATAAAAACAAATTTTAATCATCATTATCTTAATCATCATAATCATGAAATCCATAAAATACAAACAGGTGCAATATTTTTAGTGAAAAATTTTATTATATTGTTTATTTCATGGCCATGGATTTTGGTATTAATTTGACATCTTAATGATGTAACCCAATCTAAAGCTGTATTTTTTTTTTTGGTGAAAAATTTTTTTTTTTTTTGAAAATACTGGCTGACTTTATAATGATGAGACTATTTCTACTTAGGTTTGCCCTTGTTGTGCATACACTCTTTTACATAGTTGTTCGTTCGTTTTGGATATACTATGTGTGTGTGTATCTCTTGCATACAAAAAAAAACGTTGTACTTTTTTTTAACGTTTACACTGTAAGTGATTTGGTTCTATTGTTCTAACTTACACACAATCAAGAATCAACAAATTTGTGGGATTAAAAGCGAAAGACAACGATATATGATGGATAAAAAACTTTCACCGTTAAAGGTTTGTTTGTATGACATACAAAATTATTGATCATAAATTTATCATCAAATTGTCGATGGTGGTTTTTGAATCAAGCATCATATCATTTGTGATGCTGATGATAATGATGATGAAATTTTATGGTTTCATCATCGATCAATTTTTCATTGTTGCTGTAATTTTACTTAGATATTAGTATAGAAAAATTCTGATCGAATGAATCCACATCGATTAATTCGATTAATAAAATCTCAGGATGTCATTGAATTGTTGATTTTAATCTACAACAACAACAACAATAATTTCGATTTCAAATTTCGAAATATTTTCTTATCAATTAATCTGCTGAAATATTGTGATTGAATTGAATTTTTCGATAATCTGACATTTTTTTTTATTTTTCATTCATTCACACAGCAATATAATTTGCCAAATAAAAAACGAATTGAAGTGCCATATCAGGAAAAAAGTCAATATGAACTTATCTTGTTGTGTCCAAATACTTATATCGGATCAGTTGAAAAAGAAATCAAGGTAAGACATCTTTTGATCATTGATAATTCAATCATTTAATTGATATATATCTTATCATCATTAGAAAATGTGGGTATATGACCATCCAAAGGGAATGGTGTTGCGTCATGTTTCATATGTGCCTGGTTTGTACAGAATTTTCGATGAAATTCTTGTAAATGCCGCCGATAATAAGATTCGTGATCCGAAGATGAGCTGTATTCGTATCGATATCAATAGTGAAGATAATGAAATCAGTGTCTACAATAATGGCCGAGGTATACCGGTTGTTATACATGAAGAAGAAAAAATTTATGTTCCGACATTGATTTTTGGTCATCTATTAACATCATCGAATTATAATGATAGTGAGAAAAAAGTTGTTGGTGGCCGTAATGGTAATGGTGCTAAATTGTGCAATATTTTCAGCACATTGTTCAAGATTGAAACATCATCACGGGAGTATAATCATAGTTTTTCGCAAGTTTGGAAAGATAACATGAAAACCGCTGAAGAACCAATCATACGACCATCGAAAGGTGAAGATTTCACCCGTGTGACATTTAAGCCTGATTTGAAAAAATTCAACATGACACATTTGGACAAGGATATTGTCGATTTGTTTAGTCGTCGTGCATATGACATAGCTGGATCATCCAAAGGCGTGAAAGTTTTTCTTAATGGTGAATGTCTTCCTGTTCGTGGTTTTAAAAGCTACGTTAATATGTTTATCAAAGATAATGAAGATGCAAATAATGAACCCTTAAAATTGGCATATGAAGTAGTGAATGATCGTTGGGAAATTGGCGTCGCTTTAAGCGATAAAGGCTTTCAACAAATTAGTTTTGTTAATAATATTGATACTACACGTGGTGGGACACATGTTGATCATGTTGTCGATCAAATTATTGATAAACTAATCAAAACGGTCAAGAAGAAAAGTGAAAAATCAAAAGTTGATCTCAAACCTCATCAAATACGCAATCATCTGTGGGTTTTTGTTAATTGTCTTATCGATAATCCAACATTTAGTTCACAAACTAAAGAAAGGATGACATTGCAAAGTAAAAAATTTGGCTCCATTTGTGTTCCAACTAAAAAATTTTTTCAATCAATCATGGAAATCAAAATAATTGATTCATTTGTTAACTGGTGTTTTTTTAAACAAAAATTTGAAATGGATGCCAAAATATGTTCGAAAAAAATCATTGATATTCAAGATATACCGAATCTTGAAGACGCCAAAAAAGCCGGAACATGTAGTGCATTGTATTGTTCTTTGATATTGACAGAAGGGCATTCAGCCAAATCATCGGTTACTGCTAGATTAGGTGTTGAACGTGATAAATTTGGCATTTTTTCATTGCGTGGAAACATGTTAAACGTTCGTGAGGCATCGGATAATCATATTATGGCAAACGCCGAGATTAATAATTTGGTCAAAATTCTGGGTTTACAATACAAGAAAGAATATACATCGATTGATGATTTGTATACACTCCGATATGGTAAAGTTCTCATTATGACGGATCAGGACCTCGATGGTTCACACACCGCAGGCTTAATTATCAATTTTTTTCATAAATATTGGCCATCATTAATTAATCTGCAATATCTTGAACGAATTATCACACCAATTGTAATGGTCAGCAAAGAAAATTTTTTCAAACGTCTATTCTATTCTCTTCCCGAATTCAATGACTGGAAAGATGAAATTCCAAACATTGAATGCTACAACATCAAATACAACAAAGGTATTTTTTTATTGATTTTTATTTCCTATTTGAAAATTCTAATTTTTTATTATCATTTGTTTATTCAAAGGATTGGCCAGTTGGTCATCTGCAGAGGCAAATGAATATATTTCGAATATGAAACGTATCAAAATACGTTATGATGATGATGTTGATGACAAAGCAATTGATTTGGCATTTAGTTCTAAAATGATTGAAACACGAAAACTATGGATCAAACAAGAGATTAAAGAACGACGAAGAAGACGTGATAATGGTGAAAAAGAAATCTATCTTTATGAAGATAAAACATATGAAGTATCAATCAAAGATTTTATCTATAAACAATTGATTCATTATTTTATTATGAATAATGAGCGTTAGAAATGATTGGAAAGAAGAGAGAGAGAGAGAATCAAAAATGAAAAAATGGAAACTGAAAGTTAAAAATAAAAATAAAAAATTTTTTTTTTGTTGTTCATCCAAAAATAAAATCATCGATGATTATCATATGATCTCCACAAATATAATTGATGATGATGAGATGATAATTGTAATAGGAACAAGGAACAGGCCAGGCTGAGGTAGAGGTTGATTTTTTTTCCGTTTTATAGGATTTCAATATATCATTCGAATTACATTGTCCGATGAATCACATGGTAGTGAATCGGTACATGGAAAAATTTCATTAAAATTTCTTGATTGAGAAGATGAAGGTGAAACATTGACATTCAATAATCAGTAAGTAATACGTGTGTAATTTCAAAACTTTATCACTCTTACAAACATCATCATATAGTGGTCAAACATTTGAAAATGGCCATTCATATTCAAGTTTAATAGTATCGGATATGAAACCATCGGATTTGGATCGAATTCAATTCAAATGGTCACATGGTTTCAATATAATTCACCATAGAATGTACATTGAAAGTCTTGAAGTGATACCACTTTCCAGTACAAGGTAGAATTTTTTTTTAATTTATTTAAAATGAAAAAGAAAAATTCAAAATAACCTCCCTTATATTCTTTCACATATATGTAGTGCAACATTAAAAACGCCACATCATTTATCATTTAAAACGGATGAATTCGGTATACGTGATGGACAAGAAGTGATTTTCAAAAGAGAATGATGATTATGTTCAACAATTATATGATTTTATATATTCGAATATATTTTAAACATTGAACTTTTAGATCTTTAAATTCCAATTTATCAATAAGCAACTGTTTTGTAATACGCAGTTTCAATGCTGTTTTTTTTTCATTTGTTTTTTATTTGTTCGTGTGACACACACAATAAACACAACAACTACAAAAATAAGATCAAAAATAAAAAATGATGCCAGATGTTTTGTACAATCAGATTTTTTTTCGATTAAAATAAAATGATGACATTGAATGATGACATGAATCAATAAATAAATGATCTCTATGGATAAAAACTCAATGTAACTGGAATTTATTTTTTTTTTGTTAAATTTGTCATTATAGAATTCCTTGAAAACAAAAGAAGGATTTAACCACACTCACCAAGGGAAACCAAAAATATATACGTCTTTTTAAAAAGATTCTTACATTGAAACTAAAATAAAAACAATTTTTAATCACACCGTCATGATCATGAAATCCATAAAATACAAACAGGTGTAATATTTTTTAGTGAAAAATTTTATTATATCGTTTATTTCATGGCCATGGATTTTGGTATATATAAATTTGACATCTTAATGCAACCAACCAATCTAAAGCTGTGTATTTTTTTAATGAAATTTTTTTTTTGTTTTGAAAATACTGTCTTGATTAATTAAAAAAAAAACAATGATGTCAAAACAATTCATATTTTCACTCATTTTAATTCTAGGTAAGTTGAAATGATTGAAATATTTGTAAAAAATTTTCATTTTTATTCATTCTTATTTTTATATATAAATATAGTGATAGAATGTAATGCAAATTTAACATCGGTAACCTATCCTGGAATTGGAACATTTACATTGACCGATTTTTATGATCCAATTTATCGTCCAATTGTATTGCTTCCACAAAGTCCCGAAGATATGAATGCAACATTTTATTTGTATACACCGAAAAATGTCAACAATTCCGATATATTAGATTGGAACAGTACTGATCATTATGAATCGACAATATTCAATCCAATTCTTAATACTACAATCATTACACACGGTTGGCGTGGCAGTAGCCAAGAGAGTTGGTTACATAAACTCAAAAATAGCTTATTGAATGTTGAAGATTTAAATGTTATCATTGTTGGATGGCCTGGAGGAGCAAAAACTGAATATACACAAGCTGTAGCCAATACACGAGTAATCGGCATCATGATTGGCATATTAATCGAAAATTTAGCCAATAAATTTAATATCTCTTTCGATTCATTCCATCTAATAGGCCATTCACTTGGCGGTCATGTAGTTGGTTATGCTGGCAAACATCTAGATGGTAGAATAGGCCGTATTTCAGGCCTAGATCCAGCAGGACCATTTTATAAAGGTCTTAATTATACGGAAGCACGTTTATGGCATACAGATGCCAAGTTTGTCGATGTAATTCATACTGATGCACAACCGTTAATTAAATTTGGTATGGGTATGTATGAAACATGTGGCCATGTTGACATCTATCCCAATGGTGGAAGAACTCAGCCCGGATGTGGTGATCAAGAAAATGATGAGATACCGATTATAGGTGAAATTGTAGAGTATGTTTTTTTCATTGTGTTTTTGTGTCCTAGAAAAAAAATTATAATCTTATCATCAATTAATCATCCACTTCTTCTATTTGAAAGCTTATACCAATACTCATCTTGTAATCATGGTCGTTCACATGAATACTTCATAGAATCGATTACACCACCCATTTCCAGACCAGTTGCTTATCTATGTGATTCGTATGATTCATTCCAGAATGGTAAATGTACTTGGAATTGTCAAGAACCCAACAAATGCGTTGTAATGGATCCATTGGCCGATAGTTATCATGTGAATAAAACATTTACCCAAGGAAAACGATATTTTATGATTACAGCTGGAGAGGAGCCATATTTTCGTAAGAAAATTCCAATACAATTATTATTTCAGAATTTAAAGAAAAAATATTCAATTACAGGTTATCAATATCTAATTGATTTAATAATGGCTAATCATTCGGACGATTACATTGGTGGTATTGTTCCGCCGTTGCTAACAGAAGTGGAATTAAGATTCATCAATCAAGATGGAGATGTTGAAGAATTTAATTTCAGTGAAAAGTAATGAACTATACAATATATCACCTATTTATTTATTTATTTATTTATTTTTATGGTTTTCCAAAATTTATTAGATCCGAATTATTTGAAGATGAAACCGAATATCCAAGACTTTTTTCATTGGATACAAACCCTGAACAATTATATGAAATGGAAATCAAATGGTCACGTGGTATCGATACGATTACAACTAAAATGAATTTAGCATACATTAATGTAACAGCACTTTCATTTGAAAGGTTTGTGTTGAATGGTTGTCTATGAATAAAATTTGAATAATTTAAAAGCTAACATCTTTTCTGTTTACAAACGAAAAAAACAAAATATAGTGATTCGGATCGTATGCAGCCAATGACATTGAAATTTATGCCGATAACTGATGATGGTATACCAAATGATGATTGGTTTGTTTTAGAACAAAAATAAATCAAATAATATATATAATGAGATCTCATGGCAAAAAAAATTGTTTTTTTCCGCCAAAATATTCATAGAATGAAAAAAAAAATTTCAAAATGAAAGTGTGAGAATTTTTTTTTTATTTAGTTTGTTTGATTACAATATGACCAATAAAATGATGATAATTTTCATATATATGAAGCAATGTGATGAAAAAAAAAATTATCTCGATATGAACATAAAAAATGCAAAAAAACATAAATGTAATGATGATGATAAGATGTGTTCAAATGAAATCTCTGGTGATAAGATTTTTTTTTTTTAAAAAAGTTGTCCTTCCATCACACGTTTATTATGTACCGAAGAAACCGACCAATAATGATTTTCATCACATTTAACTGGCTATTTTTGAGTGATTTATTGACTACAAGAAAAAATTTTTTCATGGATACAATTCCAATACGTAGTGATGGATTGATTACTACGATTACAATGTGCAACAATGCTAATGATGTTGATGACAATAAAGCTTCACAATCAAAAAAACAACGGCTTTATTCATCAATCAAAAAACATTTATGGATATTTCCATTAACATGTTTTATTGGAACTTTGATAATCACCATTGTTCCATACATATTATCCGTATATTATGGTTATACTAATAAAATATTTCCACTTATCAGCGATTCTGGTGGTTATCCACCTGGTGCCAGTTTATTCTCATCATTCTTAATTATTGGAGCAATATTTAGTAAGTATCTTTATCAACGGATTGATGATAAATATCGATCATTCAATTCTTCGTTTGTTTTTTTGGATTGAAAAATAGCAACACTTACTGCATGGATTCGTTATAAACAAGTAAAATATTATCTTCAATTACATTGGAAAGATGATCAAAACATTAATCAATTGAAATATTTAAGATCAATCAATTGGACATTAGTAATTTATATGATTTTTTCATCATTTGGTATGATAATTTTAGCATCATTTCGTTCAACGGAATCGATCGCACTGGCTATTATACATTCAATTGGTGCTACATTATCAATTTTTGGTGATTTACTTTATACTACCGGTACCGCATACCTTTGTTGGAAACTTTATCGTATTTATCATTTGGAAACAAAACCAATAACATTAATTGTTTTAACCATTATAAAGATGATAACGGCAATGATATTTACATTGAATTTTCTAATATCTTGGTATATGGCTGGTAATGATTTTCTTGATGCTAAATATCGTTCAAAATGGCCATATGGCCATAGTCGAATATTTTTTTTAATCACATCATTCAGTGAAACAATATTATTAATATTAATTTCCATTGGATTTTTATGTTTATTTAATCGTATTCGAAAATTTAATGATTGGAACAAGATACGTTTCTGAATTTGTTGTTTACAAAATTGTCATGATTGATAATAATGGTAATGGTAATTGGCTTTTAAAATTTTTATAATATAATTCAAGAGAAAAATGATGAGAACCTTATAGGTAGAAATAAAATAAAAAATTTTTCTTTGGATTCTTTAGTTTTTTTTTGGTAATTATTTTTTCCATTCATTACAACCATATTTGCAATCCGTTTGATAAGTGCCAGTATTGATACCATGGCCATAACCAGTACCAATATTTGTTCCAGTGCCTGCACTAGCACTGGCACTGGCACTTGCCGATGCACTAGCTGATGCATATGCAACACCACCACCACCACCACTATTACCATTCCATCCAGTACCGGATCCACCATAACCGACACCACCACCAATACCATCGTCAACAACTTTAACGACTTTAACCGTTTGTGGTGGTGTTATGATTCTTGTAATTTTTTTAACAACAACCGGTTGAACATATCCTGTATCAATATAACCAGCATTATTGTAACTATTGCAATCACCATAACCACATCCATCGTTATATGTGCTAGTTTTCTTGATAATTTTGATTATTTTGGATCCACCACCACCACATGGATTGATACCACATCCTGTATCCTGCCGATAATGTGAATGTGTTGGCTGTGTATAGTATGTTCTCTTTACAACAGTTGGCACATGTTGAACAGCATAAGTTTTCTTTACAATAGTTGCTGGTACACTAACAACAGGTTCCGTTTGAATGACATGATCATTATATTTTTTTTGTACCGAATATGTTTGTGATGATGAACTATGATGATAATTAGTAGATGAATAGCCAGTACTATCAATGCCAGTATTATGGCATCCTCCACCGCAATCTAAAAATATATATCGAACATTAAAAAATCATTATAACATTAAATGAAAATTTTTTCGTTGTACTTACCACTTAAATATGATGTATCACCACCATATCCGCCGTGTTTCCATTTATGTCCATTCGTATCATTGATAATCGATAATAAAACTGGTATAATGAGAAAAATAAAAGAAGAAAACGAAGTTGCCATTATGATGATCTGTGATTATAATGATCAAATTGAATTGAAATGTCTGACGATTTATAGTGGGTATATCCTCAAACTAAAACTCAAGTCGAATAAACGATTCACATTCAATATATTACATGGCTAGTTTGCAAATGAACCAGCAACGAATCAAAAAAAAAAAAAAAAAAAATAAAAAATTTCCAAAATTGAAATTCCATCTAAAAAAAGCAAAACGATAAATAATAAAGAATTGAATAGCCAATTATTTCAATTTATGATGCGCATTACCATAATTATCATTCAATAATTGATAAGCGCGTGCAATTCAATCATTATGCTAAAGAGATAATCTTTAGGATTTATACAATCAAGATGATACATGCAATTGTTATGAAACTTGTTTGCTCAACATCAAGAAACCTTGAATCTGTCAATAAATAATGAGGGATTGGTTGGGGGAAAAAAACATTACACCTATGTTGCATACAAAAATGTAAAATAAGTCAGGTTTTTTCCCAGATTGATTCATTCAAATGAATACAATCTATTGGCATATGAAATATGATTTATTGATCAAATAAAACATTGGATTAATTTTTTTTGGCATTCACGAATTATATAAGAATCAAACGAATTGCATAAATCTTTCTTTTTCAAGTTTCTATAAAGTATCAGAAAAAAATGTGTTGAATTTTGTTGCAATTTTCATTTTCATTACCATACATGCAACAACATTTTAAAATTCGATGGTAAAAACCATAAATGATATTCGAATCGAATGAATGAACACAGGATTGTTAGTCGTAATTGTTATCACTTCATAACAATTAAATTTCACAAACAAAAGTAAATTAGGTTTGTAAAACCGATTGTCGTTGAAAATATGAAATTTTATTAAATTAGAAAATTAGAAAAAATTAAAGAATTATCAAATTATGAAATGAAATACTATATAAATAAAGTGAAAATATAACCTCGAAAGAGAAAACAAAATTAAAAAAAATCGATCCTTACTATCGATACTATCGTTTCGTCTATCAAAACATTCATTCGTCTGCTGTGGTGGCCAAAAAGGGAGAGAGAGAGAGAGAGAGAGAACAAATTTTTACACCACCAACAAGGGTGAATATTATTTCTGGTCCTTGGATTAGTTTTTTATTATTATCATTGTATGTATACATTATCATTTCTAAAAGTTTTTTTTATCGTTCTAACCATTGATTGTTTCATATATCAGAATAATCAAAAAATCGCTTTTTTTGGATGGTGATATATTTCATATTTCATTTCATTTTTATTATTATTATTGTTACTGTAGCATACACACACCCATATAGATAGAGTTGTCAGAAAAGAAACATAAATTAAACAAATTGGACCTTGATAATTATTGATGCACAGGTTTTTTTCTCTATTTCTCATCACCATATAGTATTTTATTCTAGGGGGTTTTTTTTACATATATTAATTATTTATCATCATTTTTGTCAATTGCAAATCGGCCTTTATTTTTGTTACAACTGTGGTATCTTAATTATTACTATTGTTACCTAGAATTCCATTTGTGTGTGTGAGTGTGAATTTTTATTTTTTGACCAAATAAATAAACAAACTCGATCAACATGGATTCAACGTCAAATTCACCACGACCACCAACAACAGCGGCTACAATCGACAATACTACATCGTCATTGATTCAAGGACAAGATTCAGAATCAAAAGATTCAACGGAATCAACTACTGGTACAACAGCTTCATCAAGCCACCAACATCATCGTTCACATTCTCATCATCATCACCATCACCATCATCATCATCGTTCACATTCATCATCTGGTTCGTCAGCATCGAATAATATAATACGGACAAATACTGGTTGGTTTCAAAGGCGAATCAATTTACGGCCAGTTCATCGTGGTTGTCATCTAGTCACCGATGAAGTTGTCAAACAAGTGCCCGAAATGAATCAATTTCAAGTTGGAATCTGTCATCTGCACAGTTGAGTTTTTTTAAAATATCTTTGTCTTGAATAATAATTTTTGTTTTGTTTTGTCATTCTCATTTACGCAGTTATGCACACATCAGCTAGTCTTACACTCAATGAAGTAAGTATATTGATTGTTATTGATTTTTGAACCAGTCATTCATAATTTTTATTATTTCAAAACAGAATTGGGATCCAGATGTTCGTGAAGATATGGAAATGTTTCTGCTGCAATTTGTTCCAGAAGTAAGGTTTCGATTTTTGATCTAATGAAAAGTTCTCTAAATTTCTTTTCTTTTTTTTGTTCAAATTTTCTAGAAACTACCATTTCGACATGTTTGTGAAGGTCCCGATGATATGCCTGCTCATGTGAAAGCAAGCTTTCTTGGATCTTCATTGACCATACCGATTACCGAAGGAAAACTATGTCTAGGAACATGGCAAGGTATATGGCTATGTGAACATCGTAATAATGCCGGTAGTCGTAAAATTATGGTTACCATTAATGGTGCATTGAAAAATTGAAATTAAATGAACGTTCAACTATATCCAAGTCACTGCCGATTATTTATCAATCTATCCTGCAAAAAAAAGGGCCAGCGATAAAGGAAAAAATTCCAAGAACAAATTCAATTCAACCAAAATTTTACCATTTCTTTCATTGATTTTTAAATTCCCCATTTGCAATATATCATTTCAATTGGCCTTTTGAACATAATTTTTTTTTTTCATTCTCATTCTCACTCACTTGATGATTTGATTTATCAATTTTTTTTTCTTTTGATAATATCAATGCTCTGTTGCCTTTTTTGCCTTCTTTATGTTGTTTTTATTTTTGTTCGTGCTTGACCTTTCTCTTTCTGTTATCATTGATATATAGAATATTTGTTTGTTGATAAAGAGAATTGATCCATTGAATATAGACACTCAACGGGGGCACTACATGTTTTATGTTTTGTTTTGCATTTAAAAAAGAATTCTATGTAAATAAATTTAAAAAATTTTTAAAATTTAAATTTGTGAATATTACAATTTTATAAAATTCCGAAAAGAATTTCATAAAACGATACATCATCTAATGACGGCACCATTCGCCAAATTCATGCGTAATACGGCATTCCAGCAGTGTTTTGCATAATTATTGCTTGTTCATATTGAAATCGTGTAAAGTTTTAATAGGTTTTCCACGTGGAAATTATTTTTATTTTTATATTAGTTTAAATTTGATTTGTTGACAATGGCTAAACCAACAGCGGCCAAAAGTACGGCCAAGTTGGATTTTTTCCTTAAAATTGAATCTGAAATCCAACGACGATGGTCTGATGAAAAAATCTTTGAAATCGATCCACCACCAGATGGTAAACGAAATAATGATGATGAAAAATATTTTGGCACTTTTCCTTATCCATATATGAATGGCCGTGGTCATATTGGTCATACATTTTCATTGACCAAATTAGAAGTGAGTGATCATTTCATTGTCATAATAAATTTTATGATTTTTTTGTCTCTTTTTTGTTGTTTTTCAGTTTGCAATGGGCTACTATCGACTTAAAGGAAAACGTTGTCTATTTCCATTTGGGTTTCATTGCACCGGTACACCTATAAAAGCTTGTGCTGATAAATTGAAACGTGAAGTTGAACTATATGGTTGCCCTCCACAATTTCCTGAAGAGGAATCTACACCCATAGAAGAAACAGCAGCCAACATAATTCAAGAGATTGAAATTAAAGATAAATCCAAAAGTAAAAAAAGTAAAGCTGCTGCTAAATCTGGTTCGTTTAAATATCAATGGCAAATTATGCAAGCATTGGGTTTGTCAGATGATGAGATTGCCAACTTTTTGGATGCTAATTATTGGTTAAATTATTTTCCACAAAAATGGATTGAAGATCTTAAAATGTTGGGCATTCGTGTTGATTGGCGTCGTAGTTTCATAACAACCGATATCAATCCATATTATGATTCATTTGTACGATGGCAATTTATTCGTCTGAAAGAGAAAAACAAGATTAAATTCGGTAAACGTTATACAATCTATTCACCAAAAGATCAACAACCATGTATGGATCATGATCGGTCTACTGGTGAAGGTGTAGGACCACAAGAATACACCTTGATTAAATTGCAAGTTATCGAGCCGATTCCGAAACAGCTTGAAAAATATGCTACGAAAAGCAAAATCTTTTTGGTTGCTGCAACATTAAGACCGGAAACGATGTATGGTCAGACAAATTGTTGGTTAAGACCAGACATGAAATACATTGCCTATGAAATCAATACAGGAGAGATATTCATCTCTAGTATACGATCGGCAACAAATCTATCATATCAAGGCTTAATGGCACAATTTGGCCAAGTGAATATGGTGGCCCAATTAAAAGGTTCAGACTTGATTGGTGCCAAACTTAAAGCTCCACTTTCTGCCTATGAATATGTTTATGCTTTGCCCATGATGACTATTAAAGAAGATAAAGGCACTGGGGTGGTGACCAGTGTTCCATCTGATTCACCTGATGATCATGCTGCATTGACTGATTTGAAAAATAAAGAAGCCCTTCGATCTAAGTATAACATAACCGATGAAATGGTCTTACCATTCAATGCCGTACCAATCATTGAAATTCCCGATTATGGTAATCTTTGTGCTGTTCGTATTTGTGAAGAATTGAAAATCAAAAGTCAAAATGATACGGAAAAATTGGCACAAGCAAAAGCAAAAGTCTATTTGTCCGGTTTCTACGATGGCGTAATGTTGGTTGGTGAACATAAAGGGAAAAAAGTTTCCGAAGCAAAACCATTGATTCAAAAAATGCTTTGTGATTGTGGTGATGGTGTCAAGTATTATGAACCAGAAAAACATATCTTATCCCGTTCAAATGATGAATGTGTTGTTGCACTTTGTGATCAATGGTTCTTGGAATATGGAGAACCTAAATGGCGTGAACAGACAGAAAAATGTCTGCAGGATCTGAATACTTATTCGGAAGAAGTACGAAGAAATTTTGCTTTTACTTTGAATTGGTTAAAAGATCATGCCTGTAGTCGACAATATGGTCTTGGAACACGAATGCCTTGGGCAGAAGAATGGTTAATCGAATCATTATCAGATTCGACAATCTATATGGCCTATTATACAATAGTTCATTATCTTCAAGGTGGTGTACTTGATGGCCATGGTGAATCACCATTGGGCATTAAACCGGAACATTTGACACCAGAAGTATGGGATTATATTTTCTTTCCAAAAGTTGAATTTCCAAAAAATTGTTCCATATCAAAAGATAAACTTGACATTATGAAACTTGAATTCGAATATTGGTATCCAATGGATATTCGTGTTTCGGGTAAAGATTTGATCCAAAATCATTTAACATACATGTTGTACAATCATACTGCCATGTGGAATGATAATCCTGAATATTGGCCACTATCAGTTCGTACAAATGGTCATCTACTATTAAATAATGAAAAAATGTCCAAATCGACTGGTAATTTTCTTACATTACGTGATGCTATTTTAAAATATTCAGCCGATGGAGTACGATTTGCATTGGCTGATGCCGGTGATGCTATTGAAGATGCTAATTTTGTTGAAAAACAAGCTGAAAATGGTCTACTGAAATTGTATGCCTTTATTGAATGGTGTCGTGAAATAGTTGATAATTTAGATTCATTAAGAAATGATGATCCCAATGTATTGTTTGAAGATATTGCCTTCTCGAATCTGATGGACGATTTGATTATGAAAACTGAAGCTAATTATAAAAATCTTATGTTCAAAGAAGCATTGAAAACTGGATTTTTTGAATATCAAGATGCTCGTGATAAATATCGTGAGCTCAGTATTCGTTCGGGTATGCATCAAGGTCTGATTATTCGATTTATCGAAACACAAGCAATTATGTTGTCACCGATTTGTCCACATTCGGCTGAATATATCTACAAAGAAATTCTATTACGTAACGGCTCAATACAGCACGCTGAATGGCCAATAACCAAACAGCCTGATCAAAATTATCTTGAAATATTCAACTATTTCATTGATGCATGTCATCTATTTCGTGTCCGTTATAAAGCTTATATGGGACAAACTAAAACAAAGGGAAAGTCTTCTTCGTCTTCTGGTAAACAACAATCATCATTATCCACGAACAAGAACAAATCCGATCAACAACAACCACAACGGCCTACACATGCCATCATTCATGTAGCTCGTAGTTTTCCAAAATGGCAGTCAATCATTTTAGCCTCATTGAAACAGATGTATCACGTATGTATTCGAAAATTCAAATGAAAATGTTAATTTTTCATAAATAATCTAAATATATATATAAACATTAGGAAAACAATAACAAATTACCGGAAAATAATATAATAGCAAGCAGACTGAGCAAGATTAATGATCTTAAGAAATATATGAAAAAAGTTATGCCATTCGTGGAGATGAGAAAAGTAAGTTGTGTTTCAGGTAGTTTGGTTTGGTTTTTTTTTGTAATCAATAATTTTTGAATATCATCCATACGTGTTGTTCACAATTAATTGATCAAAAACATTTTCTATTTTTTTTTCTCATAGCGATTGTTTCAAACATCAGGCGAAAATGTATTTGAAGATCGTGCTCATTTTGATGAATTGGCTGTTTTACAACAAAATTATGATTATCTTGTATCAACATTAGATCTATGCGGTATCGATCTTCGTTATGCTGATGAAGCCGATTCACGTATACAAGAAGAATGTTGTCCACAGGAACCGTTCATTTCATTTCGCACGGAACCATCCGTTCCATTGACCTGTATCAATAACCAACCAATGGTTTCATGTTTTGAAATGGCCATGCCCGTTTATCAAGATGATTCAATTAAATCATTTGCTGATCGTTTAGCAAAAGAAACGAAAAATAAAGGTGTGTTCATCATTAGAACAATGAAATAATTAATTTTTGTTTTTTGTGGCATAGATTCTCGTGTTAAAATTCTGCGATACAAAAATGTTGATTTGGATCCAAGATGTTTTCCATCGGCTGAAACTTTTAACAATATTCTAACACCCATTGATATGGAAGGAAAATTTTCGGTAAATTTTGAATCCAAAATCGTTTCATTAATTGAAAATGGACAACCAATTCCATTAGGAAATCGTATTATCTATCAGATTTGATTTTTATTAATTAAAATTTAAAAAAAAAATATTAAAAAATTATTTACACTATTCAAATTTTCATTTTTTCCGCTTGCCCGGTCGTTCGAATGATTGTTTCATTCCACCACCATGAGCTTGATGAAATTGTATCGCATGTGTATTATCTTTGGCTGACCAAGCCGAATCAAATGCAGTCGTGTCAACATCAGTTAGATGTGTATATTTTGTGCGACCAGCACGGCCAAAATTTTTCACTTGCATAACCGATGGCAATACCGATTTATCAAAATGATCTTCCAGTGTTGGTTGCGCAAAATCTCGTTTGAACACCTGATCTTCTTCATCCAGATAGAATGCACCACGATGATAATACTTTTGTAGGAATTTATATTTGCCCTTTTTCTGTTGATTAGTTACAACACGTGGATTCTTTTTCAACTCTTCCTGTCGTTCTTCTTCTGTCATGTTTCGTAATCGTTCAATTTCACGTCGTTCTCTTTCTCGTTGTTCTTCCTCTTCTTTTTCTCGTTTGATTCGTCTTAATTCACGGACTTTCCATAATTCAAATGCCGTTTCATCATCTTCATCATCAGTGATAACCGAAGCGATTCCTTTGATAATTGCTTCTTCTTCGGCTGCCGCTTTATTCTTTTCTCGTTCTTCTTCTTCACGACGACGGTCTTCTTCAATTAATTTTAATGTTGATCGACGACGTTCTTCCAATGCAATTTTCGCTTCCAATTCGGCAGTTTCAATACGTTTGCGTTCCTGTTCCTCTTTCTCATTGATGGTTATTCTATCTTTTTTTGAAACAAAAATTGGTTTCAATCGAGGCATTGCTTCATCTTCTGAATATTCGGATTCATTTTCTGATTCTTCCTCATCATCATCATCTTCATCATCGTTGTCGTTGTCATCACTGAAAGCTTCATCTGGTGCAGATTCCAATTCTAATTTACGCACCCGTTGTTTCAATAATTCATGACGACGTTCAATATTTTCATCAGCATTTTCATCATCATTTTCTTCGGCATCGATAACTTCACGATGTCGATGACGACGTCTAATGACATCACCGTCTTCATCATGCTCTAATTCGGGATCAGATTCTTCTTGATCACTTTTTTGACCACTTTTAATAACCTGTGGTTTGATCGTTGGCCGTGAACTTTCTTTGTTTGATTGTTCACGAAATTGCATCAATCGACGCATACGAGGATCTTGATACAATTTTTCCTGATTCACAATTACATTATTTTCGCGATTCTTTCTGATACGTAAACGAATATCATCATCGTCGTCGTCGCTATCGTCAGCTTCTTTATTCTCATTATCATCTGTTTGTTTATTTTTGCTACTGGCCAATGTAAAAGCCATTGAACTATGATTTTGATGACGATTTAAGCTGGGTAAAAGTTTACGATTTTTATTCTTCAATTCATCTTCAGATGAATAACTATTTGATTCACTTCCAGATGAATCCACTTCTTCAGCATATTTTGGTTTACGTCCAGAAACATATCGTTGAACTTTAACTTTTTGCATAGTAATTTCCCCTTTTTCATTCTTTACGGGAACAGCACCAAGTGGCCGTAATGATTGTACCGATGATGGTTTTATATCTTTGTATGTGGACATGTCGTTGTATATAAATGATGGAAATTTATTTCAAAAATTCAAATAAAAATCAAAATATAAACAAACTCGAATTTTAGTAGACCCATTTAACAATGAAAATAAACAAAACTCATGCGCTGAATCTTAAAATGATGCCGTGCATTAATGACGTTACACCGAGTGGGAATGTGAAAAAATGACTATAGCCATGCGCGCATGTGGGGTTGAGTTTAAAAGTTGCAGTTACCGACAAACGCAAGCGACATAGACTAGTAGAGAGTAGAGATTTAGAATTTGATTAGATTAGAAATTAGATTAGATATTGATTTGTGTAATCCGTTTACAATTTGCACAACGGATGGATTCGTCATTGATATAGATGGACCTCACAATGCGAAGAAAAACGATGCAAAAATTCTTGAAGAAATTCTGATGAGATCGACTGGTTTATCCCAGTTACTTTAAGATAATGATTATCTTGTATTGGACCGTGGATTTCGCGATGTTGTGCCATTTTTGCAACAAAGTGGCTTCAATGTAATTATGCCTGCTATGAAAGGCCAACGACTCCAGCTAACCACAAAAGAATCTAACGATTCTAGATTTGTTACCAAGATTAGATTGGTCGTTGAAGCGGTTCATGGTATTATTGAACAAAAATATAAGTTGCTCCATAACCAATTCATGAATAATACCTTGGACAATGCCCGTACGTATTGTCGAATCGCATGCTTTTTGCATAATAGATTTGGCAAAGTATCACCGGTTATTGCTGCAAGTGTACTAATCGGGAATCGGACCGTTGGTTGTTGTTCTCATGTCGCAGCCATCATCTATCATCTCAGTCATGGACGATATTTATCAAGAATATATCGACCTGACGAATCTTTTTAACCTCAACGAAGGAACATTATAGAAGATGATCCTTCCATAAGGAAGATATTATATTAATATTTAATTTCAATATTTTTAATTAACCGATTTTGTAAAGACTACTGTCTGAACTATTCATAAAAAAAACATTATTCTTTTATTATCATTATTATTCTATTTTATTACTTTATTCTCTATTGTTATTTTCTTTTCTGTTTAATTCCATTCTGCGCAAGTGCTCCCCGGAGTAGCGCGTATTAATTAAATAAATTCAATTCAATTCAATATTAATATTTTGAATCATAGCGACGATACTGATGTAGAAGTTTATTGTTACACATAAGATGGCCAATTTTTCAATATTATTCCATGATATCATTTTTTTTCTAATGGCCATCATCATAAATGTTACAAGATTAATCGACTAGAAAAAAAAGAAAAAAAAATTTTCTTTCAAATCATTAACCTGAGCTTTAATCACATGTGCACTTTTAAAGTTTGCATGATTTTTAAAAATAAAAATAAAATTTTATTGATTCGAACTCGCAAAATGAACGCTAATAATACAACAAAAAAAAAAAAATACATACATAATAATTAACACGCAAACAACGATAAAACCGAAAAAAAAAGAAATCAGATAAACAACAAAACAAACAAAACGAAATCTAGGTGAATCACCTGTGATCACAATTTGACAAAATAATCAACAAACAGACTAGCATTTCAAATTATTTTTTTTTTGTTGTTGTTTTTCGTGTTTCATCTTTTATTTTATGAAAATTTTTTTTTTTTTTTGTTTTGTTTTCTCAATTAACATAAATCTGTTATATATACAGTAAATATTTGATTATTGTGAAATTTTGAATTTATTATTAAGATGATGATGATGATGATGATTGCTATCTAGAAAATAAAAAACAACTATGTGGTCAAATGATGTTCAGCTGAATATTTCCGTTTGAATGAAATGATTGAATTGATTTCGAATTCAATCGACAGAGAAACGTTAGAAAAAAAACGTTTCTCTTTTTTTTCCAATCCATTAGCATTGGTAATAATAATAATATAATGGTCATCATCATCATTAGCTTTGCACACATATTGAATGATGAAAACGACAATGATGGTCGACACCAGCGATTGCCGATCGACAAGTCATTCAATACCAATATAATTTATAATAAAAATGAAATTAAATGAAAGCATCGTCATTTTTTAAAGGTAAATCATAATCAATGATAATGGGTAATGTTTTTGTGAAATCGTATTATCTATCAGATTTGATTTTTATTAATTAAAGTTTAAAGAAAAAAAAATATTAAAAAATTATTTACACTATTCAAATTTTCATTTTTTTCCGCTTGCCCGGTCGTTCGAATGATTGTTTCATTCCACCACCATGAGCTTGATGAAATTGTATCGCATGTGTATTATCTTTGGCTGACCAAGCCGAATCAAATGCAGTCGTGTCAACATCAGTTAGATGTGTATATTTTGTGCGACCAGCAAGGCCAAAATTTTTCACTTGCATAACCGATGGCAATACGGATTTATCAAAATGATCTTCCAGTGTTGGTTGCGCAAAATCTCGTTTGAACACCTGATCTTCTGCATCCAGATAGAATGCACCACGATGATAATACTTTTGTAGGAATTTATATTTGCCCTTTTTCTGTTGATTAGTTACAACACGTGGATTCTTTTTCAACTCTTCCTGTCGTTCTTCTTCTGTCATGTTTCGTAATCGTTCAATTTCACGTCGTTCTCTGTCTCGTTGTTCTTCCTCTTCTTTTTCTCGTTTGATTCGTCTTAATTCACGGACTTTCCATAATTCGAATGCCGTTTCATCATCTTCATCATCGGTGATAACCGAAGCGATTCCTTTGATAATTGCTTCTTCTTCGGCTGCCGCTTTATTCTTTTCTCGTTCTTCTTCTTCACGACGACGGTCTTCTTTAATTAATTTTAATGTTGATCGACGGCGTTCTTCCAATGCAATTTTCGCTTCCAATTCGGCAGTTTCAATACGTTTGCGTTCCTGTTCCTCTTTCTCATTGATGGTTATACTATCTTTTTTGGAAACGAAAATTGGTTTCAATCGAGGCATTACTTCATCTTCTGAATATTTGGATTCATTTTCTGATTCTTCCTCATCGTTTTCGTCGTCATCACTGAAAGCATTTTGTGCAGGTTCCAATTTTAATTTAAGCATCCGTTGTTTCAATAATTCATGACGACGTTCAATATTTTCATCATCATTTTCTTCGGCATCGATAACTTCACGATGTCGATGACGACGTCTAATGACATCACCGTCTTCATCATGTTCTAATTCGGGATCAGATTCTTCTTGATCACTTTTTTGACCACTTTTAATAACCTGTGGTTTGATCGTTGGCCGCGAACCTTCTTTGTTTGATTGTTCACGAAATTTTATCAATCGACGCATACTAGGATCTTGATTCAATTTTTCCTGATTTACCAATTACAAAAGTTATCACAGCAAAAAAAAGTGTGTGAGTATTTCGGCTATTTCTTGGTGACTATTTGAGTGTATATAGTCGAACAGCCGAAATATTCGAAATAACATTTACGAGTTTGAAATCAGAAAACGAAAAATTTTCATAAATCTAATCGCACTTGGTTGTTATGCGAAAAAAATATTCATATTTCGCGATTGATCATTTAAATTCAATTTGATCGATAAACGAATTGTTATTTTGAGAGATGAAGATTGTAGATGAAGACATTGAGTTTTTTTTAATCGGATTTTTTTTTTGTTTTGTTTTGTTTGTTTGAAATTTGAATTATAAAAACAAAAACAACCAAGTGTCCGGTGATGATGACCTAAATGTGGACAGATTTATCCGATGATGATGATGATGATGATGATGATGATAGTGAGATGGTAAAAAAAAGGAAAGAAAGTTCAAATACTGTATTATATATACACATTGCAATTCATTCATATAATTTTCATTTCAAATGTAATAATGTTGAAATGATGTGGTGATGGTGGTGGTGGTGGTGGTCAAACAAATACCGACATGACGATGTTGATGTTGATGATGATGATGACCTCCTTTTCAGGTGGTTTTTTTTCTTCGTAGAAAAAAAAGGAAGATTGTTTGTTGCTGCTGGCAAATCTTGTTGTTGTTGTTGTTACTTTGAATTGTTTTTTATTTTCTCGACAACCATGGCAATAATTGTGTTAAAGAAAGGAAAAAAAATTAATTTCACAACAATATATGACAAACATTTTTATAATAGTTACCTGGTTTGGAATAAAAAAAAAGTTGAACATTGTTATGATGATGATCCATGATGATTCGGATCCCCACATAAATGCCAATCATTGATGATGATGATGATGATGATACTTATAATGTGTAGCCAATGGCAATAAGAAAAAATAATTTCAATCCCATCGATAGAACATCGATGTATATATGAATCAATAAATGATCATAATGGTTGGTCGTCAACAACAACAATTAGATCAATCAATAAATAGCCCTTGAGGCGTTTTTATACTTTTTTTTTCATTTGAACTTTTCATATATTATATATTATATTATATATCGGTACAGTGCAATTTTTGTTTTTCATACAAATCTTGATTCCCATTTTTTTTCACTTTTCCAAGTTCAATCACATATATTATCCAGTACTTGCTAGATATTTTTAATTAGCTATTAAGACGAAACAGAAAAGAAATTGATCTAATATAAAATTTATATTTCAATGATGATGATGATAAATTGCCATTTGGTGACATTTCTCATTTCATCAGCAAAAAAAAAAACAAAAATTTTTTTTGATTCAAAGTCATTGAACGTTATGGTTCAAGTGGTGGCTTTTTCTTGCTGTTTGTTTGTTAACCACCACCACCAACCATAAATTATATTATTATTATTATATATATGCTGTGATAAAATGACTTGAGGCTTATTTTTTTTCTTACTTTGTCCTTTTGTAATCATCATCATCATCATCATCTTATTTGGATCGTTTTGGATCAATAATCGGATATTGTTTTGCACTCTTTTTCATTTTTGTTTCAAAATTTTTTAGAACAAAGAAAAAATAATTCAAATCAAATTAGCTAGCACACACACACACACACACACACACACAAACAGACAAAATCCAATCCAATCCAATCCAATCCAATCAATCAATCAATCGATAAAAAAAAAGATAGAAAGACAATGAAGCCAAATCGTTGAGCTAATAATAATTTGTCCTAATTCATTTTTTTTCTATTTTAGCTAAATTGGATTATTTGAATAAAAAAAAACAAAATCAAATCAATTCGAATAAGCCTGATGATTCGATTAGTTTTAATTCGATATTAGAATTATGAAAATGAAAATTTCAGTAAATAAAAACTTCAATGCATATGCAAAAATCCATTTGAAATTGTTTGGTGGTAACGAAAAAAAATAAAAAGCGTTCTGATGGCAGCTACTACACCAACTGATGATAATAATGATGGACAACAACAACAACAACAACAACAGATGATGGAAAACAATATGGAATTTAATATGGAAAATTTCCGTAATCTATATCAAGCTACAGAGAATCTATATGAAAAATATTCACAAAATTGTCGCAATGATTTGGAACATAAATCATTACAAAAATTATTGGATGAATATAGGAAAAAATTTTCCATAAATAATGCTGAAAATCTTGACCTGGTTTGTCAATTATTGGAAAAAACATTATCAAATGAATTATCATTAGTACGTGTCAATGATTTTCGTTTGATATATCGTTTTTTTGGTGATCTACACGGTAGTTTCAGTGATTTAGCACATATACGAACATTGTTTTGGCGTAATGGTAACATACAGATTACTGGTAATCATTTTGTATTTTTAGGCGATTATGTTGATCGTGGTATACATGGATTCGAAGTGGTCATCTATTTATTCATGTTGAAAATAATGTATCCAGCTAATTTTACTATATTACGTGGTAATCATGAATTTTCCGATATGAATCGTCAATCATTTTTATTGGAAATGCGTTTAAAATTTGGTGATGAAATTGGCTATCAAATGTGGTCTAGAATTAATGTTGCATTTGGTTCATTACCATTTGCGGCTATTATTTGTCAGAATATATTCGCCTGTCATGGTGGTATACCGAAACATTTTCATGATATGAGTCTAATTGAAGCTATTCCTAAATCAATTATTAGTGATTTAGAAGAAAATAGTGTTGGATTTCAATTGGTTTGGAATGATTTCTATACAAAAGATTTGACTGCTTCAGGTGAATTTCCAAAGGAGCCAAAATATTTTAGAAGAAATTTTTTACGTGGTGCTGGTTTCGTTATTGGTAATAATGGTGCTGAAAGATTTTTAAATCGTTTTAATCTTGGATATATTGTACGTGCACATCAATATCCATCATGTGAAACAACTGGCTATGATCATATACAATTATCCAATGGTGCAGTGTTTACATTATTTTCAAATTCAAGCTATGTTGGTGATATTAACAATACAGCATATCTTTATATATCAGTTGTTGATGAAGAATTAAAAGTATTTCCATTAGTCGATTCACAACAAAGTGAAGAATTTTTCAATAAAAGTGAATTAATTGAACCAAATGATACTGTTGCCGCTTTAAAACATCGTGATCCATTCTTTTTTGCATTATTTGATCCATCTGAAATGGATGATACAGAACAACAACAACAACAACAACAACGACAACAATCACCTCATCTATTATCACCATCTCCAGTTATAAAACAATCATCATTATCATCACCTGGTAAACAGCTAAAACAAAAACAACCACAAAAAGGACAAGATTTGGGACAAATACCGTTACCTTCATCATCATCATCATCATCATCATCGACACATGAACAAAGAAGACAAAAACGACGTCCACGTAGACAACGACGAAAAAAAAGGTGATAAAAAAATAGTTTAAAAATCGTATGATTTTTGGAATCAAAAATTAATTGATTCTTTAAAAAAAAAATTCATATACACACACAATTATTCAACTAAATTAAATTGGTACAAAAAAAATCGAATTGAATAAAAAATAAAAAACATTGCATTTCAAATCAAACCACCACCATAATTTGAACTTCCATTAGCGGAAAAAAAATCCAGAGTGATTTTTTGGTGGTGATCCATCCAAAATATTGTCCATAGCGATTATAATTATAACTGATTATTGATGTGTAGAGAGAGAGAGAGAAAAGCAAAAGAAAAAAAAGTAGATCAAGCTCATCATCGAATGTTGTGTTGTTCAATGTAGTCGCCACCAAAGTTGCCAATTAGTATAAATAATGATGATGATGATGATGATAATGATCACATTTTAGAAAATGATTCACAAATACCGTCAATTTGTTCATGTTCAATTCAAAAGTGAACCAATAATATAAACCAATGTGAGATTTTTTTTTTCCTGTCATTTTAAAAATTATATGTCAGCAAAAACACACACACATTTTTAAATGACCAAGTACTAAATGAATCAATCGGTTTTTTTTTGTTATGTAAATGAATCAACATTACGATTTAATGAATGAAATCATCATCATAATAAAGTGAAATAGCGAGTGAGAGTTACAATGTTTCTGTAAAAAAAAAAAATAAATTTGTTTTTCTCTTTCTTGAAATGAAATCAATCTCCCTTCTGTATTTTTTTTTCGCAGTTTTATATAGGTTGACCATTAAATTAGCCGGATATGGTTTTTTTGTTGTTGTTGTTGCTATATAGCAAACAACAACAACAACAACAGTCAGACATTTTAATTTGGCCATGAGATGATTACTATTGACTAAGGCAAAAATTGAAAATTTGATGATTTTTCCAAAGTTACAGATGATGTATAAAATACATATATAATTGGTCAGAAAAATGATGACCGATTTAATCTAATATATATAACCACAACAACAACAACAACGACAAATAAAAATGGTGGCACCAAGCATCAAGTGTCAGTTGAAAGGGGAGACAAAGTCTGGAAAACATTTAGGACAAGATTACTAGGAAAAATAAATAAATAGTGCCAACTCTTTGAGCTCTAATTTTTTTTTCTATATATCCTGAAGCAGGAATTTTTTTTTATTATTATTTTATCATTATAATTCTATTTGGTTACCTATAGAAATGAAAAGAAAAGATAATAACAACTTTCTGTGTTTGTGTGTGTGTGTGTGTGTGTGTGTGTGTGTGTTCGTGCGATAAATATTGACAGGTCATCGAATATAAAAAAAAAGATTGATCGATCAATCCATACATACAATGATCAGTTTTTTGCTTCATATATCGTGTTCATTCATGTTCATGTTTGTGTTCGTGTTTGTTGTTGTTGTTGTTGTTTTTGTCTTTCATTTTTTTTTTTTTTTTTTTTTTGGATTGAAAATAAAAAATCATCATCAATCTTCCTGTTTTTCATCTAGCCATATGAGATAATCAAAAGCAAAAGCAAAAGCAAAAAAATACATGCATGCATGCATGTGTTCAAGCACGTTATTTTTTTTTTCATTTGTTTTGTATGGACAATAGATGATCGGAAGTTGTAATTATTACCAACAACAACAACAACAACAAAAATGATTTGTTGATAAAAAAAGATTATTATAATCATGTTGAATTTTTGTTGGTTCCATCCATGATTCCTTTTTTTTTTTGATTTTATTCGCGAATCACCAATAATAATAATAATAATTGAAAACAAATGGATTGATAATATCAATTGATTCGAATGATGAAATTAATTTATTTGTAACAAAAAAAAAACAAAATGGATAATGGAAATAATTATGGAACCATTTTTTTCCACATCAATTATTATTGATCATATGTCCATATACATATTTCCTCGTAATGTTTGTCTGTGTGTGTGTGTGTGTGTGTGTGTGTGTGTGTGTGTGTGTGGTTTTTTCCACATTTAATGATCTAAATATCGACTGATCCGAAATGAAATTATCCGAAAAATGAAGAAGGAGAAGAAGAAGAAGAAGAAAAAAAATGTCGTATATATTTGCCCTGAAACCAAGAAAATTATTATCAAACAGAAAAAAAAAATCACTCAATTGAATCATTCGGACTATGGAAACTATTCGGCGCTGGCGCTACACAACAGTGAATGTATTTGTACATTGAACGACTGAACTAGACTGCGGTTTTTTTTCAATTTTACTTTAGCTTTTCGGATCAATCATAAGTGCTGCTGCCGTACAAAACATATATCCAGATCAATATCTGATGATGGTATGGATGCAGAGAAGAAGAAGAAGAAGAAGAAAAAATTTAATTGAATAAAAACAAAAAATTTCTACTCCCTGGGAAAATGTACATTACCGTGATCCGATTGAACGGAACAAAAACATCTATATGTGTGCCAAAAATCAAGCAAATAAAAAAATTTTCTGTTTCAACTGTCAAACATCCATTGCAATTGACCTGATTGATAATTTTCAAGAATATGTAGCTAGTAGAAAAAAAATCAATGAACATGGATATTTTTTTAAAAAAAAAGAATGAATGAAATTAACACGTTTTTCTTTCTCTATAGTTGTTGATCAATGTGAAATTTAATTTTGTTTTTTTTTCACTCTCAATGCAAATGAATGAATGAAAAAAACGTGTCAGATGTCAAATGTCTGTTTTTTTTAGCATATACACTCATGATGATGATGATGGATTTCTTTGCACATTGTGTTTCATTTCATTTTTTCATTTCATTTCATTTCAGTAGTAGTAGCTATTTATATTCACACATCAATTCGAACTAAATTGTCTTGTTGTAATTTGAATAAAATCAAATAAAATCAATCAATGAGCCGAGAAAAAATAAATAAATAAATAAATGATCATCAAATTTATAATATAATGTTATATCATCATTTTATTTTATTTTTGTAAATCATTATCATTATTTAGCGTTTTAACGAAACAACAACGACGATGACTACTTTTATTATTATAATAATAATTGGCCATTTTTTGGAGTAGAGCAAAAAAAAAACAACCAAGTCAACGAATAGATAAATATATGAACTCAAATTTCAAAGTGAAAGAAGAAGAAAAAAAAATATTTGCTTAAATAGTAATCATCATCATCATCATCATCATTATTATTATGATGATGATGATGATGATGATTGTCATTATTCAATTGTCATTTGCTTTTTTTTTCTTCTTCTTCTTATTACAACGAAACACAATAATGATTGAGAAAAAAAAATTGAACGATGAAACACACACACACACACATTTATATTTACAAATAATGATGCTGATGATGATTGTTAATGAGGACGGTGATGATGATGATGATGATAGACAATAAAATGAATTCAAGAATAAATCCACAATCATTTGGGAATCGAATGAATGTGTTTGTCCATATATTATTTCATAATAATAGAACCTGTTGGTGTTGAATAGAATATCGAATGTCATTGAAAAGAAATAATGAATAACATTTGGATTCATTTATTGAAAAATGATGGCCAGTGCTTCTTTTTTTTCAATGGATAACTGAATGTAATTCGCCATCCAATGCAAGATGAAAATTAGTTTTTGGCCTATCTGTTACTTGGACAATTGTCAATTTTTTTTCCATTCATTATTTCTATAAGATCTGGATCATCATCGTCAAATTTTTTTTTCACTATTACAGAATGTTTAATATCATCAAACATCCATTAATCTATTGACATTCTCATCATCATCATCATCATAGCCATTCAATTGAATTTGATTCAAAACAATTTTTTTTTTGTCCACTGAAATCTCTCTTTCACATACACACATTTTTTCCATGGCCATATTTCATTATTGTTGAACAATTTTTTATTCATTTTCATTCATTTAAACATCATTATTCTGATGTTATAAAGAATTCCAAACTCTCGAACATTTGTCCGAAATTTTCTCATCCACTGGTTATTAAATTGAGCGACAAAAAAAATAAATTTTTTTTTACTGCTACGAAAGAATTTAACATCTAAACATTACCAAAAAAAATGGCATTTATTCGACCAACTACTAATCGACCAACCAGATAAAACCATGGATTTTTTTTTGGTTTAATTTGGTTGGGCGGTGACGGGCAATATTTCATTTTCAATGTATAATGGTATGACGACAGTTTTATATTCTTGGCTTCATCATCTTCAAAAGACATCAAAGAATTGGCAGAATTTATTATTACTAAACCTGCCATATAATAACGGTAAGAATCTGTAAACATATTTATCCACTAATAAAATATATATAATTTACTTGCAAAGAATTTTTCATCATCATTTACTTTGAAATTCATTCATTCATTCATTCAGTAATTGATGACTGCATTCAAAATGTATATATAGACATACAGGGTAGAGTACCACTGCTCAAATATTATTATTGGTGATATATTTTGTTCATCAATCAGAAAAAAAAGATTGGCATCAACTTGCCATCGTTTTTTTTTTCTTTCTTTCTTTTTCTTTCATTCTCGATCGATTCTTGATTATAGAATTTGTTGATGAATGTAAGATTCTATAGCCACAGTCATTAAATAGACAAACACCAGCAGACAGACACACACACACACTAAAAAACATTGACGAATTCATTCGAAATGTGAAAATTGAATTGCGCACACACACACACACACAGTGAAACAGAATTTTCTGCTTCTTTTTTTTGAAATTGTAATCGCGGAAATCTAATACAGTATGTTTTTGTCGTTTGGCCAAATTGAAATTCCACAACTTTTTTTTCGTCTCCATCTTCATTCGTTTTGTTTGTTAATCACAAATATATTTTTTTCACATGTTTCATCTTGAAAAATTCCAATGAACAATTTATCAACGCCAACATGCAATAATAAAGACAAGACGTTTATAATTGAATTATTATAATAAACAAATTGCAAAAAAAAAGAGTTTCCAGTTGCCTTATTTTTGTTGTTGTTGTTGTTTTTGATTTTGGCTAACCAAATGTTCAAATGTTGAATGAATGAATGAATATAGAAATTGATCATCGATTTACATCATCAATAATTTCAACAACAACAACAAAAAAACCTTCACAAGTTTTGTTTCTAACCTGATTTTTTTTTACCGCCAGAAAAAAAAGGTTTGTTTGTCTAATGAATGATTTGATAATAATTGTCCAGGATCATCAACATACATCAGACATTTTTTCATGGAATTTTTGTTTTTGTTTTGTTGTTTTAATATTTCAAATCAATCAATGTCATCGAATGAATGAATGAATATTGTGTGCATATGAAAATATAGAGTAGTTTATTCACACAACACAACAGAAGGCAACAATGATATTCTATATCAGTCGATATTTTTTTTTTTTTGTTACGGACCACACACACCTTTCAACATTTCTGGAATTAGTAATCTTGGGAAACAAATAAATTTATGAATAACTTCCTTACTTCAAATACTTGTGTTTGTTTATGTCATTTGATGCCTTTATCATGATGATCATCATCATCATCATCATCTTAAATCTCACATGTTCTTGATGATAATGTGTCCGGATCTCCGGTCACATAATTTGATTGTAGAGCCATACAAAAAAAAAAAACAACAACATGAACATAATCTCACATTACATCGACATTTTTCTCTTTTTTCGGGCATTCGTTTCCTTGTTATTTTTTTTTTTTTCTCTCGTTGTCCACACAAATCCCGATTAGTTGGAAAGATGATTGTTGAAATTTGAATCATTGAAAAAGTATTTTTCAGACACAAAATGTTCGTTTTTTCCCCCCTTCTTCGCATATACACCCCTTTTTATTATTGATTTTAAATCAATGAAAAAAAAAATCTCCTCATCCTCCCCCTCCTAGCTCAAACAATCATATCATCATTGGTTTTTTTTTGTTTTGTTTTTGATATCAATACTCTACGGAAATGGTGATTTTTTTTAGCTTTTTCTTTTCTTTTCATTGAAATCCTACACTACTACAATCTACATGACCAGAAAAAAACTCTTGTTTTTTATTTTTTCCACACTTAAAACGAAACCAAATATTTCATCGATTAAATTCAAGTTTCTATTTTTTTTTTTCGTTTCGTTTCGTTTCGTTTCGTATTGTATGATAAAAGACAGTAAGATAGTAGTAGTAAGTAGTGAGAAAAAAAACACTCTGTCAGAAATGATTTCGATCAACCGAGACGGAAACAGAAAATCTTGATGATGATGATGATGATGATGAAAGTTTTGTTTGTCCAAATGGTTTTTTTTTTTCTTTTTGTTGTCCCTACATTTGTAAAAAAAAAATAAAAATAAAAATTTCCGATCATAATCACAAGGGAAAAAACACACACACACACACACACATGCAAATCAAGTCCGACACTTGTCGATCTGACAATCAGTCCAAACAACAAGACAAGATATAATATTCCAGGTATTTTATTATTTTACAGAAAAAATTGGAAAAGAGAAAATGAAAACTCCAATGAAATATAGTGACGGAAACGATATATTTGAGAGAAAGACTTGAATGTTGTGATGCATGCGAAAAAAAAATTCGGGCACAAAACAACAACAACAACAAAAAAATTTTGAAATTGAATGACCTGCCATTTCATCATCTTTTTATCTCCATTTCTAGATGTTTTTTTTTTAATTTGTTGCCGTATATATACACACACACACATACACGGTAATATCGTTGAAAGTCGGAAATATTTTCCGTACTCAATCAACTGATTGAAGATTGGATTAAAATGAAAATTTTTTTCTTTTTTGAAGAGACCAAAAAAAAAAAAAAAATGATGATGATAATTTCTCTGAAGATAGATAATGGGGAAAAAGAGAGACAAAAGAGAATTAGAGATATGAAGGAATTTTCAAAAAAAAGAGAAAGATGATGATAATTTTCCAAAAGTGGGCAATGATGGTATGGTTTTTCTTTTCTTTTCTTTTTTTTTCATTTCTTTCGGTATTTGGTGGTTATGCATATCATATTGATGATTGTGCACAAGTTACAAACAACAACAACAACAACAGCGACAATCGAATCGATTTTTTTTTGTTGTTGTTGTTGTTGTTATTGGAACAAAAATATGAATAGTGGCCATACTGTGTGTGTGTGTGTTTGTTGATGTAGTTTTTGATACGAAATCATGTCATTGATGATGACACTATATCCTTGTAATTATCACATATTTGGTCATCATCGATCTGTTTTGTTTTCATATTTTTTTTTTTTTTGTTTTCACATTCAAAATCTGTCCATGTTGATTGATTATTGTCTGATGTTGATGATCGAATTGTGTGAATTGTGTTGTGTTTGGTGAATATTCCCAGTTGAATTGATTCCATTTCCATTTGAAATAAATCACTTGTTGATTTCATCATTTTTTTTCGTAAATTTTCTCATTTCAAACATGACTTTAAAACCATCATCATCATCGTTATTGAATGTTGAAAAATCTTCAAAATTAATCATTCAATCAGCTAGTCATTCAAATGATTTTATTTTGAATTCTTCCAGTGTTGAAATAGATAAAAACAACAAAAAAGAAGAAAAAGAAGAGCTAATTCAATCGATGGAATCCAAAATGACCATCACAAATAATCAATCAAGTACATCGAATGTATCAACAACTGTAGACGAATCAATGAAAATTGAAATAGATACCGATACAACTAATCAACCGATAAATACATCGGATACGGAAAGTGAACAAAATTGGAATGAAAATAACGTAGATAATGGTGATGGAAATACGAAAGAAGAAGATAGTCAGGTTGAAGATGAAATTGATGATGAAGATAAAATAATGGATTGCAATGGGAATGATCAAAAAAATTCAACGATTGAACAAAAATTTCCCGATTCAGATGCAATCAAAATGTTTGTCGGTCAGATACCGAAAATATGGAATGAATCTGATTGTCATAAATTATTCAAAGAATTTGGTGAAATTTATTCATTAAAAGTATTAAGAGATAAAGAAAGTGGACAAAGTCGTGGATGTTGTTTTGTTACATTTTTTAATAGAAAATCAGCATTATCTGCCCAGGATGCATTACATAATGTAAGAACATTGGAAGATATGCATAATCCAATACAGATGAAACCAGCTGATAGTGAAAATAAACAAGAGAGAAAAATTTTCATTGGAATGTTGTCGAAAAAATTTAATGAAATTGATGTTCGTCAAATGTTTACACGTTTTGGTAATATTGAAGAATGTCTGGTACTTCGCGATTTAAACGGTAATAGTAGAGGTAAGTTGATTTGATTTGATTTGATTTATTACGTTTTTCAATTCAATCTTTATATATTTTATTTATATCGAATGATTGTGCATAGGTTGTGCATTCGTAACATTCAGTACAAAACAATGTGCAATCAATTCAATTAAAACTATACATAATTCAATAACAATGGATGGTTGTTCATCACCGATTGTGGTTAAATTAGCTTCCAATAATATTCAACAACAACAGATCACATCAGTCAATGGTAAACATCATCATCATCATCATCATTTACATCATCCATTATCTGCAAAAGATTTTTTCAATATCAACAACAATAATAACAACAAAGAACAACAAATATCATCATCATCAGCATCATCGTCGACAAATGTAATAGCTCGAAAATTAGTGCCACGTATTTCGAATGGTACAAAAAATCTTCTAAATAAAAATCATCAACATTCTTTATTTTTACATCCGGCTCATTCATGTATTGTTCATCCAACACCACAATTTGTATCGTTAGCAGCGGCTGCTGCTGCTGCTGTTGCCGCTGCAGCAGCTTCTACATCGACTACCAACAATAATATCAACATGACTACATCGAATAGTGGTAGTAGCCAGAATATGAATAGCACAACAGATTCTGGTTCCGGATCATCAGTAGTTTCATCTGGTTCATCAACACCGGCCAGTCATGGACATCCACATCATCGTCATTACCATAATCATAATTATTCGAAGATTTCATCGTATCATCGACAATCAAATGGTCATCGTGATAAAAATGGTTCATCTTCAAATCAACAACAGCAACAACAATATCAATCAAATACGGCAGCAGCTGCAGCTGCAGCCGCTGCCGCTGCTACATTGGCATCAACGAATCCTTATCTTGCATTGGCAGCTGTTGCCGCTGCAGCTCAACAACAAAAACATCCACCATCATCATCGACGACGACGACAACGAATCAATCTTCTCAACAGCAGCAACAACAACAATCGAATACCGATATGACATCATCATCAATAATGAAAATGAATACAATAGCTACTAATACCAGCTCCGGAAATCATCCATCTATTTTTCCATCATTTTACAGTGATCCTTCAGTGAATCTTTTTAATTATCCAAAAACGACAGCCAATGTTGCAATGTTAAAAAATACAGTTGGCCAACATTCCTTATTGTTCAATAATAATAATAATGAACAATTGATTGTTGATCCACATCATCATCATCATCATCATCCATATCAACCATCATCGGATTATTATCCAATGGATCCATTGTATATGGTTACAAATTGTTGGCCTAGTCATCATTCGGCCATCAATCATCCATCACCATTCTATTCAACAACAAATAATTGTTCACCATTTTTTGGTTCATTCTCACCTTCATTTGTGAGGGGCCATCACTATCATCAGCATCATTCACCACATTTACATCAACTAACAAATGGAACATTTGGATTCGCACATTTAGGACCATATTTAGCACATCAATATAACAACAGTGTAACATCACCATCATCATCATTATTTGGGTCATCGACTCTAGGTGTGATAAATAATAATAATAATGTCGCTGGAAAATCAATCATCAATAATGGCGGAAGTAATGGCAAATCAATAACGAAAAGTTTAACATCATCAACATCGACATGTTCATCATCGTCGTCATCATCAGCATCATCGAGTAACGTTAATATTGGTGTACATCATCAGCAGCCACAAGTATTAGAAAATCAATCAACAATAATGAACAGTGCGGCTGTTGTGAATAAACAACCAGAAGGACCGGAAGGAGCCAATCTATTCATCTATCATTTGCCATCAGAATTTGGTGATTTCGATCTTACAACAATGTTTTCATCATTCGGAAATATACTTTCAGCTAAAGTATTTGTTGATCGTTACACTAATCTATCCAAATGTTTTGGTTTTGTTTCCTATGATAATCCATCATCGGCACATGCTGCCATTCATATGATGAACGGTTTTCAAATTGGACCAAAAAGACTGAAAGTTCAATTGAAAAGAAAACCAGAAAAGCCTTATTGATTTTCGATTTTCCAATCATTTCATTTTATTATCAAATGATTTGAGTTTATTTATTAGGATTTTCATATATATGTGGTCAACAGTTTTTTTTCAATATTTTTTTCTTATAGCTGAAATATAATTTAAAAATAAACCAAAAAAAAAGAAGATATTCCAAAAATAGGATACGATCTTGTTTTCCCAATTATTTTTTTGTTTTTTTTTCTCAATTATAATGATATCTTATTTCAATAATTTAATTAACAAATACATGAACATTATATTCTGATTTTGTTTTTGTGCAAATTTTTCAATTTTTTCTCCTAATAATTATTTAAAAAATTAAAAATCGAATTTATCTAAAATAAAAAGAAAACATCGAACATTTTGAATTTAATTCATCATCATCGATACCATCGATATCGTGAATAATGAATTCTATATAATATGTTGTTGTCACATGTTTTGCTCACATATATTTGTTGTTATTCTATTCTTGATTTTTTTTTCATTTCGAGTATTTGTAATTGTTTTTTTTTCTTTATTCATGTTGCAGAAAAAAAAATTATGATGATTAAATTAATTATTGATTGATTGATTGATTTTGTTGTGTTCAAATGTCAAAACAATTATTGAATATTTTCGGTGTGTTTGATGTCAATTGTTCAAGATTATATTGTCATTTACAATTACAGCTACCATTCTTGAATTTGATACATGAAAATGGAAATTTCCGGCTGAAACATGTAGATAATGAACTGATTTTTACAGTTTCAAATGATGACAATGGCAATTTTCTACAGTTTCGTATACGAGAAACAGATAACTCTTCGCGGTCATTAATCATTGATGGATTCAATACTGAATTAAACAACATTGATGATTGTATCTATCGTATTGAATTCGATTTGGCCGCCGCCAATATCAACGTTGACTTTGATCGAATGAAAAAATTGCTCGATTATTCATTTCATAATGAAAATAATTTGGAAATTTTTCCAGTTTTAAAATTTGAATTAAATAACGACGAATCTGATCTATTACTACCAAAATCGATTGAATTCGATAAATCCCTATTGCAAGTATTTGATCGTCCAAATCCAGAACTATTAAATGATTGGCTTTTTTGTCATAATCATTCCCATCATGAAGATGATAATAATGTTGATATTTTGTCATCAATAAACGAAAATTATGGCCCATTAATTTTAGATCATATCGAACAAATTGTTCATCTTTTACAGAATGAATCGAATGAAATTTTGTTTGAATCGGTTAAAAATAAAACCATAGTTTGTTTATCAGACTTGGACAAAGGTAAGTTTTTATGGAAAAATTAATCATTTTTTTTAATTTTTTTGTTTTGTTTCTGTTTCAGAGATTTTTATACAACATGTGAAGATTCAAAAATGGAAAACAAACAAATGATTCGAATAAAATTACAAAACTCTTTACTTGTATGGTATAAAATTTTTCTTCCATCTGATATATCATTGAAATCTGATGCTCAAAATCATAATGATGTCATTTTATTGAAAAAATATAGAATGTCATTCACAACAGATTGGTATCTGATCACTGATGACCTATTTAAATTAATGGTAGATCAATTGAACATGAATTCGTATCAAATAAAACGATTATCATTGATTAAAAATTTCATCTTTAACAATCAGGATTTTGATAATGATGAATGTATACATGATCAATGTATGTTGAGTTTTCTACCATCTTATTCTATTATTACTTTGTAATGTTGAAATAAATAAATGAATTTTTTAATTATAAAAATTTTGAAATTATAATTTCAAAAATTTCGAGTATTTGGATTCAAATAGTGGATCAATCAATCTACGTCTTATTAGGTGGAAATAGTTTCGAATATAATGCATCATTGAACGCGTTTTGTTGTTGTCACAATCAATTATAATTGATTACAGCTGCAGATATCAATGATTTTTTTTTGCATTGTGATGTCATGATTATTATTCCTTTTTTTTTTTTTTTTTTTTTTTTGATTATCATCATTGCAATCGATCAAAGGAATATAGCATATATTATTCTACGTACAAATTTGAGTCAGAGTAAAAAAAAATACTTCATTACCAGCTCAACAACGCCAACAACAACAACAACAACAAAATTAATCAACCCATTACGCGTATCATAAATTTGGAGCCCTTATTTAGTAAATAAGTGGATCATGGTGATAATATAAATGACGATAATGATGACATTATCTTTGTCAAATGTTCAATGTTGTTGATTATTTCATTTGAATTGTAGCTATTTTTCTACTTGTTGCCAAATAATCATCATCATGATGTATAATTCACCGGTGGAAAAAAAATGAAGAGAAGCAGACGAAAAATTTTGTTGTAAATAAATGGTAACAAAATATTTCATTTTATAATAATGAAAAACACAAACTAATCAACCATCAACTCTAATTATGGCGATGATGATGATGATAACGATTTAGACGAAAAAAAAACAACAAACAGAAAATGTCATGAAACAATCTAATTGGAACGGGTTTTTTTCCGAAAAAAAAAATTTAATTAGTGTATCAAATTTGAAATTTATTCAAATTGTTTGATTGATTGATTAACATTGATCATCATCAGCATCATCATCATCATCATCAAAGTCAACACAGAAATGTGAATTCATGACATTTTTATGGTGGTGAGAATCTTTGATATTGGCGAAAACAAACGACAAACACAGTGATGATCGAATTTCTATTTTGAAAAAAAAATTAACCGAAATTCTACTTTGTTTTTTTGGCCGACTCATCTTTATATTTATTTTATAAACCGTGTGTGTGGAAACTTTCATTCCATTATTTATGTGTTTGTTTTTTTTACGTCAAGTTTTTAACCATTATTATCGTCATCATCATCATCATCATCATACGATTTCGTTGTTTTACATCATTAACAAAACTAGACAACAACAACAAACATACATCCTTTTGTGTGTTCAAATATCATTCATTTTAACAATCACTGTAGTTTGTGTTTATGTGTTTGTTTGCTTGTTGTTGCTACAAATCTCATCTGACTAAATGAAAATTGGTAATCTATTTTTGGGTGTTCATTCAATATTTTAATTTTTCTCCCTCTCCCTCTGTGTGTGCGTGTGTATTTAACACTTGTAAACACCATAAGATTTTTAGTTTTTTCTTTGATTTGATTATAAATCTCATACAATTTTTTTTTTCATTTCTACCACTATTTTGCAGCACGAGACTAATTTGTTTTTGAAATTTTTTTTATGAAATCAAAAAAAAAAAAAAAATACTTGTCAACAGAAAAATTATTAAATCGTCACATTTTCAATTTTGTACTCAATCTCAGAGAACATCATTTTAATTTTAACTAGTATTAAAATTGAAATTAAAACCAAAAACAAAAAAAACAATTTGTCAAATGGTTTCGGTCGAATCATCCAAAACGAAAGGTATGTATCGATTTTGGATCAAATTTTATTTGCGTTTTTACAGTTTAGTGTTTGATTCATTTGTATATCGATTTTTTTTCTTATTTATTTTACTGATTTATGATTAGGGAATTTTATTTTTTTTCATATTTAATTTCGAATGAATAATAATTGCTTTGAATTTCAATCAATAGATGGCAATCATGTGTTCACATTTTTTTTTTAAATTTATTTTTCGTATTTCGTACTCTTATTTCGTTTTGAAATTCAAAAATCGATACGATTTGAATAAATTTTCAAATGATTTCATGTGGAAAAAAGAGAAAGAAAAAAAACACATACACACAAAACCAGGATATATCCATGGTTACTTTTGCATTTGGTTTCCTCTTTTTTTTCACAATCAAAAGATTTTTTCCATTTTTATTCTGTCAGAAAATATTCCAGATGTGGGACTGAAGATAAAAATTTTAGAAAAAAAAATGAACTGTACACCTACACAATAAATGAATTAAGCTAGTAATAGTTTTTTTTTGCTAAATAAAAAAATAAAATAAATGGAATTTTCTTATGAAAAACACTCTAAATTAGCTTTCAAATTTGATTCGATTCTAATGAAATGAAAAAATGAAAGCAGAAATTTTTTCTTTTCAAATATCGATTTTTCTTTTCTCTTGATTCTTGATTTTGACATTACATTCCATCGATAATAATAATAATAATAATATCGTCATATGAACTTATGAACAAAAAAAAAAAAAAACCATATCATTAGATGAATATATGATTTCGTAACTTATGCTGTGTGTGTGTGTGTGTGTGTATGGAATTGATTGCCATAATAATAAGCAGAGCCACATAATAGTCACATGAATCGAATCAATGTTTACTTCTTTATTTCATCATTATATAGTCGAATAGAATATTATACCCTATATATAAAAAAAAATTCCATCTACTGTATAGAATCAAAATTGTTCATAATAATAATAATAATAATAATAATGGTGGCTGCTGCTATTTTTTGGAATTGAACCGATAGTAGCATTTTTTTGCTGATGAAAACAAACAAGATCTTATTGGCACGATAGTTGTCTTGGATCCATTTTTGTTTGCTGAATGATGATTATTATTATTCTATAATAAGAAATGAGAATGTGAAAAAATTTTTTTGCAAGTGTAAACCGTCAAATTGCTTATATGTGTCTGTTTATTTTGTTCAGGTGTAAAAATGTCTGGTTTTTTTCAATTTAAATATTCTGTGCGTGTGTGTGTGTATGTGTTTCTTGTTTATTTATCTATCAGTGCATGTTTTTGTGTCATTTTGTTTTTTACATAAATGATAATGACAATGCAGCTGTTGTAAACAATATTCATTGAGTAAAAAATTGAATTAAATTTTGAAATCATTTTTTTTCTTCATTTTGTTTCTGTTTATTTTTACTTGACATTTCATTGTGTAATGTGTTCGTGTGTGTGTGTGTGTGTGTGTGTTGTTGTTGTTTTCTGGTCTCCATGTTTATTGGTTTTTTCTTAAAATTCCCTTGATGGTTGATGAAAACAAAACATAAAAAAAAATAATTTGAAAATGGGTTTCATTTTTTTTGCGGGCTTGATATAATCACTGTGACTACCAGTTCAATACTCATAAACATTGATTTCAGTGCCTTTTTTTCGATTTACATGTCCAACATTTCTAAATGTCAAGAATTTTTGGAAAAAAAATTGTCCCTATTAAAAGAAATTTTTTTTTAAATTTGTGTTTTGAATTAATAATTAATGATCATCATCATTTCAGCCGTCTGTCATAGGATAATGCGGTAAGTTTTTTTTTTTTTGTTTTAACTGTAAAAATATGTATGGTGTATATGAAAATACCAATTGACGCGCGTAGACATGCAGATGTTTTGTGTAAAATGAATAGGAAAAATGCACATAAATTTTAATTTTTTGAAAAATAATAATTCAATTTTCATTTTTGATAAATGTCTTCTGTTGAAAATATTTGCATTTCATTGAATAAATTTTATTTTTCAATATATTGTCAAAGTTTACAAAATTTGAAGGTTTGGCTCTGACAAATTCAATAGTTTAATTATTGATGATGATGATGATGATGAAAATTTTCAAAAACTTTTCCTCATTTTTTTTCATTATAATTGCAGAAGGACAAGATTTTTATTTTTTGTTGTAATGTTGTATGATGGATGAATGAATGTGTGTATATTGTCATCCAACAACTGGCTTATACTGGCTGGCTAGTATATACACGATTGATGATTGATCATATGGATGAATCGTATGAATTTTCAATATATCCATCGGCTAATTTGATGTAATACATCTTTGTTTGATTCCTGGTGAAAATATCCAAAAAATGAAATGTACAAATCATCGAAAAAATTTTCTCTAGTTTCGATTTTTGAGGTGAAGGACAATGAAATGGAATATGTAATACAAATAACAATGCAATGATATATATATTCTGTATATTAATGATCATTATTTGCATTTCTCTGTTTGAATACATTGTATTTCATTTGTACATATATAATATGAATTAGCATTTACTCTGTTTTAGTTGTCATTTGTTTGTTTAGTCTTTTATCTATCGGTATCGGTATACATTGATTATCGAATTATTACATGTCATAATTATCAATTCTATATATCTTGTATGTTGACATGTGTTTCATTTATTATTATTTTTTATGAACAATAAAAAATGATGATGGTCTCTTTTTCTTTTTTTTTTTTTCTTTATTCATTGGTAATATATTATCCATTAAATATATTTGTCTATATAGATAACGTTGATCATAAAAGAGATGCAGAAGCAGCAACAACAACTACGACAACGAAACCTGGTAAATGCCATGATATACAGCAGCAGCAGCAACAACGACGACAACAATCATCATCATCATCATCATCTATTGACAATAGCAACAACAATTCTAATTGCATTAATGATGAATTACCTGTTATCGACTTTGTCGTTGGTCAAAAACAACAACAACAACAACAATTGTCAACCATATCACAATCATCAATTGATGAAAACTTGAAACCAATTCTTTATACAATCGGTACTGATAATAATCATAATAATAAAATTGATGACAATAATAGTAATATTAATAATGATAAAAATGAAAGAAAACAATCATCATCAAATGATGAAGATAATTCTTTATTAAGCTGTTCAACAACACCTCGTTCATCAAGATCATGTTCGACAAGTTCTAATAATTCTTTATTCAAATCTTTATTGTTATTTCATTCATCAAATAATTCTAATACAAACAAAAATAGTCAACAAAAATCCGATGTTGTTGTTAATAGTGATGTGAAAAAAAGATTTTCATTCGAATTTCCATCATCGACATCTTTATTTTTGAAAAAGAAACAATCATCTTCATCATCAACATCATCGTCCACATCATCATCATCATCATCATCTCAACAACAACAGCAATTGAATTCAAAGAAAGTAACAATTGTACAAAGATCACAATCATCTGTACAAGATTCAAAATTGTCTTCCAATATTCAATCGACCATATTATTGGAACCAAAAAAGAAGTCCATTCGTTTTAATCTATTACAAGAAAAACAAGTAGAAGAAAAAATGGCTTCACCTAGTCTTAGTTCTGGATTTCAAACACCATTGCCGCCAACTATGCCAACACCATCACCGGTATCATCACAATTGAATCATCATCATCTTCATCAGAATAATAACCAAAATACAAGTGGTTCTTCATTATTCGATACGATTAATGGTAAGCAATGGTAAAATTGTTTTGCGTATTTTATATTTTCTTTCTTTTTACTTCAACAGATACAAATAATCTTGATGGTAATGAAAATGATTCCAGTAAAAAATTACAAACATTTAAAGCTAGAAGAAAAAATTATCGTCTTGAAAAGAAAAAATTAACTGCTGAATTGATTTCGGCTATCCAGGATCCAACCACGATTGTCATGTCCGATTGGTTAAAAGTCCGTACTACATTGAAACAATGGAACAAATATTACTGTGAATTAAGACCTGGATCTCTGTATATGTTTAAAAATCAAAAAACTTATAAACCCAGTAATTGGGTTGGTACTGTGATGTTGAAAATGTGTGAAGTACTGGAACGACCATCTAAAAAGGGTGGCTTTTGTTTTAAACTATTCCATCCTCTGGATCATCCAATCTGGGCTCCCAAGGTCTGATAGATATATATGCATTATTATTATTATAATTTTAAATTTTTCATTTTCAACATTTAGGGTCCACATGGTGAAGAATTCACATCATTACTATTTCCACTGCCTGTATCATCGGCTATATTCCGTGCACCATCCGAAGAGGCTGGCCGAAAATGGATGGAAGCAATTGAACTTTCATTGAATTGTACGGATTTAATTGCCCCAAGACATATCGTTTCTTCGAATATTAATGCTAATATTAATACAATTGTCGACAATGTTAATCAACGTCGTGATTCCATGCCAATGTCACCATTGAGTACATCAGTTATTAGTACGAATAGTGCACCGACATCACAAACAACACAAAGTTTAAATTATATCAATTCCGTAGATGATGATCTTTTAATGTGCAACAACAATATCAATGAAATTGATATTGAAACTCATTTCGGTAAGAAAAAAAATTTCATTCTAAATGATGAATTTATTTTAAAAAACCATACATAGACATTGATGATGATGGCCATACTGATCATGGTGAACATGACGATTCAATTGGTCAACATACTACTGAAGAAAGTGATGATTCAATATTTCTCGATGATGATTTTAATCTAGCCGATGTAAATAGCACTAATACCGGTGATCATCATAAATCAATCAAACAATCATTGTCTAATGATCATTCACTTAAAACTCATAATGACATACCTGAAGTTGCCGAAACAAACTATGCTTATGATGGCGGTAATGAAGAATTTGGTTTGGTTGGCGATGCCGGTCAAACTGAAGATGTTCCCGAAGAGAATAAATCACTTTTATGGACATTGCTCAAACAAGTTCGACCTGGAATGGATCTATCAAAAGTGGTGTTGCCCACATTTATTTTAGAACCACGATCATTTTTGGAAAAACTTACCGATTATTATTATCATTGTGATATTATCTCAAAGTAAGCTTTAATCATTGACATGCGTTTCATCTGTATAAAATCTTGTTGTTTTTTTGATTTTTAGTGCCGCCTTAGAAGATGATCCATTAATGCGAATGAAATTGATTCTCAAATGGTATTTATCCGGTTTCTATAAAAAACCCAAAGGATTAAAAAAACCATATAATCCTATATTGGGTGAAACATTCCGATGTTATTGGCATCATCCAGAAACCGATTCACGTACATTCTATATTGCCGAACAAGTTTCACATCATCCGCCCGTATCAGCTTTCTATGTTACTAATCGTAAAGATGGCTTTTGCATTAGTGGATCAATATTGGCTAAATCAAAATTCTATGGAAATTCAATTTCGGCTCTATTGGAAGGAACGGCTCGGCTTACGTTGTTGGCTCGCGGTGAAGATTATCTGATTACATTCCCATTTGCACATTGCAAAGGCATATTCTTGGGGCCATTAGCATTTGAATTGGGTGGTAAAGTGACAATCACATGTGAGAAGACTGGCTATAAAAGTGAATTGGAATTCAAATTGAAACCATTCTTTGGTTCGGACGATCAATGTAATTTACTAATCGGCAAAGTTCGCTTAGGCAATGAAACGATGGCCAGTATTGAAGGTCATTGGGATTCGGAGATATTTTACAAAGATAAACGTAAAGGTGAATCAGAATTGTTCTGGTCAGGCATCGATCCTAAAGTGAAAAGTAATCGTTTGAAGCGCTTTATCGTACCACTCGACGAACAACTCGATAATGAATCAGAAAAATTATGGCATAAAGTAACATTGGCCATACAGAAACAGGATCAGAATATGGCGACTGTTGAGAAAACAAATCTAGAAGAAGCTCAACGCGATGCAGCACGACAACGTAGCTCTCGATTAGAATTATGGGAACCGAAATTTTTTATTTTGGATAACAAAATCAATGATTGGCTTTATAGGATGGCCGAAGTACGTCCTTGGGATAATAGGTATAGTTTGATTGATTTCGTTCATTTTTCATTTTCACTCATTTTTGTTATTTTTTTCTTCTGTAGAACTGATGTCAAACAATATGAACAAAATTATGTGATACTTACACTAACCAGGCATTTGAATCCAAATTTCATTGCCAGATCATCGAACAAAACAAATGAACAAATGACTGATATGAATACAAATGTTAATGTCCATAAACATAGACGTTTCCGTCGTCAACATACTTGTGCCGATCCAACATCCATTGATATAAACGCGACCAATAAAATGGACTCGATTCCATCGGCATTGGATTCCCCACAATTACTTGGGACATCATCTAGTAATAGATTTCTAACACGTAACTTTGATACGATGATACAACGATTATCCAAACTACAAGATTCGGTCGAACGTATGAAAGAAGAACAATCGGTACTTAGAACGGAATTTCAGAATCTTCGATCAGCTGTCACTATTTCCAATCAATTATCACGATCATCAAGAGATATAAAAACATTACATAATAATAGTTCGAATGATGGAACATTTGCCATAACGAAAATGCAAATCCATCTACTATTCAAATCGATACCATCCGAAATACGTCTTGTTATCATTGTTCTTGTAGCTCATTTCATTTTCAATTATCTATTCCATTGACACTACGAGTGACCAAAAAACAAAAAAAAATTTTCTTAATAATTATTGTCCTCACTTGAAAATGGTAAACAAAAAAAAAACACATACACACATTTTCACATCTGGTCATCTTTCGTATCATCACCAATGTAATCACATAAATTTCATTAAGAATTGTAAATGAACTAGCTAATAGTAGTCCTTTTTCATCATCATAGATTAATTGATCATTGATTTTTTTTTCTCATAAAATTGTTCACGTAAAATTTTCTTTGTAATTCATTCAGATGATGATGATGATATAATTTGGACAATTTTTGTGTTTTAATCAATATAATTTTTTTTTTTTTAAAAATTTATTTGTTTATATTTCATCATTCAACAGAAGAATATTCCGGTGAATGGAAAGAATTTCAAAAAAAAATTTTTTTTTTATTATTTATTTCTTAGGATTTGTAAATTTCATTCTTTTCTTAATGAGTGTTGTTGATAATTTTAAATAAAAAAAACGAAATGTTTTTTTAACTAAAAATCTAGATTTTTGTTACTGTTCTAATTATACAACAGCGGATGAATTTTGCAAGATCATATTATTATCAACATCGACATTAATTATGAACATGAAACAAATTAGATTAAAAAAATTGAAATGTAAAGAGAAATCATTGTGTAATTTGTAATAAATACATTTGAATATGTGGTTAATATAATATATTATTTATATATATATAAATATATTTAACATTAAATAAGGTGCACTACTAACCTTGACATCGATTCATCAACATTGTTTGACCTAATTCATAATGTTCGATGGCCTTATTATATTCGATATTGACCTTGCTTGAACATGAATGACACAATTTCATTATGTGTTATTTTAAGACCATGATTATTATTATTATTATTATTATTAGGGACACAATGAATGAATCTATTTTTTTTCATTTAATATTTTTGTCTTTTTGAAACTTAAATTAACAAAAAAATAGAACTCTGTCTCTGAACAACACATTTAATTTGATATATAATAATGAATGATTTTTTTTCAGTTTCATAATATCATTGGCTCTGTTTTATTTACATAGATAGATAAAAAAAAAACGTGGCCACAACCACTTGACCTTTTCTTTCCTATTCATTTTAATTTTCAATGAAAAAGTCAATGTTTAAAAATTTTTTGTATCCATCAGCATCATCATCATCATCATCATCATTTTCCATTAACGAGTTGAATAATTTTTCAGAAAGAAAAATATTATCACCATGATATGTATCTATCATTTTTTTGGCAAAATACAAACGTCTATTGTTTATATTGTCTTCTTCTTCATTATCATCACATTTCATAATTATTGATTTTTTGTTTACTTGTTGTTGTTGTTGTTGCTGTTGTAGATACATTTTTCCAATGTCATAAAATAAACGTCGATTTTCTAATGCTTCCACCAAATAATCTTTGCTTTTCTTATTATTATTTGTCGATGATAATAATGGGAAAAAATCTTCATCAATCTCATACATTTGCATGGCTAAATCACATGCAATATCGAATTTACCATAACGAACATGTAAACTGCATGCAATTTTAAAATTTTTCATTAGATTTTGATTTTTCCTATAAAGATAATATAGCTGATCGTTTAAACATTTTTGCATTTTCACGAACCAGATATCTTTTTCACCATTATCATCATCACAGGAATCATCTTGAATAAGCATTTGTAAGGCAAAAAATTTTTGAAAACATCCTTTAACATATTCTAATTTTTCGATAGCATTTTCACATATTTTCCAACAATCCATACATTCCGCAGGAATGATCGATTCCAATATGACAACAACAGGACCGGAACAATTTTGGCATTTCAAAACATTTGGATAATGATCAACATCAATACGGCATATTTGACAACGACAATTGAAATAATAGTTATGAGCCATTGTTGTTTGACGTTGTATAAATGGAATTTCTGAATGTGGCCCATATGAATTATTGATTTCTTCACCATGCATAATATCTCTATGTATGTGGGTAACAAAAATAAAATAAATGATGATAAATTTGAATGAAAAAAAAGATCATGATACCTTAAAGCAGTATAAATGATGCAACCATTTTGGAATTCCCATTCCACATTCGGCGTGCAACTATGATTGATCAATGAACCAACTAAACATTGACAAGTGGCCACACAACCTCCTTTACAGAATGGACCCATATGATTCCAGGCGAAAATGTTTGTCGTTAATTTTCGTATATTATAAAGAAGAATTTCAATCAGCTGTGCAAAATCATCATAAGAATTATTGAAAATATTCAATTCATTGAGTGATTGTTTGCTATCATTTTCGTTGATGATTTGTTTCAATGAAATCTTTGGCAAATGAGCCCAATGTGGTAAAGAAAATTGTCTCTTATCCGATTGTTTTTTAATCAGATTATTATTGATAAGTAAAATGAATGCTGTATCGATTGCCAATCCAATGTAATTAGTATCATAATATGATTCATATTTTTCATTATGATCCAACAATGACAACATCATTTGATATGTTCGATTTTTTTGACTTGATTTCATACGAAAATCCGGTGTATTACGTAACTTTTCATCATTAACATATTGTTCGATGACAAAATGATTGATGAATTCATCAACATTTTTTTCCCAATATTTTTTAATTCTTTCAGGTAGTTTATGATCATTTTTCATTTTATCAATATGTCGTTTTGTGGTGATTGCATTTTTTAAACCAATTCTAGTTATCATACGATACATATGAATGGCCATATATGTTTTATCATCATTGAAAACTGAAAGAATAAGACATTCATGACGATGAAATACAGACCAAGCACGATAGAAACATTCTTCATTACAAAATATGGCCATTCTACAATATCGACACGGCACAAAATGATCAACACATTCTTTGTAACAATGAAGACAGAAATGATGTCGATATTGGCTATCCAATGCTAAACTATAGGCACGTTCAACTAGAACTTGTGTTCCTTTTGGAATTAAATTTTCACAGATAAAATGTCTTCCTTTTTTCTTATCATCAACAATAGCACAATGTGAATCGAGTTTGAAATTATATTGAAATTCGAACAATTCTTGCAAGTTTTTTAAATTTGTTTCTTCACATTTTTCTTCATGAACAACAAGTTCATCATTGGTTAGATAATCCCATAAACATTTCCACGATGATGACTGTCGATTCTCATCATCATCGTGATTATTGTTGCTATGGTTGTTGTTCGCTATGTTAGTTCGGATTTCATTCCAATCAGGAAACTTAGAATTGGATGGAATGAAATGTTTTAAATTCTTATAGAAAATAGCTAATGATCGTGTGAATGAACGTTCTCTATTTTCACCACCATATTTGATGGCAATGTTAATGTCCAATAAAGCTGCTTCAAAATTGCCTTTTTTAATATTACATTTAGAACGTTGATGATATGCTTGAACAAATGTCGATCCACCATATCCACTTTCAATAATAGTCTGATTCAATGTGCTTATAGCGATAGCTAAAAATAATTATTCGATTCATTATCAAGAAATTGAGCTTTTCTCAACAAACAACGTGCTTTTTCTTCGTTCTTTGGTTCACTTTTTATCTGATCCATTATACGATTATAGGTAATTTTAAGTATTCCATTTATATCCAATTGACTTAAAATTTGTCCGATTCGTGATTGTTTATCCGGACTATTGATAATTTCTTCATCATTTATTATATCTTGATTTCTATACAGATATTTAGTTGAATTGGAAATCATTTTGTTTGTAGGCTGGCTTACTGAATGATTTTTCTTTTTCTTTTTTTCTATGAAATAAAACAAAGTACCCAGTTATATTATCGTAAAAAAATGTTGCTTTTATTTGTTGAAAAATTTTATAATTATAATTCAATTAAAAAATTTTGGCGCCAATTTTTTTTTGACTGTTGCTCGTACATAACAATGTACGTACACTCTGAACACACACATTCATTCAGCTGTTGTTTTCATTGTTTTGATATTTTGTTTATAAATACGCATGCAACAATTTGTTTTTATTTTATTCAAATTTAATTGAAAAAACAATTCCAAAATGATCGATTCTTGACATTGGTTATCAAAATTGTTCCAGTTATTTTTATGGAAAGAATGGATCAATCAAACAATACATTAGAATTTAATTTAAATTAATCGTTTTTAACCATTTTAATATACTGTTTTTTTCTATTGAATCGATTCTTAGAAAAAAGAATCGAAACCATTTGTATTTTACCGGTATGACACTTGATTCCGAAATTGATTCCGGTGATATAAAAGAAACGGAACAACAAAAACAGTTAGAAACAACGGTGACCAAAGATGGCCATATTCAAAGTCAAGCCACTAATTTATCGCCAAAGAAACAGGAATATATTCGATCAACCAGTTCGATAATTACCAAAGAATCTCGATTAACGGATGTTGATAAAGGTATCAAACGTTATAAATCACAAGTGTCTCAGCTTTCATCTAAATCGAATAGTAATCAAGCAAAACGTTCGATCAGTTTTGCACTAACTCATCGATCATCATTACTTGATTCAAAATTAGCTTTACAAGCTGTCGATTATCCCGATTCAATACCATCATATATGTCATTCACCTATTTAGATATACTAACATTATCATTTTCAATTTGTACCTTTCTTTGTGATTTAATAACCGATATTGTCGTTACTGTATTCCACTATTCAAATCATGATTATTGGTATTTTTCCTTGACCATCACATTCATTGCCGTGCCAACACTAATAATGACAATAATGTCATTACGATGGTATATACTCGATTCGAAAGATCCACATTCTTTGCCAGTATCAAAAACTCAATGGGTATTACGTGTTATATTTTTAACCTTACAACTTGGTCCAGTAATGCGTTATATTGACTCGATTCTTTATGGATTTAAATTTCGTAAACTTAATGAAGAAAAACAGAAAGCTGCTAGACGTTATTTTCAATACATGATTTACGAAGATACTGATGCTACAATGCTTCGCCTATTCGAATGTTTTATGGAAGCGGCACCACAATTAGTGTTACAAATGACGGTAATGATCATCAAAATGCCGGAAAAGAATCGAGATTGGACAGGTACGAAGCGGACTTTTTTTATCGTATTAATTATTAAAACTTTTTTCTATTTTTTCTAGTTATGGCTCAATCTATTTCGATAATAGCTTCACTTGTATCATTATCATGGTGTCTAGTGACCTATCTTCGCATCCTTCGTATGTCTTTGGCATCTAAACAGAATATGACATGGCCCGTAAGTTTGATTTTTAATCAATTTAGATTGTTAATTGAAATTTCAATGAAAATGCAGGGAACAATTGTTCAATTTCTATGGCGTTTCTTTATGATCGCATCACGTGTAATGGCATTGGCATTGTTTGCATCTGAGTTTACTTATTACATAAGTATTGTTTGCGGTGTCCACTGGTTGATAATGTTCATTTGGATCGTCAGCATGAAAACATCATTCTGTACGAATCGAATAGAAGAACTATTCTATAATGCAGTTTTGTCCATCATATTTATTTTCTGTTACTTTAATCCGGTTGATGGTCAATCACGAAAACGTTATATATTCTATTATACAGTGATGTTTATTGAAAATCTGATCATTTTATTGCTGTGGTATAATGTTTGCGATCCATCCAAATGGTATAGGCTACCAGCATTTCTATTATACTTTTTTAACTTTTTCATATCCTTAATTTTTATGGTAATTATCATTGATTATTATATGTTCATTTCTAGTTTTATAATCCATTATTTCATCATATTTTTTTCAGACTATCTATTATCTTAAATTGCATCCGACACAAAATATCAAAATCTTTCACGATTCCACTACGACGAATATTGATCCAAAAATGACTTGTACTAGTAGCAGCATTCGATCAAGCCCAGGTTCATTGATGGAAACAACAATGACTAAATCTTCTACATCTACTAATAGTCCTGATCAATCACCCATTAAACAACAATCTATCATAGTTTATGAGCCAAAAGATAAACGCATAGAATCGAAAATTAAATCCACTAAAAGCTCAACAACAAAAAATTACAAACGACAATTCAGTGATGTATGGACAACTAATGGCCGTCTTTTACATCCAAGACCAGCTATGCCAACTGTGTGAAAAATTGACATTTGATGATTTTGACAATAATGAACTTATATATGAAAATCTTGTTGACAAAGAAAAAACATAAATGTAAAATTAATTTCAAATATTACTTGTAATAAAATTATTAGGATAAAATTTATTTTTTAAGTTATGGTAATAAAACAATAGAATATTCAGCAAAACGATTTATAAGAGAATCTAATGATTCTTGACGTACTTCTTTTGACCAAAGTTGTTGTAAAAGTTTTGATGATAATGTTTCTAAATCAAGTAATGTCATTTTAGAATCTATTTTTTGTGACTCTAAATTTTGTTCCAATGTTATGATTGTAAATGATTTTCGTATTCGTGATTGATCCTTGTCAACGAATTGATGGAAAGTAGTTGCAACTATTGGAGTTAATAATTCTAAATGTTCCAACACCATTACCGATCTATGATCTTTACAGAAAACTTTATCAAAATGTTGTTCAATCATATCACCAGTATAATGTTGATCCAACTGAAAAGTAGGAAAGTGATCTTCTTGTTTTAATTCCACAATAAGATTGGCCAGTCCTTGTGAAATATTATGTAACCGAACTTCTTGTCCAGTATTACCGATTAACAAAAGAATAATCGAATTTTCATCTGATGAAAAAACATCATAAATGATGGCTTCCAAAATTTTTGGACCAATATCTGGCACGAATGATTTGATTTCATTTAAAAATTTATCCATACGTTCTTGATTCAGACTGTTTGATTTCCAGAAATGGGTAAGTTTTCGAAATTTATTGGGAAGTGCTAATGCAACGGCCGTAGCAAAAATCACAATAATTATTGCTAAAATCCAATACTTTAATGATTTAGCAGAAGAATTTTTATTTGTTTCAGTCGGAAATGAATTTGATAGATGGCATCGATTAGTCAATTTGATTTCGCCCTCACGAATAGGTTGTCGTTTTAATTCAAGTTTTTTCGTTGATGTGTCATATTTTTTGGAATCACAATTATCTGGACAAATTCCAATGGTATTCGTTTGATGATCATCAGAACTATTTGAAGAATCAGATTTTGTTTCATCATCTTGGCTGTCATCCAATTCGGGTTCTTGTGATTGATCGTCATCATCTTGATTCGCCATTATTTTACTTTCTTCTTGGTCAGGTTGATTATCTGTGCACAGTTTTTTGTCGTCCATTGTTATGTGTTCAAGTTTTAATTCATCAACACAGAATTTACTATTCCTTTGATGGAATTTAATTAATCAATAGAAATCAAAGAATTTCATTTTATTGTTTATGTGGCAAATTTGGCATGTTATGTATTCATAAAAGACGTTATTAGCGATTTATAAAAGTACCAAAGTAAAGTACAATGAAATGATGATTCTCAAGTGATTTTATTTTTATCAATCAATAAATTATCAATAGTTTTCAATCAAAATAAAAATGACAAACAAACAAAATAATCAGCAATGATGATTAAACAAAATGGATTTTTTTTTACTACACAAACAAATAATGATGGATTTGGAATGGGAAAAAAAATTATCTAGTATCCATATTGAATCCTACGATTTGTCACATATTGATGCATGGAAAATGCCAATGTTGCAATGTAAAGACAAGCGGCAATCCAACAATTATGCGCTGCTGATTCATAACGTTGATATGCTTCTGGATAGAATTCTTTAATGTTCGATGTTTCAATCTCATGTAATTCAAGATCTTCGGCAAATGTTACAGCATGACTATAAAGTAATATGCCCATCAATGTTAACATGATAATAGCCCATGCAGACAATAGTGAACAAAGTATGGCAATTCTTTTGCTACAAACAATCATTTTTGTTCGAAATTTGTATTATTTATTTTTTGTTTAATGTTTATTTTGAGAAATGTTTATGAAGGTGATGAAAAAAAAATGAAGATAACAAAGAATTTTTCAACTGTTTGAAGTAATGTATAAACACAAAAAAATGACACAGACTAAACAATGGCTCAATGTGTGTGTGTGTGTGTGTGTGTGTGTAGTGTTGGTGTTCCAATTGGTATAGATGCTATATAGTGAGAATATTCTGTGCTATTTTCACATGGATTTTTTTGCATGTTTTGGTGTTTTGAATCGTATATATGCTGTTTCATAGCTGATTGATGTATTATATTCTCTGTTTAAACGCCTATAGAGAAGGTTGAACAAATGAAAGATTGAAAATTTAAAAATATTAAATATTTAAATTTAAATCTTACTTTCTCTTTTCATTTCTGCTGTGAATTCTTCCAATTCGATTATTACCTTTACGAAGTCCAAACCATTCTCTCTATAAAAAATATTAAAAATCAAAAATTATATTTACGAATGATTTTTGCCGAATTCACCAACCTTTTCGCCAAGAACGCATCTATAACCGATGGAATCGTAAATTTTTTCCACCATTAGTAAACCGACATCAAATGGATATCTCAAACCAAAAGTTCGATAAATAAAATCATCGGCAACATTAGCAACAACTTTCACAAAAGTGTTCGGCAAACGTTTATTCAGATAATCACCTCTGTCCAATACCTCAAGGAGTATTGTACCTTGATCATCTTGAGCCAATAATGAACGAAAATCAAGATTCTTTGGTGAGAAAAACAATCGAATGATTAGAGATGAATTTTTATGCTCTCAATCATTATCTATTGCAAACAAACTCACTTGTAACACTTGAAATCCATCACTATGTCGCTTAGCTAGGCCGCTAATAGGTACATCAGCTAGTGATATAAGTTGTTGTGGCATTTCATTCGATACACCAGTAGAATTATATTCATGATGTTGGAGTGCTACTTGTACCATATCACCATTGGATGAATTGGTATCATTAGTATCATGTATATTTCCCGCAGCATCATCAACTTCATTATTATTGTCAACATTAGTCATCATCTGATGGTTATCATAATTCGATGAAGGAATGGTTACGATTGAATAATTTGCTGTTGTATCATTGACAGTCACAGGCGTCATAATGGTGTTATTAACAACTTCCGTCAATGATTGGGACTGAGATCGAACATTATTCCCAGTGTTTGTTTTAGGTGTACTTGAACTAGCTGGTTTTGAATGTCTAGAACGAATTTCCTCTTGTATCATAAGGATTTTTCGTGTTTTTATAACTGAAAAATTTAAATCAATCAAATCCTCTCGAGTCAATGCAAGAAACGTGGCCAAATCAACATTTTCTTCCGCTATAATTTGCGTAATAAAAATAAAAATTGAATTTTACATAAACATTACCGTTATTCGGTGTTTTCACACGCCACAATCGATGTGAGATGTGATGATACTTACTAAATACGGAAATATTAATTCCTTCTCGAGCCAAACGTCTTTTAACCTCTTCCATTTGTAGTGGTACTTTTCGAATTTAGTTTTCGAAATCTATTCAAAATTAAAAATTGAAAATTTCAATCAAAAAGTGGAAATTAAATTAATTGATTGAATACAGTATGGTCAACTGTTGCCTATGACTGTTTTCAGTAGGCAAAAAACCAATTTAATTTGAATTTCATATCGATCGAAGAAAATAATTTGATATAAAGTTTTCAAAACTAATTTATACCTGTGATAAGACAACTTGTGGATCAATTTAACTATGAAATAATAGAAAATCAATGTCAAAAATAAATTCTGGATAAATCAAAAATATTGACGAAGTTAGCGTTTTCTGCTTCATAACACTTTATAACGAACCAAATACTGCGTTTTTGTGGTGTATGCTACACGGCTCACTCGGAGAGCTCACTTGTAAAATTTTCCGAATGTTCGTTTACATTATTATTGCCGGGAACATTTCTCCATACAATTTTCATTGATCATGGATTTATCAGGTCTAACTGACGATGTTTTTCGATGTAAGTTTTGAAATTTTGAAAAATAAAATAATCTTAATTAATTTTTGTTAATTACAGCTACTGATGAAATTTTAAAACGAATTTTCAATCATCGACCATTTCTAGAAGCTCATTTACAAACAATGGTTCGAAATTTTGATTCCGATGAGCGTGATGAATTTCAACAGATCCATAGTAAAATTGTTCATATCAAAGATCAATCATTCAATATGATTGAGAATAAATGTCAGCCACTTGAAAAAGCTCATATCCACGTTGAAAAACTGGAACAATTGATGGATCAAATACTTGTTTCGGAATCGGCTAATGAATCGGAACGAAAAAACCATCTATTACAATATACGGCTGAAAAAAGTGAAGATCTTATTGAATTTATGGAACAAATGAATTCACAGATTAATAATATTGACAATTCATATATGAATGCCAAAAAAGAGATTGATATAAAATACAAGAATGTAAAGAAATAGATTTTTTAATAAAATTTATATATGTACATTAACGATTATAATCCCTTCGATTGTAATTATGATTTGGGTTATTTCTGTATCGTTTGATACGGCCAATATAGTTGATTTCAATTGGCGGAACAGATATCTGACGATCTAAAGATTCAACGAACAATGGATCATTCATAGTAAAACGATCAGCATATTTTTGGCCCAAATATTCGATTGCTTCTTCAGGTGTCATTTTTGACAATGATGATGATGATGATTTTATCATTGTTGAATCATCCGTATTACCATCATTGCCGGAACTGTTTTGCTTTTTTTATCATCAGAATAATATATAAAATTAAAATTGACTGGGTTAAATTTGGAATATGAAAAAAAATACCTTGCTTTGACTCATGATTGCTTTTCGAACAAGTTTCTCTATATGTTTGTTTGTTTGTGTGTGTGTGTGTATGAGGAACATTGTCGGTAAAGTTTATCAAAGTTTTTTTTTTGCTGGCATATTTTCTTGAATATATTTGTATATACAATATATTTATAATGGAACGAAAGTGTAAGTGTAAAATTTTTTCGTTTTTTACACGGCTATTTCACTCAAATAATCACAAATCTGTTTGAACAAAAAAAAAAAAAAAAAAAATTTATAGATTTGTGATTATTTGAAGTTGTCGTCAGCTATCAGTAAATTTTTCCATATGTTTTATCGAGCCAATAATCTGATGATTTGCATTTACATCCCATTTACTTAATGACATAAATAGATTTGATGGTGCAATGTCGGATCTGTCTTTTGATAATGACCAATAATTGAAATTTGTTATTAATTGTTCAGATTCTAATGCACCCATTGGTAGATATTCATTTCTGGTTTCCGTTATAAATGATGCCAAAATTATTGATAATAATGTAACACAAGAAATAAATATCAGTTTAGTTTGTACATTGAAAATAATGCGTAGCTATTTATGGAAACCGAAAGCAAAAATAAAAAATAAAAAGCCGGTAATTTTTTTTTGTTTACGTTTTTAGTGTACTTACATTGTAATTGTAGAGCCAATATAAAATGGCTAAAAATGTTGATTGTGATAATAGATGAACAATACTGACCACTATGATACGATATCTTGTAGATGTTAGTTCCAATGTTTGTAATATTGTTATCAATTCTGAACATTCGGCCAACATAATGCCCAATACAGAAATTCCAACATTTAACCAGATAATATTTTTCAATAAATATTGACCAAAAAGTAGAAACATTAAAATGGCAAAATTCAATGAAAGTATAATACAATTTGACCAACGACGGCCAAAACATTGATTGACAAGATACCATGTTAATAAAATGATTGGCATCTTTATCAATGAACCAAAAAATCGATCAACAAGTAAATTTTCATCGAAAAGATTTTTTCGTTTTGATAAAAAATCAATAATCAATTCATTTGTCATCAAAATGATTGCCCATAAAAATATCATCTGAAATAGTGTTGAACGTTTAATGAATAGTTTAATTTTTTTCCAAAATGTTGTCTGCAATCCATCCGATTCGGATTGATTATCGGTTAAAAAACTATTCATACTTGGTGGTCGATTTAATCGTTTTGTACTTGTTTGATGATTATGATTATTATTATTATTAGTTAATAATGTAATTCTTTGCCTATGATTGCCATTATGAATCGATGTTGTCGTTGTATTAAGATTTTGCATCGAAATCGCCATACTAACTTCATCACGTCGATCATAATTATAATAATGAGTGAATTTCTGTGAATAACAGAATCAAAAATTATTTGAAATTAATAATTTTTTAAAATAAAATTTTTTTTTCTTACACTTATAATCGAATTAATGGAATCACTATCCATATGTGCATGATTTGTTTGATTCATTCTTTCGAAAAGATTTTTTAATTTATTAAAATGTTTTGTTGCTAAAAGCCATTGTGGTGATTCATCACAATATTGATAGAATAGAAAATATGGTACAGTAAATCCAGTATTGGCGATAGTAATCCAAACCCAATGTGGTAATGCTTTGACAAAAAAATATGTACACCATTCACCAAATTGAAATGCAACACCAACTAATGCTAGAATATCGGCACGATATTCAGGTGTAACAAATTCTATGCCTAATGCCGTACCGATTAATATTCCAATTGGCCATGTAGATCCTTGTAATGCTTGACAGGCTAAAAATGCATAATAATTAGTAGTCAATATTGGTGAAATTGCTGATAAAATATATGCGGTTAAAATGAATATTAGACCATTTTTACGGCCATATCTGAAATCAAAATACAATCAATCAATTGATCTACATGTATATATATATATATAAATATTTATAATACCTATCTGAAAGAATGGCATATATCAGGCTAAATAGAGCAGAAGATAATTTTCTTACAAATCCAATAATTTGAATGTGTTGACGTTGATCACAGACAAAATTATACTAAATGTAAAAAAAAATTTGAGTTCATGTCAAATGTCAATTCAAAAAAACAGAAACAAAAACATTTATCGTCGTTTCTGGACCAAAGTCAAAACGTCAACAACAACAACAACAACAACAACAATGATTGACAAGAAAATAAATGATTATAATTTTTGTTTGTTGTTGTTCCTAAATATATTCCCTATATACAGAAATTACAAAGCAAGATTACAAGAAGAAGAAAAAAAAACTTACATGCATGGCAGCATTCTCTTGAAATTGATTTTTATTATAAACCCAGCCATTTATTGGTGAACACTTTTTAATCGGTATAAATACTGTTGATGATGATAATGCCGACGACGACGACGACGATGACGACGATAATGATGATAATGATGATGATGATGATGACAATGATGAACTATTTTGTTTTGGTATTTCTAAACCGGTCAACACTTGATGATAATTTATATCATACATTTCACAATTGGACATTCGTTTTGATATTTCTTCACCACCACCATTATTATTATTATTATTTTCATCATTATTGTATTTCAATCGTGGTCGAATCAAACGATGTTGTTCACCATAAGAAAAATTGACCAATAAATCAACACGACACCAATGATCTGGAACAAATTCGTTATATCTATATTGTTTCGATGTAGTTTTATTATAAATAAGCGGTTAAAAGGCGGAATAAAAGAAGAAAAAACGGGTCAAATTTTATCCGATCAAATTACAAATATTGAATTGAATTGAAAATGAAAATGAAAATACGATATATACGAACATATAAGACGATTGAAATGCTGTAAGTATAGCCAATGGCATTATGAAACCAAATAATAATAATTTTTGATATTGTCCAAAATCATTCAACTCTTTCAATACATGTTCACAATGAAATTTTTGTAACATATTTGCTAATATACATTTGAATCACATTGATCGATGGGATTTTTTTTTGGTGAGAATCTCGTTACACGATACATGCTACAACAAATCCATTGAGAGATCTATTCGAGATCGAACATACAAATGGAATAGGAATTTGACCGATTATGATACGTTTTCAACAATCTATAACTCATTCATTGGTCAACACACATAATATGTTGTGGCAGCTGAACTAAAATGTGGATATATGTGGTCGAATATTTTTTTTTTGAAAACGATGATGAATAACGAAAAAGAAGATGCCAATTGTTGTTGTTGTTGTTGTTGTTTTTTTCCAAAGAGTTTTTACATTCACTCACAACTAGATTGTACAATTTATTGAACACCTGCGTTTGTTTTTTTTTTCATCATCATCATCATCATCATCATCATCATCATCATCGATTCCAATCTGAGGATATGATGGAAAAAAAGGAAATCAACATCAACAAGAAAGTATGAATGAATGAAAAGAGAAAAGCACAACGGCAACAAAACAAGTGAAAGTCTTTGAGTAAAAAACATTGAATGAAACGATAATTAAAGTTCAGTTTGATGTTTGGGCATTTATTTTGTTTTTGACCAATGTATCGAATCAATTTTAAATTTCAGCCTGATCTATATATTTATTTATCATCATATACCATCATGATGATTATGATAATTATTTTTATGAATGATCTCAATTTGTCAATTCATAATCATCACATAAAACTTATTATGATGAACCTGAATTTTTTTTTTTTATATTCGTTTGTCATGATTTTATCTTCGGTCATTTTAACATGAATGATGATTTAAATCTTTATATGTTAGATAATTAGTAAGTAAAATATAAGTAGTAATCTGTCATGATTTTTTTTTATGGTTAAAGATTTATTTTTAGTCAACAACAACAACAAAAAATAATATACAGTTTGTCAGTTCCAAACTTGATCATCATCGTGTACCCGATCGATCATTATTATACACCAAGAAAACAACAACTAACCAGACCAATATGAATGATGATGATTACCCGGTTGAAAGATACCGTTCGATATAGATCTTCTTCGTTATTATGTGGAAAAAAACGGCTAAAATTACAACTTTATCTGATGATCATCATCCATAAGTTTTTTTTTCGTTGTTCTTTCAAACCATTTCGTCTGGATTTCAAATATTTTGAAGCAAAAAGTTATGGTAAAGATAAAGTTGAATGAAAAAAAAAATCTCTTGCTCGATTCGCTCTGAAAAAACTGTTCAAGACAAATTTAGTCAAAATTTTTAAAAAAAAAGAGAAAGTGACGGGTTTGTGGTTTGCAGTTATCGAGTAATCGTTCGATTTTTTTTTCTGTAATGAGACAACGAAATTGAGAGCAGAAAAAAAGAGACTAAAATTTTTCATCAAAAGAGAAAAAAGCCGATCCTTATTGATTTGATCAGGAATCATGGATGAAAAAGAAAAGCCGGACAAAATTTTGTTTTAATATAGAGAAAACAGCAAAAAATTAGTGTTGTGGCTTCATATTCCGACCGAACATCATATATGGTGTATGCATGCATCAGGTATCAACAACATTCGACCAGAACAAAAAGGAAATCAAAAGCTGAAATTTTTTTTTTTTTTTTTTTTTGTAACTTACACGATCGATTGAACATCGGACCGAATTGTCGACGTTCGATCAATTTTTGTTTTTGTTTTGTTTTGTTTTGATTTTTTACTTTGTCCAGCAGCTGTCAGCTACATATATGTTGTTTTTGTTGTGTTGATTTCGACTTTTGTTACTGACCGAAAAATTTATCATCTTCTCATCCTATTGTTATTGTTCATTGTCGAGCTGTCATAATTTTGTAATAACATCCTTCTACATTGAAACATTTTCATTGTTATTTTGATGAACTTCGATCACATTGTTTTTCGTTTGTTGGTGGCAAATTAATTTTGATCGACACGTGACACGTTCGACATCGATTTAGTTTGAGACAACGAAAACAAAAGAAAAAAAAAGAAAAGAAAATGCAAATTTATTGGTAATATTTTTTCGCTTATTATTTTGATTATGCTATATCGATTTTTTTTACTTTTCCTTTTTTTTCGTGATATTTAGGACATTAAGTCTAATGATGATGATGATGATATTATGGTGTTCATTGGTTCATTGTATCGGTAGTTCGATTGATGACATACCATCGGCAGCAGAATTGTTTGGACAAGAAGAATCCTATCATGTTGTCGAATGTGTAATGCCTTTATATTTTCTTTGTCAGAATAACAATTGTCTACCTGAAAGTCATCTTTGTGATGGTGAAAATGATTGTGGTGATAATTCAGATGAAGATCACGATTATTGTGGTAAGACAAATTTATAATACTCTTTTATTACAAAAAAAAATTGATAATCACATTCTTTTTTTTTTTGGCAGCACAAATGAAATGTAATGTAACTACTGAATTCAAATGTAACAGTGGTCGTTGTGTACCGAAAGCAAGCCGTTGTGATCGACATCCCCAATGTCGTGATCGTTCAGATGAATTAAATTGTGTATATGAACCATGTCCAAAAGGAATGTTTTCTTGCGCCAATCATAGCCAATGTTTGGATATGAGTGAAGTTTGTGATGGTAGTATCGACTGTAAAGATGGTCTTGCATCAGATGAACTTCATCCGAATCCATGTCCGGCCAATGTTACTTGTCCATCATCATCGTTCAAATGTACTGGAACCAATGTTTGTGCTCAACCGAATTGGATGTGCGATGGTGAAAATGATTGTGGCGATAATTCGGATGAGAATGAAGAGAACTGTAAAAATTTCAAATGTCCCGATGATTGGTTTCGATGTGCAGATAATCGATGTATATTGATGAACAACGTATGTAATGGTGTAATCGATTGTAAAGATGGTCTCGCTTCAGATGAACGACATCCAGATCCTTGTCCACGAAACGTTACCTGTCCAAATGATTTTTTCAGTTGTGAAGAGACAAACATTTGTGCCCATCCACATTGGGTAAGATTGTTGATTTTTTTTTATATATCAATCTTGTGAAATATTTGACCAATTTATCGTTTCATCATTCAAATTCAAATTTCATCATTTAGCTTTGTGATGGAGCCGATGATTGTGGTGACAAATCCGATGAGGTAAGTGAAGTGATAGACAATATAATTGACGACAAATGACGTAATGTTGTTGAATATTGTCGAACAATAAATATTGTCAAAAAAAAACATCCTGCAACAGGTATTTGTATTATGTATGAATGAATAAAATACCGTTAGAATTGTCTTTTTTCAACTCGCAATTCATTCATTCATTCATCCACTTTATATTACACAATTTAATTAACTTTTTTTTTATTTCGACCGAATCGGTCGAATTGTTTACAAAAAAAAAATTAATCTAATTTTGCCTGTTTATTTGAATAATAATGCAATGTTCATTATCATTTGTGTTCATTTGTATTCATAGGACATTGAAAAGTGTGCCAATACTCCGTGTCCTGAAGATTGGTTCCGTTGTTCAAATACTCAACGATGTATACCACCAAATTGTAATTTTCTATTGCAAAATTCTCAATAAATCTTTTTAACATTTTTATTTCTAAACAAAAAAAAATTATATAGGGCGTTGTGATGGATCAGAAGATTGTCGAAATGGTGAAGATGAAATCGATTGCAATAATGATTATGTACATGAAATATTCATACCGGAAAACAATACACTTGTATCGTATGTTAATCATTCAAACAATGTTGATTTATTAGAATCCATTTCAAAGAATTTACAATCAATCAATAATAATGACAATAGTAGTAGCAGTAATATTAATAATCAACAAGATGCTATTACCACTGTAACGAATCCGATCTCATCATATCTACTAAGTCAACAACAGCATGTTCGAAAATCATCACCATCATCATCATCTAAAACTATTAATACTGCTGCTTCATCATTAATGGATCAATATAATATTGATGATGATTGAACAATTGAAATAACGATACGATGATTATCATCATATAATTCATATAATTTATTGTCATTATTTAGATTTGGAAAATAACAATATTAATAAATTCTCTCTTTTTGCATTCAATAATTCAATGATATAACAATAACAAATATAAAACGTAATTTCAAAAATCAACGGGTAAAAACAATTAACAGTAACAAAACAAAGACAAAACAATTATCATGACATAGAATATTCCAATTCTGGTTCAAGAATAGGGCTAACATTAAAAATGAATAAATTTGCCGGTTTTAATGGGAGTTTGATTATTTTTTTGAATGTTTTTTCATTCAATTTCAATGTGAATGAAACAGATGATGGACGATTTTTGGCTATTTCATAGCAAACACTAAGCAATGATCTAAGTTGTATTTCTGTACAATTGGCCACCGATAGTGATTTTAATTTAGGCATTGATTTTAATTCAATCAGGCCTTCATCTTTACATCGATTTCCAATAATAGACAATTTTTCTAAAAGTGACCATTGATTCATGATTACAGTCATTTGTTTTGTGCATTGAATACAATTGTCAATTTCATATTCGATATCATCATCACCACTGATTTTTCTGTTTAGCTCTTGTTGCTGTTCCTCTTGTTGTTGTTGTTGTTGTTGCGGTGGTTCAGGATTTTGATTCTGATTTCTATCATCATTGGCATGTGCTGGCTGTTGTGCATTGTCTGGAACGACCATAGGGAGATTTTGCTCAACAATTGGCGGTATGGCTGGATGTTCAGGTTCGACTGGACATGTACAACATAGTCTGGATATATTGATAGTAAGATGTTTTACCAAAGGAAAAATCTGTGGTAATATTGTGAATATTGATAACTCGAAATCGACATCAAAGCATAATGATTCGATTGAATCAAGTGATCTCAAAAACTCATCAGTATCTTGAAATTGTCCATCATTGGAAATGGAATTATTTTCATCCGATCGTAAACGAAATTCTTTCAAAGCTGGCAATTTACTCAATGATAAATGTAGAAATTTTAATTCAACCTGTCAAACGATATAATAATTTATTATATACGAAAAGCAAAGAATTATAGGATACTTACACTGAATTTCAGATGAATGTCCAATAAATTCAACAGGTTGAATCGATTACAAAGTAGATGAAATTGACTGTGAAATAGATTTTCATTTTCATACTTGATTGTAATCTGTTTGAGTGATGAGGATAATTTTTTGCACACCTTAACATTCATGTCTGAAACACTTTTCCCGTTGTTAATTGTCAGATGTTTCAATTGTAATTGTCTATTCTTGCAGCCATCTAATATTTTATCATAGTAATAAAGATTATAATCAACATTTACGTTATATAAATGCAATTCATATACACGTAACATGAAACCAATATTGAATGGATTGGAAATGGTATTATCAGCCAAACTGATGGCAAAATGTTTTAATTTCGATAAAAAATCCAATGATTTACAAATCTTGATTGTTTTAACTACCGATAGTATATAATCATCGCTAGAAGGTGATCCACAAATGATCAATGTTAAACATTCCAGATGTTTCAGCTCTATGAGCAACATGATCAAATCTTTTGGTTCCCATTGACAGCCAGAAATGAGAAGCATTTTTAGATTTGGATATTTTGTCAATATTAATTGACAAGAAAGATAATTCAAATGAGTTGTTTGAATAAAATCATTGGTTTGTTGAAAATATGGACATGATTTCAATTGATAGTAAATATGGCCATTTTGTTCATATTCAGCAATTTCGGTACGGCTACGAAACAATTTCAATGATATTTGCCGTTTATTACGATAATCAATTATACGTTTCCATCTTGGTGAAATTAATTCCAATTCTATAAGTTTTGATATTGGTAAATAATCGAAAATTTTTTGTAAACAATCATCATTGAGTTTATCGATCGTATGTTCATTCGTGATGATCATGATGATGGCTGCACTAAAAATGCGTTTTCAATGCTGATCTGAAAATCGCAAATATGAACAACACAACAACATTTTTTTTCTAAAAAACGAAACCAACAAGTAGAAATTATTTTTAGGATCATTTTGGCATTCAAGAACCACTACTTCAATTAAAAAGAAAGAAAAGATTCTCATAACGGTCACATTGTAACGAACAATCGTACCGATTTTAAAACATAGATGGCGATACAATTAAATTGATTACAAAAAAATTGTTTTTACAATCATGATGATGAATGAATGAGATAATAAACAAAGAATTTAAAATCCAGAATCAAAGATAATCATCATGGATTGGAACGAAAAAAAACAAACAAACAAACAAACAGATTAAAATATTGCATTATGCATTAGTTGAATGGAATGTCAATTTTTTTGAAATTACACCAAAAAAAATGTGAGTTTTTTGACATTTAATTTTCTCTCTACTAATTTCAAATGATGTAATGTTTGTTTTTTTCAAATTTTATAGATTAAAAAATGAGAAATTATAATGGATTCAATGAATGAATTCATTGAAATTCAATATTTGCCATCAAAACGAGCATCACTGGTCGTTCATCATCATCGAATCAAATCAAGCTCATCATATATGATGAATTGACAGGATGAAATTTTTTTTTTCAAAATTCAAAAAATATCGAATATCATCATTTGACATGTTTTGATCGTCATCATCAAACTTCATTGTAGAAGAAGAATTAACGTAAAAAAATGAATTTAATAATCCAATTTATATACAATTTAATCCATCGTTTTAAAACATCAAACATCGTCATTCTTTTTTTTCTGGATGACTAAATAATTATCTGATGATATTTATTAACAATTTTTCCTTTCATCATTCACTCGATGATGATAATAATGATGATGATGATTGAATATTCGGAAGTGAAGATTTTCTCGGTGGTGGTGGTGGTGATGGTGATGGTGATGGTGGTGGTGGTGAATTACGATTACGATTTGGCTGTTTCCAATCGAATATCGTCTCTATATTGTCGACATCAAATTCTAATTTCAATCGTACCATTGGATTTTTACTACGTAAAATTTCCGTTATATTACCAAAAGATGGAAATCGTGGCTTCGATCGTAATGCATTTCGATCTATACCAACATATTTATGACCACCATATGAATGACCAATAGAAATCCAAATCAAATAACAATTGAAAATAATACTAAAGGCTATAATGAGTCCATTTGCTAGAATCAATAATGCCAAAAATAAAAAGTAATTCCTAAAATAAAATAATGATGATGGTGATAAATGATGAAATGGAAAATTTTTTTTTTTTTTTTTTGATGATTCATAGAAAATTCATATTCACGAAACAATTTAGATTCTAAAATTAAAATGTCACATGTCATGCTGTATTTACATTATCGAGAGATTTGATGATTTATGTTTTTATTATCTATAGAATAAAATGAATGAATGATGAAGATATTGTAAAATGCTGCTTACTTGTATTGAATCATTAACATAGACCAGGTACAACAATATTCATGATGTAGATAAACATTTTCAATTTGTTGTTGTTGTTGTTGTTGTTTTTGTTTTGCCATCATCATTAGTTGATATTCATTGTCTTGACAGCAATATATTTCTTTTGAATAATCAGGTATTGTTTCATCATAAATGTCTTGAAGACAATCATGATAGATCAATTCTGTTTCTCTTGTGACAAACGATTTATTATTATTATTATTATCATCATTATTATTATGGTGATTATAATGAGTATTGGTATTTTTCAGTATCGATTTACACAATCCCATTGAAACTTTTTCAAAAACTTTTTTTTTTTTTTTTTTTTGGTTTTGGTTTTTTGGTTTTATTTTCATATTAAAAACTGAATGAATAAAACTTGTTCACCAAAAAAATTGAGATAATCATACTCACTTTGTTGCCATTGATAATTGGACATTATGTCTCTCTCTGTGTTGGTATGTGTGTGTTAGCTTTTTTCGTTTTTACAAACTTAAACAAAAAAATATTGTAATGGATACTTTTAGCAGCATATAAACGCTAATAAATTAGAGAATTTATTATCGAATTTTTTCTCTTCTTGTTTCCCTCCCCCCTACAATGATTGTTGAGAAAAAATATAATTAAAGGAGAAAAAAAAATTTTTTTGGTTTCTACTCAAATTATTCTAATATGCACATGCATGAAAACAGAATATTATTTGGCTAATTGAATACTGCAAAAAAATGGATGCATAGGAAAAAAATTTTCGATTTTCCATTGTTATATCTGAAAACGATTAGAATTTTTTTTTTTTGGTTCGTGTGTGTGTGTGTGTGTATTTATTCTGTTTCATCTGAACGACGTGATAAAAACCATATTTTCATTGGTTCAGCACGACCTTTCATCAATACTGGACCACGATATGTGAATTTAAAATCCGAATCATGATTCTTATTTTCCATTAAACAATTGTATGCATTCTCGGTAACGTTTATCATTCCAGGAGCACCAGTTGTTTCTGTACGGCTTGTAAGATTAACAGTATTCCCAAATAGACAATAACGAGGCATTCGTTTACCAATCACTCCGGTGACTACTTCTCCCGAATGAATTCCAATAGTTAATTGCTATATATATATATACATATCACAAGACGAAAAAAAAGCAAATAGAAAAAAAAATATTAATTGAGTATATGAAGTGAACAAGAGAATGGGCAAGACAGAGAGAAAAACAAAAAAAAAACATCATTAAATTATAGCTTGCAAAAAAAAAAAAATAGTGTGATACAAAGGGAAATGGAAATGGAAATGAATCAAATGAGCCATAATAATATGATATAATTACAATTCCATCTAGGTCAGCATTTTTGACCCGTTTCGAAAGATCCATTATATCCAATGCTAATCGTGCAATACATCTGGCATGTGATTCACATGGTTCAGGCAATCCAGAAACAGCCATATATTTGTCACCAACTGTTTCAACCTGTTTTGATGCAACAAAAAAAAAATAAAATAAAATCAATAAATTTAAATTTTTTCTTTCGTTTTATTTTTTAAATCGTATTCACCTTATAAACGTTTGGATTCTTTTTCGGATCGGTCAACACATCAAAAGTTGTATAAAGATTATTCAACAATTTTACAATTTTCATTGCTCCTTTTGAATCAGCATTTTTAGCACAATAATCATTGAAACCAACAATACCACTGAACAATAAGGTAACGCATTCATATTTTTTGGCTGGCACTGGACGTTGATGACGAAGCTCGTTTGCAACCGATGGTGGTAATACTGAATAAAGAAGTCTATATTTGAAACCGAATGGAAAAAATATATTAAATTGATCGTAATAATAAATAATTTCAGGTAACAACCGAAAACAACCAACCTATCTGTTTTACGTTTTTCATCCTCTAATTCACGATATGTTTGCTGTAATTTATCTGTTAATATTTCCAGATTTTTTGTCAATTTATATTCAGCTTCAAATTGTTCAGATAATAATATCAAATCTCTAGTTGCATCGTGTAATGGAATATCGCTTAAAAATAAGCCTCGTCGATTAAGATCATCCAGATTCAATACGCTTGGTGAACAAAGAAATAGTACAAGATCTGTTTCTGGTACATAAATCATTTGTCCTTTAAGACGCATTCTATAGAAAACAAATAACAACAAACAAAAAAAATAAAAACAAGCAAAACAAGATCATATACTATTCATTATTAGTTCATCATTGGCTAAATAAATTTACGAACCTTGTAAATTCTTTACCATTTTCATTGTAGTTACCAAATTTTGTTCTCAATACAAATACAGTGTTAATATGGGCCAATATATTGTTAAATGTAAATTCCATATGAGGTCTGATCATATCCATTACTTGTGTAATTTTACATTCATTTTCAGTAAATGCAGGAAGTACACGGGCCATTGAAATTCCAGCCTTAAATTTGTGTTATATTTTTGTTTCATGTGTATAACAAGAATCGAAGATGAAAGAGAGAGAGAGAGAGAGAGAGAGAGAGAAAAAAATAATCATAATAGTACAATTTATATGCATGGTATGGAATAGAAATGCTTAATTTTATTATTAAAAATAAAACAGATATGCTGGTCACTTGTTTTTTGGTCAAGGTTTTTTTTTCGTTTGGCTTGTTTCTGTTTATCATTATTATTCTTTTTTTTTTTTTTTTAGGTGTAGAATTTTCTTTCTTCCTCGGAAATAATCATCATAACAATAAGTATGAATGGTGGACATATACAAGAATGATAAAACTATAGCATAGCACAGTAATAAAATCATAATCATTATGCAATAACAGTAATCAGAAAAAAAACTACCACTATATGGATAGTGGTAAAGCCATACAAACAAACAAAAAGAATCGATAAAAACAATGGTAACATGAAAACGATTGTTGTTGTTTTTTTTTATCGAAAACAACGATGTTTAATGTTTTGCATATAGACCAGTATATTTGGTTTGATATAAAACTTTTATTTTTATAAACAATTGATTTAAATGAATAATAATATATATATATACAAACCTGACGTAGAATCATATTCTTATCGAATACAAGATGAAATGGAAATGCTTTACAAAATGTAAGTGGTGAAATTTTATTTTCAAATGATAAAAATTGATTAATATTAATCTGATCTAAATTTCCAATACCAATCTGATCGGATATCGGTTTTGATTTGACTTTTTCAATAATCTCAAATTGTACATGATCACAATCATCGCCTTTACGTTTAATGATGTTCACTTCAACATCTTGTCCATGTAGTTTGTTTGCCACTGCCTATATTTTGATTTTTGTTAATGAAAATTGAATAAGTATTGAATATTAGATTTGAAAGATTTGTGTTTGTTTGTGTGTGTGTGTGTGTGTGTGTGACTTTAACAATCAATTTGTGTATCATATTACTATTATTATACATGACCATTAGAGTACATTTTTTCTTTATTTTATTTTTTTCTAACATTCAATACGATCCATTATCTAAATTGCACGCTGTATGTGGTGATGTTTCAAGTGCATTTTCAAATTTAACAAACACACAAACACACAAACACACAAACAAAACCCGATTAAATGTTCAACCAAATGGACATTATTATTATTCTTGTGAAACCGTATATTATTTCAATAAAGTTGACGTATTCATCTTGGCGACAATTTTATCGTATTTGTTTGCCGATGAAAACAAAAAAAAATTCTTTTACGTCATATACATGTTTCGATGTCAAACATTTTAAGCATCATCATCATCATCATCATCATCATCTATTATATAATGATGATTTTGTGTAAAATTATATCCATATGGACACTCATAGACGATGTTTTTTTCCAAAAAAAAAACTTTTTTCCTTTCAACTAATGATGATGATTATCATCATCATCATCATTATCAATCTGATATTTCTTCTTGCCGATTAAAATGCAAGTTATCAAAAAAAAAAAGAACAAAATGGTGAAAAATAGATTAAATGGTAAAAGTGATCGAAAATTTTTTTTTCCAAATGATTTTAAAAAGTTCAAAAAATCATCATCATCATCATGTTGATAAACGTTAATATTTCGTGTTGATCGTGATGATGGTGACCAAAGAACTCTTCAAGAAAAGGTAATAAATAACAGCAAATAAAAAAAATTACCCGATTGATGATTACCGATTGTATTTAATGGATTTTTTTATTGTCATTTCGATTATTATTATGATGACCATTTTCTCCATCATTTTTGGTCAGTAGCAGCAGTAGCAATTGTTATGAAACAAAATCAATTTTATTCTCTCTCTCTCTCTCTTTCTCTCATACACACGAGAAAAAAATTATTATTTGCAACAAAGTTTTGCCTTTTTTTCTCATTTTCATTGTTGATTTTTACAAAAGAATTACACAGGTATAGGAGAAAAAAAAACGCTTGAATCGCTCCAATGTTCAATATTAATATTTTACTGAAATAAAATCGCTATATTTGTGTGTATTTTAATGTTCAAGCATCAAAATTGATGACCATAAAGGAGAAAAATATTTGCCTGATTGAGCTGCCAATTGCAGGTGATCAAAAAAATGATTGCCCAATGAAATTCTGGCAAACACACACACACAACAGAATATAATAATAACAATCATCATTTTGGTACAAAAGAACCACAAAAAAACCATATGAACAGTGGAACACACACACACACACAGGAAACCAAATTCATTTTGAAACATAAATAAAATGGGAAAAAAATATTTCACGCCCCTTTTTTATTGTAGAATGTGGAAAAAAAATATTTCATGAATTCCATTTCCCATGGTTGAATTTCCAAATAAAATGAAAATCCATTTGAAATGAAATGAATTCATATACAAATAAGGAAAAAAAATGATCATCATGCATTTACTAGCCAAAAATAATAATAAAAAATAAAGATCACAAACATCAAACAATTTTTTGCTCGAATAATCATCATCATCATCATCATCATCATCGTAATCCTGTTCAGAGATATTATTCTTAATATATTCTCCATTCTTTCCTCATTTTTTTTACTTCTCTCTCTCTCCCTTACATCCACCAGACCAAAAAAAAAAGAAGAAAAAACCAGCAACAACTTATATCCGAATAGAATAATGAATCAAAGCTGAGAAAAAAAAACTAAACTTGCAATTGTATCCGATTCCATTCATTCATTAATATAGATAGACCACAAAAAGAATGTGAATGAAAAAAAAATTGTGGAAATTTCCATCGCCATCGCCATCATCATCATCATAATAGAATGACGGAATAAATGAATCAACAAATACGTTACATTGAGCAAAAAGAACAAAAAAAAAAAAAAATAACTGTCAACCTTTAAAGCATCAAAAGAAAAAAAAACAGCAACAACATTGTCAAATTGTATCATCATCAATGTTGATAATTGCATCATCCACAATATAGGATAAGATGTTTTTTTTCTGTTATCATCATTTATATGAAAAATGATGAAATTTTTT